TATTTAGGAATATCTGTTATAAAACTCGTGCATGAGCAATCCAATAAAATGAATTTGCAGCTATTACTTGAATTATGAAGTCTTTTTGGTATTAAATAAATGCATTAGGTCTCCATGTGGCTTTGACTGATGACGACATGATATCATAGCAATTTTTTTCTCTACCACTTTGCACAGCTCATTTTAAATATAAGATTGTATATTATATTTTATTTTAAGTTTATCTACGAAAGATGTAAAATGTGAAAGTTTTGACAAACTCATATGGATATCATAACTACTCGTACTTAGCTTAAAGTTTCAATTGCTTCCTAATATGAGACATTTATTTAAATAAAGGCAATATGACACACAATGTGAACCATTTTATAAAGTAAAAATTCATTTATTTAAATGATATATACGACAAAACAAATATATATATCTTTATTTGAAAAACTTCAGCTTCAGTATAAAATATTACAGTTTTCTTGATGCATCTAAGAGTATTTATCTTACTATGTTTTTTTTTTTTTTTTTTTTTTTTTTTTTTCCCTTCTTAAATACAGATCTATGAAAATTCTGTTGTTATTTAAGGCTTAATCTATAACACTAAAAACTTATTTAAAATATTTTAGCTTTCCAGGCACCTTTTTTTTTAATATAAATATATTTGTTTTTGTATACTAAAACTGACTATATAAAATTGTTTATATAATCAGTTTTAGTATAGAAAGTTAATTATATATTTTATGCAATATAATAAGAGGACATTATAATAAATCAAATGCAGCATATATTTTTTATATATCTTTAAAAATTATTGAAATTTTCTATTTATAAATAAATGCAAGTTCATAAATGAATGATATTTGGACAAAATACACAAAATGAATAATTCAATCACATTTGAGATTCTAGATCAGCAGTTCAGGATGAAAAAAAGACCAGTAACGGTGGAAAATAACAAGATGTTATAATAAATGCTGATCAAAGGCAAACAATATTTAGAAAGTTTAAATTTATCATTGACTAAAATGGAAAGCAATAGCTAAAGATTTTCCATATGACTGTTACAGATAGAAATGCATATCAATTATAATGTAATTAGTTATATCAACCCTGCCCACATCTGTGATATTACTGCTTATGCCCAGCAGTGACTGAGTGGTTAAAGTCTATGAATTCTGGTAGTTTGACCTGGGTTCAAATCCCAGTGAACTGCATGTGTATTTTTGTGTTTGCCTCATGTGTAAATGTGGATACAAGCCAATTCCCTCTAAAAAGGCTTCCCCAAAGACATTTCTTCCTTGCAGGCATATAGCTCTCATGAGCTTTGCCACCCATACACACCATTCCCTTCCTCCCATCCTGTTACCGCATACTATACAAAATGATTGGTAACTAACCATATTTTCAATATTACATGAACTATCACGTCAGTTACTTCCATATCTCTTTTTCTTTACAACTGTTACATTGAAACCAGTTTGAGTGTGAAATTTTGTTTTAAATTTAGTTTGTTTCTTATAAAGCTGTTAAATATAAAGGGTTGTTCATACAAACATAGACAGAAGGTTAAAAAGTGGATTTTTGCACAGAACTGAAACTACCATGATAACTGCTCTGATTTGGTGTCTGTGCCAAGCATTTACCTGAAGACCATCCATTTCAAAGCTTGAAATTTCACAATAATGAATGCTTTAAAAAATTTGCAGAATTAACCGATATTTTTCCAAAAATAAATAATCATATTTGAGGATTACAGAATAATTTCATAACTGCTTTCAAAGAGTCTGACAAAACTGATTCCACGAACAAGAAGATAGGTTTGGGGAAATTATACATTGAAAAAAAAATTACAATACAATACCTGAGACCTTTAACTTACACACAAATCAAAGTCAAAGAAAGTCAATAATCCACTTAAAAGGATTCAAAGTGTTCTTAAAACATTGCTTTCTCAAATAAATACTTTTGCTACAATTTTCACAAATGAATCTAGTCTTTCTATCTTTTTTCTTGGAGCACTCTGTACACCTCTTGTAAGTCATTTTAGGTTCTTTTGGGAGACCGTTCATTGTTAACATGTTCATCGGTGGTCAGTGTTTGTCCAGAATCAGGAACCACAGATGCTCGCAGTCGTTCATTTTGAACATTTTCTATTAGCTGCATCCCTAAGGCTTTGAGAAAAGTACTCATCCCGTTTACAAGTAAAATTTTCTCGTATTGAATCAATATAAATATTTGTATTGTAACTACATGTTTTAACATATCTTCATCGATAAGCAATGACAAGGAATCTAAAGGTGTTGAGAAGTCTTTAGAATACTTTGTATTTCCAGGGAGTTTAGTTATAATATTTTTGGCGCCAATTCTAACATTAGTCCGGAATTTATTTTTGTTCGTTTTTACTCCATTTTTTCCAACATAAAACTCATTGCTACATTCTAGAACTTTCATTTTCTGTTTCTGTATCTGAATCACTACTCTCTATGAGTGAATCATGATTACTATTATATTCTTCGTCATCAACATCTTCCTCTTCTTCACTAAATGAATCCTCATCAGAAGAAACTGTTTCAAGGAGATTTCTCAATCTTTTCATCTCTTCATCGTAAGGAATATACGGCGCCATGCTTACGACTCAAGAAAAAACTATACTAAAAGCTTGAAAACGAGAAATGCGAAGTGACTCACTGAGAAACTCGAGTACACGCACGGGTATGACATGCCCGAACAATGCTGTTCCTAAAAAACCATTGCACTTGCCGCCTCAGGAATTTTCCCCATTTAAGTATGTGACCTTGAACTCAGCTACACCAAGTTTCGACCTTTTATGTAATAATGGGCAAGAAATATACAAAAAGAAAAATGCACATGGGTATGACATACCCGCCGCGTGTGCTCGCGGGTTAAAAAAATGCCAAAACAAAGTTTGGTACCCACCATCTTAGATGATAACCATACCTCATAAGACCTCATACATTAATGTCTGAACATAAGGAAAAACAATCTTTAGAATTCAAAATCTTTTACATAACACTGATTTGAAGATGAGTGAAATTCTGACAGCTTTGGTGTACTCATGGGTACCACACATATTATTTTTAAGCAGAACATTACATAATATTTCACTCAGAATAGTTGGTTGATTATAAAATATGATGCAATTTTAAAATACAGTACATTCTGTAAACAATAATTTTTAAAGGATAAAAGGGAGAACAGCAGAGACACCTTTACTCTTCAGCTTTTGTTCATTTATTACTTAAAATTTTATTTGTAATAGAACAGTAATCAATAATTATATTATAAAACTTTAATTTGTCACATGCTCAATTATTAATGTAATACAATTTTTTAAATTCAATATGACAAATGTCAGGAAGTTTTAAATGTTTTGAAAACGCATTTAACTGCCCTGAAATAACTTAGGCAGTATGTTAATTTCTTCTCCATTGAAAGTTTTTTAATACTGCTCAATGTAATCATTACCAGAGTAATTACGCTTCTTCACATGATGGATACTTTGCTTGCAAGATTAATCAAGAAGCTGCTTTAAGAATCAGTCTGGATAGAGAAAAGCCTTATTCTTATGATGAAATTCTATTTGATTCTTTTTGCTCTTCAAAATTTAGGCTCCTATGCATGGAAAAAGTTACAAGGAATAAACAAGGGCAACTTTTGAGTAACTGGATACCCCCAAATGGTGGGCACTCAGCCAACTTCAATTTGGCCACTACTAAGGCCGTAAGTGGTGGTCACTTTATTATGGAGGCACCTAATAGGTGAGTCAGCTTTGCCTCCTATGAAAGGATGGTCAGTTAAAGCTGTGCCTTCTCTGGGATTCGAACCCAGGAACTTTGGTATTGTAGTCAGCTCCCCTAACCAGTATACTGTGAATTGAACTGCTGGATATAATGATAAATTTTTTAAATGTTACAAATCATGGATCTATCATCTAAGACAGAGTTTCTTAAACTCAAGGGTTCCAGGACCTGCAGCAGGGGGTCATCAAACATTTTAACAGTTTTGATATTTTTTAACTTATTATAATAATTTTACAATTACCAAATATTTTTACACAATGTATCTGAAAATAGATGAAGATAAGACAATACAGACAAAGAAAACGTTTTCGATGCATTCTTTTTATAACATAAAAGTTCATTTTACTTGCTTCGCACATGATGCTGTCATTTCGTCTGTTACTTATTTAAAATTTAATTTTGAACTCTGATAACAATTTTCATTATTATACAATTATTAACTAAAATGTAAAAAAAATACAGTTTTCAGTTTTTTTTATTTTTTTTTTTTATTATTACAATCAATGTTGAAACTACAAGCATCTTCAAACAGAAACATTAAATCTTCAGAGTAAATGTTGCTGACTTTACAGAATGAACAACAAGAACCTTTTTCAGTTGTTATTACTATTTTGCAACACCAGTTTTTCGGTGGTTGAGATAACGTAAAAAGTAAAGTGCAAAAATATTTCAAAGAATTAAATTATTCCACATAAAAATATATCTTCTTATAATTATGCACAGAGTTTTCAAATGAGAATACTGTCAACAGACTTTTCTTCAATCTCGAAAACGGAACATTTCATGAAAACCAGCACTTTTTTACTTTGTTATTGTATATACAATATGTAATACACATCTTTGAAAATACAACATAAATATATAATACAAATGCATAAATGTACTGCAATATTAGTTCTGATATTTTAATACCTTCCACTAGTTCGAACAGATATATTAAATATATACAATTGCATATTTTAAAATTATATTTAAACTTGAAATTATACATATCAACACCACCTTTATGAAACACCTTTATCAACACCACCTTGAAATTATACATATCAACCAGTAAAAACCATTAATATATTTATTATTTACATAATCACAATGATCAATAAAATAAATGAAAAAACAATCTACACAAAACTTGTAAAATAGAATAATTTATTAAACACATCCAGAGAGTTAAAAGCTTCTTTTATTTATTTTTTTAATACATTAAGTAAATATTATTGGAGAAATTAGGATTCAGAAATTCTTATTTCATTTCTTAAATAAAAAGTGTAGTAACAGGAAATATAATTAAAAGTAAAAATAGAAAAAAATTTCCAACCACTTTTGGAACTAGAGATCTTAGAAGAAAACTTACAAAAGAGACAAAAGACTTCATTAAAGATGAAAAGATAGTATATAAAAGGTGAAGATATAAACAAGATAATTTAAATAAAACTAAAACCTATCATTTACATAAGTTTGATATTTGTTTGGTTTTTGGAAACCTATCCATATGTTGTACTAAAAAATAAGCCTCAGATTAATGTATTTTTATTACATGATTAAAATAATTTAAATCATTAAAGACTATAATTTTTAAAATTCAAAGATACATGATATTAAGTCAAAAAAGAATGCTATATCATTGACTACTATCCAAAACCAGAATCCAAACAAAGGTGCTTTTCAGACATGGTGTCAACAGACATAGAGAGTTATGAAATGTAACAAAATTCACATCCCTGAGTGCTAGAATATTGAATGCACTAAGAAATAAAACTATGTTTTGTTTATGAAGTTTGTCTACCCTCACTTTGTGTTCTTATTTTATGAATAAATTTTATGATTAAAATAAATATTAAACCAAAGTATTTTTTCAACTATACAATAAAATAAAATTAATAAACAAAACAATATAATCAATTTAATGTAGGACATGCACATCATTTTATAAATGCTTTTAAAAACAGAGACTACTTAGAATTATTACTTTAATTAGAATTACTTTTGCAATTTAATGCAGTATGGTAACCAAAGGCATTAATTTCCTTGCATAGTTTTTTAAAGTTAATATATACAAGTATTTACATTTACTCTTTCAATCATGTTCTTAAAATAAATATGTAGTCTATAAATAGAAAAGTTTCACCTATGAATATCTAAGCTACATTAAAAATATATATATATATATAAAAAAAAAAAAAAAACAATGGAAATTACTTACTAGCACTACAGCTCTAACAAAAAGAACCATTTTTAAGGAAATACGTCAGGTTTGAATTAATATTTTTAATGTGATAATAAATACACTGTGCCAAGAATTATGACTACATTTCCTGGTAGGATGCATTTATTATTATTTATTTCAGTACTGAAAAAATATCACTTTTCACCCTTTTTTGTAAAGCATAATTGTGTAACAGAAATATACATACAGTCCTTATTTAATAACATCTTCAATTTAGACTGTCTTCACCAGTTCAAGCTGAAATATATATAGCCACCAATTGCAGCATTATATTCATTATAGATCCCCCCTTTTTTAAGGAGCACATTTGTTGTGAAAATAATTAAGATGACTTTTTGATTTAAGAATACTTTTCAAAAGTTCATTAATTAGAGTCTGATTATAAATTATGAAATAAAAAATCTAATAATGCCAGAAATGGTTTTATTAAACCGCTTTTTATTTGATCGTTTTATGTCGTGGATTAAAAATTTGTATATCTGTTTGCATAGCAAAATAAGTATTCATAATGACAGTGTGCTTTTCATATATATTTAGACAGTTTTTTATCATTTTGGGGCCAGTATGGGTCGAGCTAATACATAAATATATACATATATAAAGAATTTTTTAAACATGATTGAAATACAATAACATGCCCGCATTAATAATGAGAAACAAAATTACAAATGTACATCATCATTCACTGATCAACATGAATAAAATTAGTGATTTCAGATGAATTATAAAAAAAGATATAACCTGATGAAAATTATGCAAATAATCAACTAAATAAAGATGACATGACCTTAAAGGAAAAAGAAAAGTGGAAGTCTTAAATTGATGCAAATGAATTAGATAAATTTTATGAACATTTAAAAATACACCAGATAAAAATGTGCAGTATATAAATTTAAAACCACAATTCCTCATTTTCTTGATCCATATGCCCAGAGGATCTATTAGATTCATCTTCTGAATCACTTACAACTAAATCATTGCTAACATTATCTTCAGCTGCATCATCTTTTGACTGCTGAAAATCATACCTCCCTTGCAAAAGAAACTCTGAAGGATCATAATTTTCATCAATTATTTCTGAATTTTCATTATCAGCACATAAAGTTAAATCAAACTGCATCACTTCAGCATTGTCTGAAGTCACATGCTGCATTTCAGTGTCACTATCATATTGTATCTTTTCACTGAAACCACCTTCAGATTTCACTAATAAATTATGACCTAAAAGAACAGATTCATCATCCTCTTCTTCATCATAATCATCATCCTCATCACCTTCAACATCAACGAACTCCATATCTTCATTATCTTTGGACTGAAATGAAATAATTTTATAAGCACTTATTAAATAAAATAACAATTCATTCAAGACACACAATTTAATCTCCATCAACGCTATGATTAAATGCATCAATGCAATATGAGCATAGCAGATATTGTAGCAAACTGCTCTCATTGACAAAAAACAAGCTACATGAATGAAATCAAGTATATAGGTTCATGACCATTAGATATGCTAATTATTTAAGTTTCACACTTGTCTGCACAAAATATGGCAGAAAGGAAAGGCTTTTCACTGTACCTGCCATACTTTAAAAAGTCATTAAAATAGTGTATTTTATTTTGACTTATGTTGTATTGAAGCCACAGGTTTAAAATGTATTATGCCCTTCACATGAATTCAACAGTAATTTGTGCAGCCGGATATGTTCAGAAGCAGTCGCAACATAGCTACATCTGTATGAAGGATGATAGTCATTTTATTGTATTGCACATCTACAGGTCTCAGTTGCATAGATGTTACTATCACATGCTACTGGTGACAATGGATTCACAAACATTTGACCCATGCATACAGGTTTAGGGAGATCTTCATATAACATCCTGCAGCCAGGCTGAATAGCAGAAGAAGTTTTGCTTTTGTCTTGGTACAGGTGACCAAATGTATTCGCATCTGTGAGCAACACAGTCAGCACTAAGATGAAGGTTTTACTGTCACACACTGCACATTTAGACAAAGAGTGTTATGATAAGAGGTGTAGTTTCACAACAATGCCCAAACACCATCAGTCATCAACATGGGCTCACTGACAGCCGAATGATATACTAAAGAAATGGTGGCTCTGTCAACGTCTACCCCAGTGCTCTATTCAATAGAAAAACACTCATTCATATATTGCTCACATCTCATGGACTTACCTTGCTGCTATGGTCAAACACATTGTTACACCTGCCCTAAATAGAAAACCTCCAGGATGTTATAATCCAAAGTTCAGTCTAAATGGAATGAGCTAATGCAAGACTATATTAAATATTTCTGTGAACCCATGTCATTACTTGTGACAGAATGCATTAGAAATAATGGGGCCAAACATAATATTGAGAGTGATAATATTCTTTTAAAGCTATGTAATAAAGATTTGTCATACCACTCTCATTTTTTAATAATTTTGTGTACTTGGTGATGATAAACTTCCTTCCACATAACATTCCAATCTGACATTTTTTATCAATACATATAGCTATTTAGATCCAATTTCATTGATAATCTACTTTATGTCAAAACTTTTGGGATGTGTTCTTAGATAAGGGAGTCCAATCAAAAACAGAAAACACCTTTTGGTACAGCTTTTGATGAGTTTATTGCGTAAAGCATTGTTATCAACCAATGCTGAAAAACAAAAGCACTTAAAATGCAGATCCAATGACCTTCCAGTAGATTATTTAAGCAGAAAACCCTGTAAACAGCGCAAAACCTATTTTTATATAACAGAGATTATACCTGAAATATCTCAGCCAAATAATGCATTCTTCAAATAAAACATTTAAGATAAAGCATAATACAGAATAATGGAATATATCAAATGCAATAAAAAAACCTCCAAATATTAGATAAAGATAATACATGAACTTCAAGAGAAGTGATTAAACCTCAAATACATAATTAAAAGCAATATTTTAAATTTCCTGAAAAACCATTATTTGTTCTGTTGAAGAGATCAAATGTTAAAAGCGTAAGTTTTCTTCATAACTTAAACATGGCATAATTTTATTTCACTTTTGATACAGCCAAGTATTTAATAATTGAAAATATGCACAATTCAAAGCTTTTTCTTAAAAATCTTAAATGATGAATAAGTGAGTTACGCATTCTAATCCATCAGATATTTAACAGAAAGAGGGCATCAGATATTTAACAGTAAAATAAACTGAATTACATATCTGATAGTAAATTGGTCCAACAACTTGCAATGTATGTATTCCATTTACAGAATTACATTAATGAATTTTTTAAAATTTATAATACATTTTGTTTTTAACTAGTTAATAATGAATTGTGTATATATTTAACTTGACGGATAACACTTACTTTCCCTCTATGCTGATCATCATACTTATCTCCAGCTTGACTTTCTGTGCAACTTCCATCATCATGCTGGAAGGAATTCCCTGTAATGGCTGAATCAGTTTCAATAGCTTCTAAAGCAGCTTCTTGGGATGATTTGATAGCAGCTTCCAGGACAGTGAGTTGATCATCATACTGAAATTATTAAAATTACAGCACATCAGAGTTAATTCACTAAAGATAACTACACTAAATTAATTAATAAGTTACTATTAGGGATATGTAATTTTGATGTTAAAAAAATGAAAATTAAAAAAATCAAAACTAAAAATTTCATATTTATTAAAAAAATTACAAATCACTGTTTTTCAAAGCTACTGTTATCATCAAATAAACTACTACTACTACAATAATAAACAGAAAGGAAGTAAATGATGCGTTAATCGCAATAATCTTTTCCTCAAGTCTTTGTCTTCTATCTATAACTGTGATGTTATAGAATAAAATATATCTTGACTTATGGCATATTAATGGACCATTAAGGCTATTAATAGACTTTCGATTATGTCAAATAGAATTTCTGAATCTGGAGCTCCCAAAGGATCGTACAAAACGAAAGTATGTTTCGATGTCCATCAAACAAAAAGTGGAATTGCTGCAAAAAATGGATAAAGACATGAAGAATGTGACAGAGAGCTTAGTGAAAACGTGTTTAATGAGACCATTAAAGCTTTGAATAACAGTTATTGTGAAGTTTTAGGGCAGAATGTTGTTGTTTTAAGAATCAACATGAGTGTCTTGACTGACCACTGTAAAAGACTGCTTATTAAAAGTTTACATCTATAAATGAGATTCTCTTTTGGAATCCCTTTAAAATATTATACTTTACAGTAGCTTTTTAATAAATTTGGCTTCAAAGCCTATTATCGTACTTATCCTAGCCACAGGTGCACAAAATAATCTCCAAACATATTAACAAGATTAATTTGTTGCATTCAATAGCAATGTGCAGAGTCAATTTATTCTAACTCTTCTCTGTTTCTTTTACCATTACTTTGTGTTTCTGATCAACTTAACCTTCCTTGCTCATCAAAATACTTTCTGTCTTATCACCAAAATAATCACCTCTTTGGTACTCAAGAGAAACTTAAAATCATCTGAACTCAACAAGATATAAGCAAGTGTACAGTTTGATTCTTCTATCAATTTATAACTTTTGAAGAAAATTCAGAAATGAAAGCCAACTGGATCCTTCATTTTCAAAACATTCCTTTAGGAGACTGATACTCAAGTTAGCATCTGCATATTCATTTAGATAAACAAAAATATGCTCCACATATTTACTCAAATAAATGAGAGATTCGAACCATGAATTTCACCACAGATGCAGGATAAAGTTTTCATTCCAGATGAGGTGTCTTTTCTTTTAAGTATCTTAAGCATGCAGTTTTCATTTTCTCGAGGACAAGAAAGCTACTTTTATTTTATATATAATAGTATTAAATTCTTTGAATATTTTAAATTTTCAATAAACCTTATGGTATCATCGCACTGAGATCTAAAGTCATGCAATCATGGAGCAATAAATTCTGATTTTAAACCAATACAGGCAATGATACTTTCGTTTATGTATAATACTTTCTCTTTAATTCTATAAACAGACATAATTTCTTGTTCAGTTACAAAGTTCCGCTGTTCAAGTCCCGTTAATTGCTGTGCCGAGAATACCGACTAACTTGGTCAATCGGAAATTTTTTCGTTTTCACTAACCTCTCTGTCACATTCTTCATGTCTTTATCCATTTTTTGCAGCAATTTCACTTTTTGTTTGTTGGACATCGAAACATACTTTCGTTTTGTAGATCCTTTGGGAAGTTCCAGCATCGGAAATTCTATTTGACATAATCGAAAGTTCAAGTTTACTTTTATAAAATTGCTCTTACAGTCTGCAAAAAATAATAAGCGGGATCCAATTCGAAGATTAAGGAACAACGCAATCATTAACATTAACTGAAATAGATAATTAGATAATTTTAGCTTACACCGTCCGTTATACATTAAACGCGCAGGCGAAAACGTATTCTGCGCTTGCGCACACGCATATGCGCAGTAGTCAAGGTCTTACGCGCACGCGTAAACGCCTATGCGCATGTGTCAACGCGGCGCATGCGCAGAAAGTTTTTAGCTTCGAGGTACGGATTATAGATCATTCCGGATTATGGGTGTCCGAATTAACGACTTTTGACTGTATTAATGTTTATCACCTTATATGGTACAAATGCAACATCAAACCATGTCTTTACAATATATGTTTTAAATGATTCTCTTTTCAGTAATGCATTCACATGCACTTTTTACCATCTTTGAGATCATTTTGTGGAGCACCTGTAAACTCGATACGGCTAACTGCCATCTTAGCATTCCTCTTTAAGTCCTCTAGTTATGCCGTTTATTTGCATAGGCATTTCCTATGAGATACCCAAAACAGGAAAAAAATCTGCTAGTGACAAATTGGATGAATACTGAGGTCCATAAACCTTTTACAATGATATATTTGCTGAGAAATCCATGCAAGAACTTCATGAAATGACTGGACAAAAACACCGTTTTGCTGGAACCAACACTCAAATTCGTCAGCTTCAAGAAGCACAGTAAAGCTGCATAGTAATTAATGCCTTGATATACTGCATTTTTCATCTTAGTTTCAAAAACTATTCTACATGTCAGTCTAGCAACACAACAACACAAATAACTCATATGCAGATGCTATATGATCAATTAATAACAGACAAAAATTATGCTTTGTAAATATTCTTACAGTGCCATCTAGCTATATATGATACAATTACTACAACTACAATTCAATTTAAAATAAGATGTTTGCTTGATGTGCACAATGGATCACACTGTATTTTCAGTATGAGGGCAGTCCTGTAGCATGTAGATTGATATTAGACCTTTAACTTCGGAAGTATTCCCTTTTATATTCCTTCAACATGTCAACTACTGCTTGAAAGCAATTAGAAGTATTAATGATGTTTAAAAAATATGCACTTCCCATAAAACATGATTGTTTAGTTTCTGAATTAATAGTTTTCTGTAAGACTGGAAAAACACACCTTCATTGCTTGTCAGATGTTTCATTGGCCATTACAACTATTGATTTATCTTTTAGTGCTTTTTTCTTGGAGTATGCTCAAATGAGTACATACTTATATCTTGAAATATCTCCAGAAGAAAGATTATGGCACACATTTTACCAAATAATCACACATAGGGTTATTTAATTTCAAAAACAAAATATTGACTTTTAATCAGATTTTCACTGTGTTGTTTTCTTTTTCCATTTTTGCCCTTTTTGGTACTTGAAAATTATTGAAACTTATAATCTGCTGTTTAATCCCATATCAGCCAGAGGAGGCTATATTTTTCTTCTTTACTAATGCTAGTCACATGTTTCATTAAGGAATCCTTTTAAGGAATTAAGGAATCCTACAAATGAACATTACAATATATATAGATAACATTATGTGTATCCCTTAATGTACAAATTTCTTTCCTCTGTCATTATTAGCCCAAAAGAAACATTAGTCTCGAAGGGAATACTAGTCTAAACATGGCATTTTGAATTGAATCACTATAAACAGCATATCCCTTTTCAAATTGCTATCACTCAAATATTATCATCCTGTATTATATTTTTAGAAAATAAATAATGAGGAATATGCATCAATGTATGTATGCTTCTAACATTGTGAAAAAACATCTGTACCTAGAGCCATCAAATTTTGAATAATGTAGTCCTTCACATAAATATGGATACCAAATTTTGAATTTAATTTATTATCTATTTCATATTTCGTAAAACTTTAATGAATTTGTTAAGACACAAAGCATCAATAATAATAATAATAATAATAATAATAATAATAATAATAATAAAAGAGAGAGAGAGAGAAATCTGAAAGCTTTCAGATTTTACATTATGCCAAAAGGGGGCCTTTTTTTTTTTTTTTTTAACATTTTGTGTGTTACCTTTATTTAATAAATACCATGTTCTTCACACTTCAACCATAACATTCAATTCAACATCAACATCGCAAAGTAATTTTTTAATGAGCATATCTTTAGAATTTCCGATACTCAGTATTGCATGTTGGAGATAAAAATGTCCCCCCCCCCGTACAGTGTTGCCATTGCACGCTTTTAAATCGTTGAGTTTGTTAATAAAAGTTTGTTCAAGTTTTACAAAATTTGAAATAACTAATAAACAAATTCTAAATTCTGGCTTCCAGATGCCCATATTTGGGTGGAAACGTACATTATTCAAAACTGGACGGCTCTAGGGTACTGTTGTTTTATCACAATGCAAGAAACATACATACATTTATGCAGATTCTTCATTATTTAATTTCTTTAAATACAATATAGGGCTCTATTATAAGGCAGCAACAATTTGAAAAGTAAACCAATATTTTCAATGAAAAATGCCAAAACGAAATTAATAGTCCTTCTGGGGAAATTGGTCCTTTGGACTGAAAAAGGTTTGTAAATCCATCTTAGTAAGAAAAGAGAACATTGATACAATGAACAGGGAAAACAACTGCTATGCAGCTTTTAAAATTTTCACAATTTTGCTGCTGAATTGTGTATGGCGTAAGTGTGAAGAAAATCATGCTTAAAAATAAAAAGGCATTAAAAATGGAGGTCAGTAGGAGTAAGTGTAACAGCAGACTGCGAGCTCAGCGTAAAAAAATCTTAATGTACTCTTCTGGGAAGCAGTTAAAATTTGAAATCTTTCAGATTTCCTCCTTCTCTTTTATTGCAATCTACACTAATAAAACTTTATGAGCACTAAATTCAACCGGATATTTAGAAAGCAAAACAAAAGATATGTGCATTTATTTTACAGTTTTGTGACATGATTTTGGCTAAGGTGACTGGCGTGGAATGAGCGAGGTAAATATATACAGAAGGGAGATAGGCAGTTGGTGTGTGTAAGAGGAAGACAGAAATTCCAAACAATGCAATGAGTCACTGGATGATGAGTGCCATGCAAATGAAACAAAAGAAATTATTTTTTAAATACTTCCCTTTGCCCAGATTTCATTCAAAAAATTTCACATTTAATCACTTATACTATTAAATTTCACATTTATTTACAACTATTATGTAAATATGAAAATTATGTAGCTCTAGTCATTATGCATATTGCCCAGTCCCATAAGATGATTATTACTCATAATGTATGGCACCAGTCATAAGTAAGTTAGATACAGCTTATATTGAGGTACCCTCGCCAAGTACAGCTTATATCGAGGAAACTCTTTTGCAAGGACATAGAGATTAAAAAACATAATTAACCAGAATAAAAATTAAATGCAATTCATAAATTTTAGATTACAATCTAACACTTTCAATGAATTTACAATTGAAATTCAAAAATTAAGACACAGCCATTATTTTTTGGTAATTTTTCATTATGCACCTGCCCCATATTTTGGTGGTATTGTTGTGTGTATGTGTGTTTAATTACTTTTGTTTAAATACAAACACATGCACATATAGTCTCCAGATTGGTGCTATCATCGGGCTCGGTACATGTTTGGCTTTTCTTTCACAGGGACCAAAAAGCATGTCAAGTACACCCACTTTTCAATGAACCATCTGCAAACAAAGCTTGCAAAAATATATCTCCCATTTAAAGTGGCATTACTTCTTATTTTTCCAGGATGCTAAATCTGTTAATTGAAAATAAACACTGAAGGGAAAATAAACACTTTACTTTGAAGTGTAAAAATATACAGCATGCGAAATTTTAAGAAGTTTGGGGACCTAATTTTAAGATGTGCATATATTCTATTCTAAGTGCATACACTTTACTCTACTCTCCTTAATGATGACATCTGAACTAAGGTCTTTATATAGACCAAAAGGATTAAGTACTTCCAATGGTGTATTTCTATTCAGTTTTAGTAAAAAATGTAAAAATTTCCGTAGGTTATTTTATTAGATTTCCTGTAACACATTGCACTTTTAATGCTTCAAATGATGTGTATAATTTTCAATTGATATTTAACAGAAGGATAATCTTGATTACATATATACAGATGTTATATAGACTATAGATGTACACCCAATCAAAAAAAAAAAGGGGGGGAAGGAACAATTCTATATCTCCCGTTCTGACTAAATTCAACTTACGTGTTTCACATCTTGAAAGCACGATTTAGGATATATATTAGATTTATATATAGCATTGTTCTTACTTGAGTATTTTGACACAAAATTTGACATTTTCTGAAGTAACATACCATTTGAGCTTGCTAAACAAACTCTGAGCTAAAAAAGCTCTCCATCTTGCTACTGTTATTTCCTGTTCGTTAAGAACAACAGTCATTTCAGTTAGAATTTTTTAAGAATTGCCAAATCTGCATAGGTGAGCTTTTTTTTCCTACCTCTATTTTGTTCGATATACTCAAGCATACTATCTATTAGGCTGTTCACTAAAATACATTATCTATTAGCCTTTCTAATTGCATACAGAAAAAAAAAAAAAAAAAAAAAAAAAAAAAAAAAAAAATTCAATTCAAAGTGTGGGAACTCCTTATATCAAAGATAAGTGCAAAAGATTTTTACCCTTAAGGAAGAGAAATCTGATTTCTCTCATAATGCAAGCTATATTCTACAAATTGATGCAAATCTAAAGTTGAATTTTGTCTAATTTTTATTGCAAATTTACACGCTAATTACTGACTAAATTACTTCAAATAATTTAAAAAGAATTTGCTATATTAAAATAAAAAGGCAAACAAGTTGTACCCTTTTCAAAGCAGCTTCACAAGCTTCCATTATCTCTCTTGCTTTCTTAGTAAACTGACTATCTGGACCATTAAATGTAAGGCTATTGGTAAGTAACAGTTCCACATCAGCTTTAAAATCTTCTCTGTTGCTGTACTTATGAGCTTTAATATTCTAAAAACATTAAATATGTAGTTAATAATATATGAAACATATTACACATACATCAAATGTTAATGCAAAAGTAATATGTGTTACAATAAGAATATTTTGAATAACAGCCAGGTCACTCCGAAATTTTGAGATAAGTGCAAGTGGTAGAAAAAAATTAATGGTTAGATTTGAAAATCTGAACTATTTTAGCTTAGCAGGTGAATTTTTATGGCCAACTGCAGGTAGTTTAGCATATAACAAATTTTAGGCAGAAGGAAAAATGGAGTTGATCTGAGAACATTATCACACTATGATTTTCTATAATTTTAAATGGGATTGAAAATGAAGGTTCATCTTGTGCTACTATATTCAGATGATTTACAGATTTCACAGAGGTCACAACTCAAGGATAAAGGACACACAGGAAGGCCGTTGTCAGCAGTAATCCCGGATAATTTGTCTGCCATATGAAAAATGTTGTTAATCGATTACAATCACTGCACATATTAAATTATACAGAAAGAACTTAACATCGGATCTGCAGCCACACATAAAATTATTCATGAAGAATTGCATATTAAAAATCTAATTTGCCATTGAGTTCCCCATAACTTAAATGAGCATGGAAAAGAGGAGCATATCAAAATCAGTAAAGAAACCCTTAAATTACTTAGAGATCGAGGCCACCACATTATTTCTAAAATTGCAACTGGTGATGAAATGTACATACCATTTTTTGAGGTTCCAACACATTAAGAAAGTAAAGTATGTCTTTGAAGATGCTCATACATCCACAATGGCGAAAAGACAATATGCCGTGAAGAAAGTAATATAATCCGTTTTCTTCAGAAGTACAGAACTGGTCAAAGCTATCAAGCTGGAAGGACATAAGATAACTGATATAAGTGTTTTCCAGAATTCTTCAAGAAGTGATTGTTCATGCTTCACCATGACAATGCATCTTCTCATTCAGAAAGACTGACAGTTGAACAAAAACATATCAAAGTGACAGAACATCCACCCTATTCACCCGATATAGCTATGAGTGACTTTTGGCTATTTTTAATTTAAAAAGGAACTCATGTGGACATCGTTTTCATTCCGAAGATGAGACTGATGAGGCTATAAATGCACTTTTTCATCAATCCAAGAAATGGATGGCTTGAGGCATTTAATCTTTGGAAAATTCACCTACAGAAGTATATTGATACTGGAGAAGACTGCTTTGAACACTCCTAAAATTTCCTGAGTATAACTTTAAAAACCTATGTGTATCTAAAAAATTTCAGAGTGATCCTCATAAACCAAAGAGCAACAGAAGTAAATGATCAATTTAAATTAGAAAAAGCCTAAATATAATACTTACAGGGAGAACTTAAATGATACCACATCAAATACAAAATATAGTGTTAGAAACATATTTTATTACATAAAATACTTCTGCTAGTGTTTAATAATTAACTGACCATACTGTAAATTACTCATATTTATAAATCATTTAAGTATGTAACAAAAATAAAATTAAAATAAATGTGATGATTAAAAGCATCACTTAATGGTGACCCACAGCTTGTATTACTGCTGGTTACAGATCCATTGGTCACCCTTCTGGGTCAGTACAATTAATTCAGATAGTACTTTAAATTTAAAAAAAAGGCCCTCGATTACTCATCAAGGTTGCTTATTACCAGCGACCTACAGACTGATGGTCACGTGGAATCTACCTATATGTCACTAATTTCAATGCTGAAGTAAATTTAGTTAGATCTTCCAAATTAAATTTAAACTGAAGCATACAGATGGCTATTAGTCACCAAAGACTTATGGAATGATAGTCACTAATAGTCACCAATAGAACATCATTGTAGAATGTAGCAGTAAATTATTAAATTAAAATGAAGCACACTGGTGCTCATCACAGCTGTTGATTACTGATGATCTGTAGTCTGATTGCTATTTGAGAGGTTATCCCACAGACTGCCTGTTTAGGTGACAGATAATTTTAAATCAATGACAATACAGACATATTGATTAAGCTTGTTGAGCACCAGAGACTACATATTTACTGTTATTGAAAGTAAGCTTGTAGGTCATCACTGTAGGATAGTGAAGTAATTTAGATAAATATTTACATTAAATTAAACTGAAATGTACAGTACCTGTCAAAGTAATTGGTCACAAGTGACCTACATGAATTAACAGTCAACCACAGATGATTAGTGCAGATCAGTGCAGTAAATTTAGATCTAAAATTAATCCCAACCAAAGGTCTCTTTTAACAATTAAACTTTTTATCACCAATGACCATCAAGGTCACTGACCATTAGTAAACTATGGTTTACCATCAGGTGTAGGGTAGTGAAACGTTGTTGCTCTGGCAACACTTGTCAGGACAACCAATAAGATGTACACAATACTACAACTTGAAGTAACATTTAAAAAATTTGCAAAGACTTTAAAATGAATAAAAATTTAAATTTTGCAAAGAAAGATTAAGGAATGAAAAAATATCCGGCAAATCTTATTCAAAAATAACAATTAAAATAAAAAAATAAAGAGAAAGAACAATCATCTATTACAGGGTTTCTTAAACTTTTTTCATTCGTGACCCCCTTTTATCACTAACCCACGGAACCTGATAATATTTACAAAAATTTTGTGGGATCCCGTAAGTATTGCACAAATCCAACACACGAGTGAATGAAATTGTCAATTTTTTTACTTGTACTGCAATATACTATTACAGTTTTAGGTCATTAACTTTAATTTCTAATTTTAAGCCATAGAACAGTGTGAAAATTTTAAATAAGTAACAGATGAAATGACAGCATAATGTGCAAAGCAAGGAAAATGAACGTTTATATTATAAAAAGAATGCGTCGAAACGTTTTCATTTTTTTTTTCTTTGTCTGTATAGTCTTATCTTTATCTATTTTCTGATACATTGTGTAAAAATATTTGGTTACTGTAAAATTATTATAATAAGTAAAAGAAATATTAAAACTGCTAAAAGTTTTGGCGACCCCTGCTGTAGGTCCCACGACCCCCGAAGAGGTCGCGACCCACAGTTTAAGAAACCCTGATCTATTACAACAACACTTTTTAAAATTATCTTTTGAATGTTTAAGTTTACATGTCCCATGTCTTTACCTATCAATCACTTTCATGTAACTAATAAAGCAACTATAAGCAAATATATTTAATAGATATCATACCTTTATTATAGTATCCAAATCTATTGGATTCTTGATAACATTGTAATATTCCTTCACAAACTTTTTGCTAACAGGTTTGTGAAATGGCCAAGACTCTGGAATTGCTTTCAAGTCTTGAGCTACTATAGTTTCTAAGATGAATGAAAATGCAACTTGGTCATTATCATCAAGAAGAGGATTGATAGCTTTCTCAAGCCTCATCAGTTTTTCTTCCTTGTCTGCAAATCGTTTTAAGCAATGTTCCATCATTTTTTGAGCTGTCTGACTCAACGAGCTTTTTGCACCTGCAATGACAGCATAATAATAAATACTGATGCAAAATGTATTATTATTAATTAATTAAATACAATTAACAGCAATTATTAATTAAATACAATTAACAGCATAAATTACTAGAAATAATCACAATTTATGCCTGATTATATAATAAATATTCCATTACAGAATTAAAAGATATACCAATACAGAGAAATATCTATAAAACACAAGGATTGAATTCATAAAAAATTTAATTTGAAGAAAACAAATTATTACTGTATAGACTTTTATGCTTATATTCCTTTTATTGTTTCCTTCTGTATAATTTTTAATAAGTACAGAAATTTTTGAAACATCAAAGCTCATTTTCAGAATAACATTTTATTATCTTATGTTTTTCTGGGAGTCTGAATGTGCTTTCCAACATAAGTTTTCTTTTTAAAAAATCAAAGAAAAGAATGTAATCTGTGAGATGCCAAACCTGGCAGTAAGTGGATGATAATACAAATTACCTCCCCTTCTATCAAATACCATGACAATAACTACATTATGGAAAAGGCACCAAAAGTTCATTAACGCACAAAGTCTCTTCTGGTCTAGCAGGATGAATTACTCTTAGAATTTGAGTCGTTTTATTTTGCAAAATATGGAGTGCATTAACTTAAAAATTAACTTAAGTAAAAATACCTTTTGAAATCTTTTAAAATGTTTTAAAAGGAAAAAAGTGAGATATGCCAGCAATTATAACCACAAATTATTATTTGGGAGGTCGTATGTGATTAACTGAAAAAAATTCAGCTCTAAAATTCTATTAGATGGAACAGTGTGCAGTAATATAATATAAAAAATTAAAATGTAGTAACCAGATTATTTTTTGGACAGAAGGGAATAAAACTTTGAAAATTTGAAACCATACAAAAAGTAGCTAATAGTAAAAAGTTTTACTTACTCAGTATTTTAAAATGGAAATGATGCATACTTTTTTAAGCAGACAGTGCCGGTTTTAACTACTGATAATACGAGATTTAAAATGATGCTTTTCCATTTTCAATGCATGAATTTTTCAAATATAGCTCTAATAATTAATTATATTACTACTGCAAGGAAAATTTCTCGTAAAAATAGCTTAATTTTTAATCCCACGAAGAAAAACATAATGCTTAAAACCCATTAAATGGGTTGATTACAGCTGCTCATATAGATTTTCCTCAGTTAAACTTGGATTTGGCTCTAGCAAGACGTAATAAAAATAATGGAATTAAAAAAATATTTATAAGATGATTTAATAATGTTGACAACTTCTGTTCAAGCAGAATTTTAAACTAAAATTAATTATTTCTGCAGTTAAACTAAAAATAATAATTGCACTTATAATAACTCATATCATAATAATTGTATTTAAAATGCATAGGTGAAGATTAAAAGTTTACATTACCATTATATATATTGCTGTTTTCAACAATTAAATTAACATCTTGTAAAAACTCTTCCCGACTCTTATATTTCCGCTGATGTAATTTTTCTCGCATTGTTTGGAGATCCATAGGCCTATGAACAATTCGATGATAATCTGGCACATTTTTAGCACTAACAGGAAACCAAAATGGTTGAGTCTAGAATAAAATACATATAAACATACAATCAGTAACATAAAATCATCATCTCTATTCTAATTTACAAGTTTAATAAAAGGGCACCTAAAATTTAGCTTAACAAATTGCAGATTTAAAGTTTTAAAATATTAATGGTAACTTATTGAAAATATCAAGATATATTTTTTCTATTTCTCAAAAGTCTTTTACCTATATAAAAAAACAAAGACCAATCAATAATATATCACAGGTTTTTTTTTTGATTTGAACATTATACCATACAAGGAGTTTTGAAGAATATGAAACAAAGGGAACTCTGAAGACACAGAATCAGGTGAATATAGTGCATGCAGAATACATAAAGTATTTTTTTTTCAGTGATTAAACATGTGTGTGTTCTCATGTTATCATAATGGAAGACAAGTCCTTTATGATTAATGAGCTTTAAATATTTTGGCTGATGGTTTCATTCAAACTGTTCAGCTGTTGACATTACACATTCAAACTGATTGTTTGGTTGCTTTGTAGGAGAATAAAAAATAAATAAATAAATAAATTGTATGCTTAATATCTCCCCACTATAAAAACATAATTCTTCTCAGATGGATGTCTGATTTCAGCGTTATTTGAAGTGGTTCATAACATTAAAATCAAGGCAGTTGGAGTGCTCCATTATATAAAAAAACTGCACGCTAATGAGCATATTGCAGAGTCGTAGCTAGGGTTTTCAGCGCCCAGGGGCAACTGAAGATTTCACGTCCCCTACTGCTTACCAAGGATGGAAAACATTTAATTCTAAAATGTCGTAACATCAGTTTGGCGCCCCTTGGATTCTGCGTCCGGGGACAGATGCCCCCCCTCTAGCTACGCCCCTGGCATATTGCAAATATTTATACATATCATTAAATGAGTTTCTTCGAGTTTATGATTAACTCAAATATCATGCTTGTTTCCTATTCCAGCTTCTTCAGATGGCTTTAAATGACTGAATGACAGATGTTCAATGCTTCTGTGATGTCTTACATTGTACAATGTGCATTTGATTGATCTATGTCTTTGTTCCATCATCATTAAACTGAATTCCTTTCCGTGACCGAGCAGTAGATCAAAAGTAGAGCAGTAGATCTTAAGATCGAAATCATTAACCAGGAATTTCATGAACCATTGATGTTTTAATACAAGATTGTCATTATAAACTTTACACAAATGTTTAGAAGCTTAATAAGCATTCTCCCCTTTAGTAATGCAGTTGAACCTTCCAAAAATGCCTAATTTGATCTTCCATCTTCAGTTTATTGTAAAAATTCGAAATTCAAGAAAATTCAACCAAATCACTCAATTTTTTGAGAATGAAACTAGAAATTTCAGCTGTGCAAAGACACATAACATAGATACAAATGACTCAAGTACTTCCAAAAATGAGCTGATGCCATATATTACAAAAATGCATCCATACATTACAGTAACAGACAATAAAAAGACACATACAGTCAAAAGTCTTTAATTCGGACTCGTCAGGACTTCGGCGATTCCGGATTATAGATCATCAGTTTAAATTTGGTAAGATGGCATGCAGAAATTATAAAATTAAAAATATGAAACCATAATTTATGAAATAAAGAGCAATTATGATCTAAAGGGTAACAAAATTTACAAAAAAAAAAAAAAAGTTGTTTACTTTATTAAACATTTCTTTCAACGCGCACATGCATAAAGCATACATTACACATAGTCGAAATTAGAAAATTGCAACCAGAAAACTATTTGATGTGTATTCGTGATATTTATAATGACGAGGAATTTGATTAAATCATCATAAGACAGAGTACATCGAGATGAAATACTACATTTAGTAAGGAATTATAAGCTTAATAAATTAAAAACATCTGCTCTGAAGATAAGGATAGTGCCGACCGATCAACTTCCAGTTCATTGTGTGCCGTGTTGTCCCCCCCTGCAGAGCAGCGTGAAATTGATAGACATATTGCGGAATGATTAAAGAATCAAAGGATATGCCTTTATTCATTTTTTGCAGCAATTCCACTTTTTGTTTGATGGACATTGAAACATGCTTTCGCTTTGTAGATCCTTTGTAGCTCCAGAATCAGAAATTATTTTTGACATGATCAAAAGTTCAAGCTTACTTTTATAAAATTGCTCTAACAGTCTGCAAAAAATAATAAGCCTGATCCAATTCGAAGATTAAGGAACAACACAATCTGCAACATTAACTGAAATAGATAAATTAGATAATTTTAGCTTAGCTTATACCGTCCGTTATACATTAAACACGTATGTGTAAACGTATTATGCGCATGAGCAGACGCATGTCTGCATGCCTAAAGGTATTATGTGCACGCGGTACGCAAACATGCATTGACGCATGCACAGAAAGTTTGTAGCTTTGAGGTCCGGATTATAGATCATTCTGGATTATGGACATCCAGATTAAAGACTTTTGACTGTATTATATTAAAACAAAAGTAGTCTTATACACCTGGCAATTAGAGGATTAAAAGTATTTTACATCATCATAAAACCAGCAATATAAAAACATGTTATTTAAGGACAGACACACATATGTACAATGGCTCACATTTGTTTTAGGACACTTGTATTTTTGAAATTTATTTGCACAGATCTTACACTAATTACCGAAACATGGACTTTAAATGAACATAGACTTCAAAAAAATTTTTTTAACATATTATTTTTTCTGTTTTAAGCCTTGCTTGTTATAAAATAAACAGCAATAAAATATTCCTTGCAATACAATTATTTGTTTAAAAAATGGTTAATCACTAACTCAGTTAATGGATACTCCAAATTTTTGTTGAAATGCTTTGATTGACAATGTTTTTTGCCATACATTTTTGTTTTAAATGAAAATGCATCACAAGAATTATTGTCTGCATTTGGAAATTTTTACTTGTTAAGCAAATTATATTAACAGTTTCATACCTGAAGTTAACAGGGCAAAACAATACAAACTAACAACCAATTCTATTAGAAATTGAATAATTTATCTTTCTAAAGATGGTAAAATTATTCTAAATAAACTGGGTGGTTATAATTAATGTTCTACATTGAAATGACCATAAAAGGAAAACTACTGGACCAAATGTTATCAAACTTGGTAATCGTGTAAAGAAGGCCATGGGAATTTATTTTCTGTAAAAAAAAAAAAAAAAAAAAAAAAAACTAAAAAACTCATTAACAGGAAGGAAATGGCACTATATGCAATATTCTTAAATGAAATAAGGGATATATTGGAAATAAAATCATCAGTTAAACGAACATGGGTTTAACATGTAGTATACTCTTAAGGAATAATGACTTAAACAAAATTACCATTTAAAGGTGATTAAAGTCAAGATCATCCATGTAATAGAGAAATCCATTCATGAAAACCACAAATTAGCAATTAGAAGATGTGAGATCGCAAATCACTTGCAAAAGTTGGCGTATTCCGGAAATTGTTTTCTTACAGATCGCTAATTTGTGATTTTTGAAGTGTGAATTCAGCCGTTAGACATGAAGATATTGGTTTAAAACGTTTTTATTCATTTATTTAAAAAAAAACTGTTTGTGGGATTATGCAAAACTGCAATGGATTACGGCAGGAAGAAGCAGCGCTTTACACGTCATTTGATTTTTCATATAAAAGTGAGCATATTTGTCAGAGTTCTCCTTGTTACAAATTGACAATGTCTCTAACCATGCAGGACCATGTTTTTCTCGCAAAATGTTATTATGAATGCGTTAGCAATGAAGGGCATGCTTTGCAAAAGTACCATTCAGTCAGAAGAATATGCAGAGGGCCAATGATACCACAGGGTTTGAGGAAAATAATGGCGAAGTCTGAAGCCATGGGTTTATTATCTGTTGCACCTGAGAGTGGAAGGACACCTGCTCCTGAGGACAGCAGTGGAGGAAGCAACAATGGAAAGCACACACAGTACATGCAGCATATGTGCTGTCACACGTCGAATGGACATACCATGAAGTACTGTGTTCAAAATTGTCTGTAAAGTGCTGCAGTTCTACCCGTACAAAATCAAACATGTTAAAAAACTTAAACTTAAAGATCCTGCTGCATGAGAATCTTTTGCTTTGGAATTCCTTGCATGGATGAAAGCAGATGAACATTGGCCATGGAACATTTTGTGGACACCACGAGGCCCATTTTTACCTAAATGGCAATGCCAACACCCATAACTGCAGGATTCGAGCCAAACAAGTCCCTCATGTTATCTACCCAGTTCCATTGCATTCTCCTAAAGTCACTGTTTGGTGTGGTATGACAGCTAGTTTCATAACTGGACCATTTTTCTTTGAAGAGCAGCCAATAGCTGGTGTTACATGAACTATGACTGTAGCTCGCAGAACAAATGTTCAGTGGATTTTGAAGAACGATTTGCAATAAGAGCTTACTCTGAAGCGTTTATAAAATAATTGAGGGCACACGGATAGTTAAAATCAACAAGATCAGTTTAAAAGAAATTCTTTGTCAACAAGAAAACAAGGACAATACGTCTGGTGTTCACAAAATCTATAGTAAGCCAAATTTTATTATAATGGAAGTGTTATATTTTCTAAATTGTCAAAATTTAATATATTTGAGTCTGCTAGACAAAGTAATATGAGGCAAAGTCCAAATTAAAAATTGAATTTGAAGATCTATTACCTATTGTTACTCATGAGAATAGAAGCATAATTACTTGGGCTGCCTTTAGAATATGAAATTTAGTTATTAGTGAAAATAATATGTATTTAGTAACTGATATTTTCAAATAGTATAACAATACAACACAAGGGTCTGAAAACCAGTGTTAGTCACTTTATATATGTATATATGAGGTACATCTGAGAAGTAAGTTCTCTTTCATTCTTCTGTTGTGCTACCTACAATGTTCCAAGATGCGCACTAGTCTTTCTAGCCCCTGTCTATTCACTAATGCAATTACGATCTATCTGTATTGTGTTTCCAGTTTGTGTGATCACTAGAAATGTTTAAGATAACCGAAGACCAACTGCGAGATTGATTCTGCGATTTGTTTTTTGAATTCAAGGAATGTGAATTCTGGTGATATGTATCATCAAATTACTAAGATTTATGGTGAAAGTGCAATGAGTGATAGCATCGTGAAAGGTGAGGTGGAACATTCAATGAAGGATGGTCAAACTTGCATGACAAAGCACATGCGAGTGGCCTTGTGTTTTTAACGATGATTCAGTACCGCAAGTTGATGAAAAACTTCAAGGGATCAGATGTTTTACACTTTCAATGTTTTCCGAGGAATGTTCTGAAATTTCAAGAACTGTTTTGCATGAATTTCCTACTGATCAGGTTATGATAAACCGCTATGCTCAGCTTATCATAAGATGTATGCCTGTTGGGTAGCAAAAATGCTCCTAGATGTCCACAAAACCAAGTGGCTTTGGCAATGCTTTGATGTTTTTTACCTGATACAGAAATTCCAGAATCAAAACAGCAGTTGATCGAGAGGAGATATGCAGCATCTACCAAAAGACAAAATATTTGAAACTTAATGCCAACCCCCCAAAAAATCCTCTGCACTGTGTTTTAGGATATGAAAGGGGTTCTGCTTGTTGAATTTCTTCCTAGAGGTTAAATTGTTAATATCGCTCACACTTTAAAAAAACTTTGGTGTGCAGTTCAAAACAAATGGAGAGGAAGGCTTAGTCAAGGAATTATTATTCTTCATGACAAAGCTTGGCCTATGCTACTGGTGTCACTCAAAGGCAAAGTGAGGAATTCGGTTGGCAGAAGTGATTCACTCCCCTGCAGCCCAAACCTGGCATGGTCTGACTACCACTTGTTCCTGCACAAGAAGCGTCACATTGGAGGTCAGCATTTTTAAAGTGACGACCCTATAAAAAATAATATGAAGATACAGCTATTGGCCTCATATCTGTTTTGGTGACATAGTGTGCTGCCTTGTGAATCCTTTTTGGTGGGGAAGGGTTGCAGATAATCAGAAAGAACCCAAAATTATAAATAAATGGTAACACACGAGAAATGATATAACAATATATATGTTAATGTTATATTTTAGATTCATTGAAGGTAGATAATAATTTAGACATGTTGAAGATATGTAATGAAAAAAAAAAAACTCGCAGTCAAGGAAGATGAGTCGACTCTGTCACACAAAAGATAAATCTCAGTACTGAAGCAATTGCTACTCACTTCAGTTTTCTTCAAATCACTATCTGGAGATTGAACTTGAGCTAATTGCACCAATACTATCAGTAGTTTATACGGCTACTGCAACCTGATGATTACCACAAATGGCTGTTTTTTCTCAGTGGTATCTGCAAAAGAGTGTGGCTGATCCCCTTTTCTGGCTTCTCTCTTATTCATAAATGAGGCCTACTTTAGCAGAAAAGGTTGTTATAGAGCATGTAGCTTACACAGATGGATGGTAGGGAACCTTTATAACATATGAATATCTATAGCACAATACTAATTTGTTGCCAGCATTTGGTGTAGCATTATGGAGGAACTGCTTAACCCATATTTTTTGCCTGTTTTTTTAGGTGGAAGGTGCTTTAAAATTTTTTTTGGAATATTTTTAGGAAGATTTGCCCAAACTATTCAATGACCCACAGGTAGAGCAGTCGCTGCCCCATGATGTGGAGGGATGTAGCCTCTTTATATGACATTCAAGTGCACTTAAATGTAATAGTTGGACAAAAGTTGATTGGGTGTGGCCAATCAATCTGCCAGATCTATAACCGCCCCAGATATTTTTTCCCTGGGTTCACACAAAAGGTCTGCTGTACAATACACCAGTAGGCAACAAAATGGATCTTGTTGTATGCATCTGCATAGCTATCATGCCTATCCAAGAGACATTTGTAATATTTAAAAACATCTGTGATTCTATGTGCAGCTAATGCAAGTCTGTGTTGTAGCTGATGGCTAAAAATTTGAACTACTTCTGTGACTTGTCTTAATACTATAATTGCTAGATTTTTACGAATAAAAGAGTTCCTTCACTAAGTGCTGCTCTTTTATGTTTCATGTTCTCTGCACACTTGCACATAATTATAGTGTTTCTGACCCCACACTGCTATCTAATCCCTAAACAGCTTAACACCTGCACTGAAGCTGCAAAGTTATATATGTTAATGACTCATAGAAATGATACAACAATAATATATATATATATATAAAGAGAGTTTGTTTTGTGATCATGTATAATTCTCTAGAACAACTGTATTGGTGTTACTACTTTCTCATTTTAATAAGTTGGGCACAACAAGTTAAAAATTTTTAATAAATGATAATACAACAGAAATGACATAACAATAAAAGTGAGCAGACACGCATGCATATATATAATAAATGATGATGACTTAAAATAAGATTCTAAATAATTAATAATATAACAGAATTCATATAATGATAAAATACTTACATCAGGAAGATCTCTCATCTCATTAAGCATACTCTCCAAAATTATGGACAAAGCTACAACTGGATCTGTTCGCTGGCGATTAACAAGTTTATGAGGTTTTTTTAAGTAATCACAATGCATAACAGTTCCAGCTCTCCTACGCTTCTTGATTGCAACAGCTTCTTTAGGAAATTTTAGAACAAGAGATTTTCTGCGTACCTCATCTGCATGTTTTACTAACTGTTTTGATAGAACCACTTTTGTTTCATCTACCTTCACCAAATGATCATCTTCCAATCCAGCCCTTTCTTCCTCCTCCTCCTCCTCTTCAGTCATTGCGACCTGAACAGGAGGAATGGGAGCAGCAGGTTGATACAATGGACATGTTTTATTGGTTCGCATATGGCCAATAGCTCCACAAGCTCCACATTTGAGCTAGGGGGGGAATGCAAATCTGTTAACATGCATCTTTTTTACTCAAAACAATATTATATATATATATATACACACACACACATATAAAGATGAATAAACATTTATATTTTGAAGCAGAATACATTATGAGAGATATGATTTGGGCAACTTTTAGAAACTCAAAACAAAATTTGCAAATTTAAGTAAAAAAAAAAAAAAAAAAAAAATGCATTCACAAGGGGGAAAAAATAAAGGAAGAAACATACATGGCAATTCTTTTACTGAGATGAAAGTACACTCAACTCTTTTTTTACATGATGGATACGTTTAGAAAACCGTGCAAAAAAAAATCATGTAAAAAAATACGTGTAACATATGGTAAATTTAGGGATATGTTCCACAACTTTAAAAAAATCATGTTAAGATGAAAAAATTCTAAATATTTTCCCAAAAAACTGTGCAAAATTGTAATAATGAAATCCATATCACATATTTACAAAACAAAAACAATTCATTTTTATTACCCCCTCAAAAAAATTAAAATTATTATACACTGAAAATTCAGTCCATAAGTACATATACAAATTCAAATTGAAATTAGGAATACAAATCTGTTTTGCAAACTATTCATCACTAGTTGATAACAAGCATGCAAGTTTATTACGAACTGGATCAAAAATGCTATCATCAGTAGATATGTTTAGCACAACTGTCAGGTTTGATTAAAATGAAGACTTTTGTTTGTTATTAATGGCCTTTGTCGATTTATTTTGTTGTTACAAAGTCTGTTATTAGCGACTGTTTTTTTGGTTTCTCAAGTTGCTTATATAATTCTTAATATCCAGCCACACAAATACACCAAGCTATACCAAGAAGAGATGAATTCTCCTCACCAAATTGCCAAGTGTACAAGAATTGAGGAAAATATGGCATGAAACCAAAGAACTAATAGGATTCATTCTTTGAGAAAGTTTTCGTGATAATTTGAATTTGGATTGAAGTTTACTTGGGAAGTGATGAGCAATTTGGTGAAGTTTTACTTGCTGTAGATTGATCTATATATTGTTGTTTGATCATCAATTTAATTTACGCTGATCGGGGGGGGGGGAATGATGCCAGTTGTTTGTACTCAATAAACGTGACCTTCTACCTTTATCACCTGCTCGGAAGCTATTTTGCGTAAGGCTGGATGGATGTCTCTCTTTGGTGTAGCAGAGTCACTCCTGCTTTGGCGAAGCTTTTGTTCTTAACATTACAAATTCTTTGATGAAGCAAAGAACATATATCACTAATACATGTGTGGGCACAAACCTGATCACACTGTCAAAATTAAAATTTAAAAAATAATAATTGGGAGGGGAAGATTCATGCTACAACAAAAAATTCATGTAGAAAAGTGTATTTGTTCTTATTGGTGAACCATGTTATTTCAAAATCGTGTAAAAAAAGAGCTGGGTGTATACAACAAAAACTATTTTTTTGTGTAATAAACATGTTTGCTCAAATATTTACTGCAATGTTACATGAATATTTCTATATCTTATTTATAACCATTCAAGTTTCAATAACCATTTCTGCAGGCTACTTTTGACTTCCTCATTGTGATATCGCTTTGTCAAAAGCACAAGCACGTGGAAATTGCAAGAAGCAAGACCTGGACTAAGGGTATTTCTCCACCTTCACTAAAATATTTTCAGAAAGACATTCATGAAATGCTACAATTCTTGAACATCATATTTCATTTTGTGATCATGTATTGCAAAAATTTATCATTATGCATTGATGCGACTTTTTTAAGGAAACTATGGATCTTCTCCCAACCACATTTATCAAAATACCCCTTCCAAACATAATTTTCTAGGTTAGTACTAACTTTTTTCTAGGTTAGCTTTGATTTAGCAATATATAAATACAGTTTTAATACCTACAAAAGTATATTTTACAGGTGGTCCTAAACATGCAATGTCAATTTAATGATTTGTTTTAATGATGGTAAAATGTTATACATTCAACTGACATTATACTTTGTGAATCTTGGATCACTTATGAACAATGCATATGATCACAATTACTGGCAACTAGATGAACACCACATGAAATCTCTAAAACATTCTTTTAAATGCAATAAAGATGGAGATCAAGCAAACACTCTTGCAAGTTAATGATAGGTACTCATTACCATGCAAATGCATTTCTACACAATTTAGGATGCTAATGGTAATCATATTGAAAATTGCTTATGTAAAAATACAGATTTAATTAAAAAGTAATATAATTTTACATTTGGTCATAATATATCAATATATTAATTTATTAGCTTTCATACAAGTGAATACGCATCATATTCAAGATGGATATAAATATGTATTCCTCACATAATAATTAATAGAATGAAAACTAAATAAAATGATTAATATTTCACCTTTAATAAAGGAGGTTCTTTTTTTGGTTTCTTCTTTGGAGGTACATGTTTTTCTTTCTCAGCATTTCTTTTCAATCTCCGAAGCTGTTCCTGAATTCTGTTTGAAAATACAAAAAGTAATTTTTACATTATGTATTCTGATGAAGTCTTTGGTTAAAATCACACTATTTCACCTGTTTTCTTTAATGAATGGTATTAATCATGGATTGCAATGCATATTTAAGGTGAATTAAACTGGTCCTCTTGGGAAGAATTGTTACTAACAGAGCTGATATTTATACCTCAAACAGCACTGATTGGTTCTTTTACCTTAAAATAAATTGTTTTTCCATTTGAAATCAACGTCAAAAATTGAAAATTTTTTATTTCTTAATATCTACAAGAGATGACAGACATCTGAAAAATATATAGGCCTTTTTTTTTTTTTTTTTTTTTTGATACAGCAACCAATAAATTACATGCAAGCCGAAATTTAGATAATGCCTGCAAGTAGGTCCCCCCCCCCAAAAAAATAAAAATCTGTGGAAAAAAAAAATAAAAAATATTTTAAACATGATTCAATTGAAATTATATCATAACAATACAAAATTCTTAATATTTCAGTAATAATGAGTATTCCATTACTGAGAATTTAAATGATATGTGTCTATATGTATATTTTGCAATAAATGATATGTATATTTTGCAATCATTTTTCAAGACGCACTGAAGATAATCCTTTTCTCCCTCCATGTATTGGAAAGAAGCAAACGAATGGTGCAGATTGCTGATTTTTCCATTGCAGTTTGAAATGCTACAGAGATTCACATTACTATTTTTAATGAAATGTCAGAATGCTATTTAATTATGCTTACAGACTTAATTATTTGGACACAAAATTTTTCTTTTCATGACTTCTAAAGAGCTCAAAATTATTGTTAACACAATCAGATTCCAAGCTTCCTTCAAAACATCGATTATAACTTCATTTCGGTCTAGTGTTCTTTCCTAAACCTTTGTTTCTAGCTTAATATTGTTACCAGCAGTTTATTACAATTAAAAAAAGAGGTTACTGCAAGGAAACTCAGAAAGTTCCAAAACAGCAGATGGCACAAGAAACAATATTTGAATTTTTAGGACATGTCAAACACTTTTCTGTAGAAACATATATGAGCTGACATCTTCTATTGGTCATCACTGAATTAAATGTGTTATTCTTATGTCTTATAACAACATTGTTCTTGTTTTTTAAGTAAGGAAAGTCCATAAAAACCTTTTAAATGTGTCACTCTATTTTGTCTATTGAAATAACTAACCTAGAAGTATATTTTCTAAGCCTAGAAAAAATTTTCCACAGTCAAAATGAAGTGATGAGAAAAGTATGCTTTCATGCCAGAAGTATCAAGTTCACATATAATCTTTTTATAAAAAACTGTTAGGCTTAGGCTATATTTGAACAGAAAAGATCTTTTTTTTCAAACTATTTTTATCGGCTGTTAAATGCAAAAAATTTATTGCTCATGATATTTTAAAAAAATTAATTAACAGTTTTATTAAAATCAATACAAACAGCAGCCTAGTTTATACATTTTCAAGCTTAGCAATCTGAAACAGAAATCAAGAACTAAGGAATTAAATTTTCTATAAAAATGAAAACATTATAAAATTAGCAAAAATAAAATAAAATGTGTTTTTTCATATGAAAATAAAATTAAGCAAAATAGAAAAGTTTGTGATCATAAACTTTAAGAATGATTAATTTATTTTTTAATACACATTTTATGCACAAAATCTTCTCAAGCCTTTGAATGAAAGTAAAATCTCAGGGCAATTGTATCTATTTTTATAAAGTAAGATTGCCTATAATCCAACAACTTGTAGTTAATTATTCAGTTATTTTTAATGGTGCTAGATAAGAAACATGAAATGTATTTGAAACTGTATGCTATCTGAATTCAGAAAGTTAAGACTGCTGCTATCATTCAAAATAACATGACATTGCTGAGAAAGTGAGTCATTTGAAATACAGTACAAAGTCCAAGATTCACACTCATCGGGACTTCCGTGATTCCGGATTTTTTTGGATATCATATCATCAGTTTAAATCTAATAAGATGGCATGTAGAAATTATAAAATTAAAAATATGAAATCGTGATTTATGAAATAATGAAGCATTTATGATCAAAATCATAAATGCTTCAAAATTATAAAAAAGAATATCAAAATGTACAAAAAAAAAAAAAAAAAAAAAGCTTAATATTTATTTGCTTGCTTTATTAAACATTTCTTTCAATGCCAGTTGTTTAGGTTGCTTCATTTTTTGTGCTAATACTTTCTCTTTAATTCTGCAGAGACATAATTTCTTGTTCAGTTACATTGCTGAAAATTTACAGGAATTTATAAGATTTTACAAGGATTTACAGGATTACAATTTCCAGCTAATTTACAGGATTTTAGCAAGGACAAGAGAATTTCGACTAACTTGTCAATCAAAATTTTTTTCATTTTCAGTAAACTATCTGTCACTTTCTTCACTATCAGTAGTGGTATTTTCTAGATTTAGAACATATTTTGCCATCCATTAATTGATTGTAGACTGAGGAGCATTGTCATCACAATGAAATTTCTTTTATATTGTCTTAATTTATTACAGCTTCTCTCCATTTCTTTACAAATCCTTTAATTTGAAAATTTCACTTTTGGTTTGCGATATCTGAAAACCTTTAAAATTCTTGGCTATGATCATAAAATTTAGCCATCGTTCACTATACATATTTGGCTATGTATCATGAGATTGGTGACTAAAGACAAATTGCTCCACTAAATTTTATTTTGCTTCTGTCATGCTCTGAGACAATTAAGCCTGAATTGTATTAGTTTAGTTATTTATATACTAATGTTTATTTCTTGCACATGCTTAAGGCTTATCCGAGTCCTGAATAAATAAATTCCCATAAATAAGCCTTATTGAAAGCCTGCATTAGATATCTTACTGCTTGATGCAGTCTCCTGTGGGTCCTAAATTCTGCTATCAAGCACCTCCCTTTGTCTTCCCTAAATTCTGCAGTCCGGTGCAGCCATATGAGCCCTGACACTGTTTCTGGGTTTATGTGAATAACAAATCAGTTATTCTTAATTCAAATACCACTAAATGTAATCTTTTGGCCTATGAGTATCATTGTAAAATATATTTTTATCCACATGGAAAGAAATTTTGTTACATTTTTCCTCGTCTACATTTCTTGTGCATTTAATTTAAATCTGTAATCATCACCAAACATAATGTCAACGTAAAAGGTACTCTTTGTTATTCAAGTACTAACATTAAGTCATTACTCAAGTTGTCATGTGTTGATAAACATGACAAGCAAAATAGAATAAATAATGAGTTGCCAGGTTGGCGTCAGGGATATAAAACATTAGTAGGTGTAAAATCAATGATGTATCTATGTAGAATGTTTTGGTTTGAGATGTATACCACACAGATATGGATTGGAGCCATATTCTCGATCATACAAATTTATGATAAAATGATTGTTTCTTCAATAACGAGGCATTTTATTTAGTACCAAAGTGAAATTATGAATCGAGATTCTACAGCTGTTTTATAATGCGCAGGGAAGGGAATCAAATGCGCATGCATAAAGCATAAAAAAAAAAAAAAAAAAAAAAAAAAAAAAAAAAAAAATGTTAGTGGCACTGACGTCCAGATCTTGCACTTTGTACTGTATTCACTATCCTTTTACCTAACATAAATACGGAGCTACACACACAGTGCTTTAAAAAAAGAAAGAAAGGAAAAAAAAAAAAAAAAAAGAATATAATGAATGCTTTTAAGGTCTGATTAGTAAAAACATCTTGATGATAAAAATAACTGATATACACATTACAGAATACAATGCTTATTTCATTCTGCAAAGTTCTGGAATTCTCCTGTGTACAAAAAGATTCCAACTTGACATGAAAGTAGTTGTAAAAATACTAAATATCATGTTGGGAAATACCACTGCAATTTGACTCAAATCAACAATTCAGTTACAGCTACAGCTGGTTGCGGAAGTGACCCAGTGTAGTCAAATTCAGACATGACTAACTAGTGTGACATCAGGAATTTTGCCTGATGAGCATTTTAACTGACAAGAAAAGCTATCAGACTCCTTGACAATATTTTTCACAAAATTTTCATGGGTAAGCAAGCATAAGGGGTGCAAAAAGGAGCCATTCATAATCGCCCGCAATCCCTCCAGAATATGCCATATACAGTGATGCACACCGTCACAACATTTACAGCCACAAATCGGCAGATATATGTATACATATATTATGAGGTTTGAGGCATTTTCTCATCAGAGTCTCCCATTAAGCATCTTCTGAAATTTACATATATATGCTAGCAAATATATGCTAATTTGTGTGCTACTTTAAAGTAAGAAAATTAAATATAGCAGCCAGCATTATAATAAAGGATATTTAGTACCATCTTTCACACCCTAGAGTAAAAACGCATTAGGAATTTTTTATGATTTTTCAATTTATATATTTGGAATTTTGATCAGTTCTCATAATAGCAATCAGTGATATACAAGCCCTAGAATTTTTTCAAGCTCTAGACTGAATGGATTGAGAATTTCTATATTTTTTTTACCTTATATATTTGGAACTTTATTTCTCATAAGATATGTAATTAACATTTAATAATACATTATTTAAAAATTGACGTCTTTTGAAAGCTCTTTTTCCCTTTTGCAAATGTATGATGTTATTCAAATGCATTTCAGATATGAAAAGGGCTTAAGTAATTCATTTTTTCACATGATAGTGTAAGGAATCGCTAAAAAGAAAAATATAAAATTATAGTTTAAAACCAAAAGAAATAATAATAATAGTTTCCTTACACAGCATAATATGAATTTCAAGCTTTACATAAAAATACAGGGGAGCTTACAGATTTTTAGAATGATTTTGGAGCCATTTAATTTATTTTTAAAATGTAAAGAATTTTTTTAATGTTCTACCTGATAGTCTTTTTTTTTCTAGACTATAAATTTGCATTATGATTTCTATGATAGAACAACCTTTTGTGAAATTTCCTGGGCTACTGATTTTCCATTCCTCTTGCACTACTTTCCAGGGTATGTAAGTCACAGTGGGTTTGCACTTACAAAAAGCTCTTCAAGAGAATAAAAGCACAATAGCCCAAAGGCAAAATATCAGGAGACTTCACAGGAAACACTGAAAAGTTATAGATGTAATATCTATATTAGTCATTTTTTTCAAAGATTGCAGGGGTACTTTTTGAAGTATGAGTTGCTGCTTTGTCTTCATAGTTCCACTCTTTGAAAGTCACTGGGATAAGAAATGGGATTACTTCTGTAAATATTAGAATATAAAACTTTCTTTTTTAGTATGTTGAGTTGATTTTAACATTTTTTCCCATTCTTCTTATTTATAATTTCCCACTGCAAGAGAATCCTGCACAATCATAAACCCTTCACTGAAACTTCCTTTGTGCTGAAGGAACCAGGTTTGTACACTTTTTTTTTCTGTTTATTATCAACACTTAATTGACCTTTTTCGTTTGCAGTCATCTAGGTAAACCCATGCTTTATCATGAGTCGCAATATATTTCTATTTATTTCTTGCTAAATAGTTTTCATACAGGGTTCTACAAATTGTTCAGTGCTGAGCCATATGCTTTGGCAAAAGCTAGTGAACATTATTTATTTTAGTTTTTTTTAAGATTAAAATCTTGGTTTATTATTTTATTTATTGTTTCTACAAATGTATTTAAGTACTTCATGATTTTCTATATTGGCAGTTTTTCTCATTTCCAATGACTTAACTTTAGAAACATTAGAAACAGTATGTACCTTTTTCCGGTATTTGTTTGGAGTTTTCTTTCCATGTTGAAGTAATGATTGAAGGTTTTTCCTTTTCCAATTAAAAATGTTGCTTATTTTGCACTCAGAAATTTTAAACATATCCTTCAATCCATAGCTTGTTTGCATGTGTTAGTTTGATAGAAAAATAAATTTAAAAGTAGTAGATGATATTCCTCATTTCAAATAATAAACTGCTGCCAGAAGCTTTTATTCAAAACATTTCTTTTTCTAATTCTTTATTGAACTCATTCTAAAAATATGTTTACACCCTCTAGAATTTTAAAACTTCAACAAAAGCATTTCAAATGTTTAAATATATATAGATAGAAATAATGCATTTAATAAATGTAAAAGATAAATGCTTCAATTTAAAACTCAGTGTGTTTAAGCTATCTAAGAAAATCAGTTTGCACTTCCAGTTCTTTCCTATTTCTTCATTATTCTGGATTAATAATGCCCAGTGACTTATAACCTTGCCTGGCATAATTTTCCTTGAAACAATACACTCTTCACATAAATAAATGAAAGAGGGAAAAAAAAGTAATTGGAGAAAATTCATCATAATATCCATAATTACTTTAATTCTGAATAACTGTATATATCGCTTATCTAAACAGTTCCATACAATGCAAAGCTTTGATTGTATCATTTCACCACCTTCTTCATTTCATCAGAAAAGAAGTTTTTTGTTACTCTTGAAGCTAGTCTGGCAATAAACCCAGGTGGATCAAAATAACCTATTACCTGAATGAGCTTGGAAGTCAATTTTCTCAAATATGATAATTCAAGTCATGATGCCTGATGTTGTGTAACTCATGGTGAAAGCCCACACTTCAGTATTATTCAGACATTTTAGATTAAGATACTTATGCTTTGGATGCAAGCTTCTGGGAGTGATGTTGATGGTCGAGAACATGGATTTTTTTTTATCAGTTTCGCTTACTCTACCTGCTTTAAAACATTTTTCCTAATAATACACTTTTCATTCATCCATAGCACTTGTTCTACATTGAGCTAACAGATGGTTAAGTAAATGTACAAGTTTCACTCCCTCTGCTCACAAAAAGCACATAATTGAGTATTTTTTTTTAATGGTAAAGTTTACAAAAACACTTATACATATATCCTCAGTGACACCCATTATTTGAATAAGTGATGGATGGCTACCCATTTCTGAGCCACTAATCGTCCCATGGTAGAATGTTGCATTTCATGAGTTCTTTCCTCTTGTAATAATCAAATATTTTATAAACTGCATTTACTAAGTTATGTATAACATGATGATTGCTTATGTCATAACACAGAACTAATTTTAATTAATTAAAACAAATGAAGATTTAAACAGTACACTTAAGCATAACAGTATTAACAGTTCCATTTCAATTCACATATATTCCCCCTTCAAAAAATATTCACATTCACCACAGCTGAAAAAAAAGACACCTCACCTTCTGCGTTCTTTTCTAATTTCTTCTTTTTGGTGTTCATCTAGAGTTGATGCAAATTGTTTTCTGCAAGGAAAAAAATTGTATACACATTCACATAAAACACACACACATTTACATAAATGGGTATAAATACAAGCATGAACTATGACAGTAGTTTATAACACCAGATAAATTATATTACAGTTTTATTTATTGTAAGATAAATTACATGCCTGAAGTACTCTTTAAGATTTAGCAGACTTGCTAATAATTTTCCCTCACTACTTATCTAAAATATATAATGAGACTACTAGATGCCATAAAAATTGAGGTTTACTTATTCCCCAAAGCATATTTAAAGCTTTAAAAAATAAAGAACATATAAACGAGAAACTAAGACTTAAAAAAAAACATGTTTTTACAAAGGAAAGTTTAACTCTTAAGGCAATTTTCCCTCTTTCCTTTGATATTTAGATACATATGAAATTAAATTTTACCTTTTCTGGGCACAAACTGAATTATTGTATCATCTGAAATGTCCTGCTTTAGCTCAAACTGAAGCATGCTTTCTTCTAATTATTTTATTACTGCTGACAAGGAATGACCTCCAACAAAGTAAGTATTTATATACTACCTTTTCTACTCATGTTGCACAAGTTTAGCATATATTGTAGCATAATTTTTGTTTCAGTATAGTGCTAAGAATGGAGAACAAAAAGCTAATTTTTGTCAAAGTATACTCTTTTATGTTCAAAAAAGAAAATATGTTAGTTAAAATTTTGGTAAAATTTATGCTACATATGAACTAAATACTGTTTCTGATAACACAATTTAAAAGTGGTTTGAGAAATTTAAGTGCTGAAATTTTAGCATTGAAGATGATACCCACTCTGAACTATCTTCTAGAAACAAGGACCTATTAAAAATTGCTATAGTTGAAAATCCATGTTATGGAGTTCAGGAATTACCAGACAGACTAAATATACAGAAAAATACAGTACATGATCATTTGAAGAAGACTGGATATGTAAGTTGCTGCAATGTACTTTACATAGTTTAACAGCATGAAATATGCTTGCTCTGTTACAAGAAAAAGATTACGGGATAAGCCAGAAGAACTTCAGTCAGTAACTTTGCATGCAGGGCTGCATCGCAGAAAAGCATTGCTTTGTGTACAATGGGATTAGAAAGGGACTGTACAGTGGGATTAGAAAGGAACAAAGAATTGTTGCCACCAAAGCATACAATATATTCAGAAAAATACTACTCCCAATGGCAGTTTTAAAAGCAGAAATAGAAACATGCAGAGCTGACCAGTTGTTGAGGTGTCTACCACCACAAAAATGCCCGGCCCACATTTTGATGGATGTCAGACAAAGATTTGTTGAGTATGGCTGAGATGTTTTATGTCACTCTCACATTCACTAGACCTTCCTCGTCGGATTTTCCTTTTTTTGTCTCACCTCAAATTCTTTGAAACGCTTGGAATTCATGTCTTTGGAGATTTTCAAGCAGAACACTGCTAAATTTTTCATAAATAAACTTAATAACATTTTTAAGAAAGAAATATTCCAGCTGCTTGAGAAATGGAAAACAATCATAGATCAAAATTGTACTTATATGGTTCAACGAAATTTTCTCATGTTTTTGTACTGCTTCATTTGTATTTATCATGGAAAAGCCACATAATTTTCCAGATAACCCAATAATAAATGTGACATTAGGAAATTAGGGACAGAAATAATGCTGTTACCTACAGTAGACAGCTAAAAATTTTCTGTTTGTGGAATATTTTCATCTTTATGAAATAAATTGCATAGCAACTTTTATACTATTTGAATTATCTTATGTAATCATACTAATAATAATAATATTTAACATTACAGTAAGACAACAGCATGCTCATTAACTTTTTGACAATTTTTTAAATAATTTTTGAAAACTTTTTGACAGACAATTTTCAAATCATGTTTCAAATCTTAAATACTAAAAAATTATTATACATAAGAGATATCTTTCAAATTCTGTAAGTGTAGCCATGGGAATATACTATATGAATTTACATGAAAAACAGTTACCAACATACAGTGTCTCAGAAAAGTGATGGGACACTTGTGCTTTACAAAAGGAAACTGTAATAAAATAAATTTAAAAAAAAAAAAAAAAAAAAAAAAAAAACACACAAAAATTTTTGTGGATGTGTTTCATACTTAAATTTAGTAACAATTATTACATAACATACATTTTCGCAAAATATTAAAATATTAATTTAATAAAAATAAAATTGCTTAGAACGGAGCAGAAAATGGCTCACTTAAGTGATGGGACACTACGTACTATGCAACAAAAGTCGTCTGAAGTAAGCAATAAAAATATCTTTTGGGGTATTTATTTTTACTCAAAAGCAATTGCCAATAATTTATAAAATCGTCTGCAGTATTTCTCTCCAGGTTGTTTGGAATTTTTGTGTTTTTTAGCTCTGCGCAGCCATGAATGCTAAACAAAAAGAAACTTTGCCTGGAATTCGAAAATTAGTTATTAATTTGCATATTGAACGTGGAAAATCTATTAGAGAAACTACTGAAACAGTTAACTTCAGTCATTCAACAGTTTTCAATATCATTAAACGATATAAAAAGAATCGTATGATTCAGGATAAAAGAAGACCTGGCCGACCATCAAAGCTATCCAATGGAATAAAGCGAATTATTGTTCAAAATATTTTAAAAAATCGAATAATGAATGCTCCTAAAGTTGCCGCTGATTTACGAGCATTATATGGAGTAATTGTTAATCCTGAGACTATTAGAAGAGTAATTCGATCTGCTGGATATCACGGTAGAGCAGCCAGGAAAAAATTCTTCGTAAGTGAAAAGAATAGAAAACTCAGACAGGCTTTCGCAAAATCCAACATAAATAAGAATTCTGATTACTGGAATGAAGTTATATTTGCTGATGAGAGTAAATTTAATATATTTGGTTCTGACGGTAGAATCTTGGTGTGGAGAAAACCCAGGGAAGAATTTCGCAAACAGAACTTGGTGCCACCAGTAAAACATGGTGGAGGAGGAGTTATGGTATGGGGGTGTATGTCGTCCGCTGGAGTTGGTAGTCTTGTTTTTAGTATAATGGATCGGTACAAGTATATTGACATTTTAAATCAAAATTTGAAATCTTCAGCACAAAAATTGAACCTTCATAACGATTTTAAATTCTACCAGGACCATGACCCCAAGCACACTGCTTTGAACGTTAGACTCTGGCTGCTGTATAACTGTCCTGAAATAATAAAAACACCACCTCAATCTCCAGACTTAAATCCCATGCAGAATATTTGGAAAGAATTGGAATCAAGAATTCGCAAACACAGCATTTCTTCAAAACAACAATTAAAATCAGTGCTTCAAGAAGAATGGGGTAAAATCATGATTAAAATTAGTCGAATAAATCCCAAGAAGATTAAATCATGTTTTAAAAGTAAAAGGAAATCCAACAAAATATTAAAACTTTTAAAATGTAAAAATTTTGGATAAATATCTGATAGAAAAGTAAGTGTCCCATCACTTATGTGAGCCATTTTTTGCTCTGTTCTAAACAATTGTATTTTTATTAAATTAATATTTTACTATTTTGAGAAAATGTATGTTATGTAATAATTGTTACTAAATTTAAGTATAAAACACACCCACAAAAAATTTTTAAACGTTTTTTTAAATTTATTTTACTACAGTTTCCTTTTGTAAAGCACAAGTGTCCCATCACTTTTGTGAGACACTGTATCTTTTATACAAAATCAGTGACTGTATCTCTGTATATTTGCTATTGATTATCTTTCATAGTTTAATTTTTGTTCCAAGAGACAAAACTTCATTTCCTCACGGCTCTTGTTCCATATTCAGCCCAAATATAGTGAAATAAATGTATATGTTTCCACTTCCTCTACCCAGAGAACATGTAATAAGTTTTGCTTCTAGGAGCATCGCAGTTGGTTTCATATGATATACCATAATTATTTTGCTGTTGACAATTCCATTAATCTATTTTTGTGTTAAAATTATTATAATTCAAAGTTTAAGGATTTTACTATACACCACACATATATACTGCTTGCCAAAATTAAAGGATAATCTGGAAAGATATGCTGATTGATTAAAATTTTCAACTAATGTCCAATAGTGCAATTATTTATGCAACTGAGTGCAGAGATTAAAACATTAAATAACAAAATTAGGTGATTGATAATGGGTAATGCAGTGAATTCATTTTGAAATCTAGATGTGTGATATTGTTTACAGTTAATCTGACTTCTGAGAGTGATCAGTATTCTTTATTTATGACACAAAAGCATCATTTAAGTGAAGATCAGAAGTGGTGAATGAATGGTAGTCTTGAGGGGGCAAACACAAATGGAGGTTGCCAAGATCTGAATATACCTTAAAGTGTCATACTGAGCTTCACACTGCTTTTTAAGCAATGGATCAGTTAGTTTACAGCCTGGTCAAGGGTGACCAAGAGCAACAATTGCATCTAAAGACCATTTTCTGTCATCTTAAGGTTAAATTTCATTCCCCTCCCAAAAGCCATGGTTTGTGGCCCACTTACTTTATCTAGGAACTCGTTTAAAATAGTGTCGTCATTATGTTCAATACAGCCAAGAGGAATGGGACAATGTATTGTTTACAGACAAGCCCAGACCACCATTTCCACAAAAGTAGTTTCATGGTTTAGGGTGGAATCATCAAAAATGACCACATCAAGTTGTGTATTTTTGATGGACTTCTGTAATCAATCAGAGACATGCAAAATAGGGCTTTGTACCTCATGTAAAGACCAGATTTTTGGGTTTAGGATGACAGTGTTAGTCCACATCAAACATCTCTAATGTCAGTGTAATTGGAAACATAAGATATCACGCAAATGGACTGCCTAGTTTACTCACAAGATCTGTACCTGATAGGGCATGTTTGAGGTACTTTAGGACAACAAATGCCTCTATGGGCCCTTGAGGATTTGAAAAGCATATTTTAAAAAGAGTGGTGTGCAGTTCCATGATCACATTAAAGTGATTTACTGCAAAACAAGGGAAATAATTTTTCTATCATTTTTGAGTTTTCAGTAATTTGACTTTACATTCAAATGAGATTAATCAACTGACAAACACAGTAGTTAGTAAAAATTAGGTGCAGCAGATTTTTTTGCTCTTGATGAACCTGCACTCTTTTGGTCTCAAAATGGATTAAGATCTTGACTACATCTAATGCCAAACTCAAGTTTTTTTTTTTTTTTTTTTTTTTCCATTTGGCATCTTTCTCTTCTGTTTTCACAGTAATTAATGTTTAATACAGTTTTTGTGCAAATTGTTTTTAGTAATTTTTCAGTAATTTTTTTGTTGATATCTTCTGATTAGCAATGTTTATATATATATACATGTGGGTGTGTGTGTAATAATTTTGAAGACTTGCATATAAAAGTTAATATTTTGATTCACACACACACACATATATATATACAGAGCCAAAAAATGTTGGTGCTAAAATAATTGATCATTGGTTAATTAATTAAGGCAAAGTTGCTTAAGAGTTGCCTAAGAGATGGAATGTCTTCATGGACAAGTTTCCAACTTACATTGGGCATGCAGAAAACTATCCCATTTAATAAATAAAAATTTTACTTTTTAATTATAACGTATAATTATTATTTTATTTCCAGTTCTCATCAATAATGAAAATAAAGAAACATACATGAATGCTGGGTCCTTAGTAGTGCGAATACGAACATAAGTATCAATTACAGCAGGTTTACGAACAGTCTCTATTCGTACAAATTCTTTACCATCAGGTGATTTGAATGTTCTATAAATTTTCAGTATTCTTCCATTCTAAAAATAAAATAAAATGCTTTAAATAGCAAGAAACTATTTAATTCACATAAAAATTACAGAGCATTTAATGTCACCACTTACTGAATTGGATCCAGTACTTCCTAATGAGGCACTGTCATCTTCTCTCTCAATTTTTTGTTTTTCTAAACAATAATGTTAAAAACGCAACAATTGAAAATATGCTCTAAAGTTTATAAAAATTAATGCTTATTAAATACATGCAAGAAAAAAGTATATAAATAATTATTCCATGCATTTGAACTTCCCCCCTATTATCATATCATAATTATGCATCATAATACAAAATACCTTTTTCCCTTTTTCGCCTTTCATCAGAGACACTATCTTCTCCTAAAATTAACTTCTGTAACTCTCTTCTCTCTGCTTCTTCTCGTTCATGGGTCAACTGTATAAAGGGCATGATGATAACATATTACAATAAAAACATAATTCACATAGATAAGTTTCAACATGGAAGAGTTCAAAGTGCATATATAGTTACATATCCCCACCCCAAAACTTCATTTGATTGTATTACACTTAGATTTTTCAAAACATAATAAAACAGCAGAAGTATAAAATAAAAATATTTGCATCTAATATACTACCAAAGTATTCTTCCTTGATCCAAATGCATCAGTTCCACCTTCATATTAATCTCCAGAAAGGATTGTTTAAATTCTTTTCTGACATGGTGTTTTAAGATAGCTACTGTGGCATTTTTCAGTTCTGTAATGAATGCAAATTGGAACCCATAATTTTTAATTACATTTTTTTTCCTCCCAGCGATAAATATCTGAATCTTTGTATTCGAAAAAAAAATTATATTAAAATCCTTGTATTCCAAAAAATTTTATATTAAAATTCTTTAAATTCTTGTATTTCAAAAAAATTTCTATTCTAATTATTTCCTTGCAAAAGATATGAAATTCAAAAACTCAAATATTGCACTTTTTTTTGAAGGGGGGAGGGGGATAGCATCTGTATTTTTTGAATCCGAAATTAAAGACTGTTCAACCTTTAGCTCAAAACTTTGAAGAGTTTATTTTTATTGATGTCCAGTAGCTGAATTTGTTAAAAAAAGAATATGACTGTTGCTATTTCAGTGGACTTTGATCACCATTATCATACCTTGGCAGCCTTAAGTATCCCATTCTTAACTTTCTGAACAGAATTTAACATTAAGTGTTTATCTATGTCAACTCTTGAAATAATCCTTTAGACTTAATCTGATTTAAAATGATACCAGATAAGCAATCTAAACTGTAACTTAAACACACCTTGTCAAATTATTTTCAGAAAATGAATCTCAAGACTCAAAGCTTTAACCATTTTATTCCATTTATATTGTTTTGACATCAAGGTGTATTTTCAAAACTGCATTCTTAAATTTGCTTTTCATTATATGTAAATTTCAAATTTTACATTAACTAAAAATTAAAAGTAAGTCCCCCCTTTATTATTAGTACACCTATGCGAAGGATTCAAGAGATTCGATGATTTACATTTGAAATTCATACAATTTAGGATTCATCCCACACCTAGTTTTTTTCATGTTGGGAATAGATGCTATTTCATATTCAGTGCATAGCCATTCTTATGCTCAGGTTTTTTGACAACTTATTTGGTAAGCAAACTACAGTGAGTAAGCACTTCTGTAGCAGTTTTCCTGCATCTCAAACAGCTTCTCTCAACATTATCAATAAAATTAACGTATGTCTGCATTGCATCAACTTCTTTAATGTTAATTTGGTAATCATAACACTAGATTGTTTTAAAAGTACTGATATTAGATTTCATAATCAATATTGAATGGCCTGCTAAAGCCTAAAGCATCTTTTTTATACTTCTCAGCATTCACAATTTCTTTGGCTATTCAAAAACCCTTATACTCCATAAAGCATTTTTCTTGCTCTGTTTAATAATTTTGTGCATCATTTCCATGGGATTTTATTGAAGCGTGTGTAAAATGTAGAAGCATTTTGAACTTCAAGTTTTCTGTTGTAAGAGTGATCTTGCACAGTATAATAATGGTATATTGCAACAACGTTTAAAACACAGATATTTCAACAGGAGCAGCTGCATTTTCCTCAGCATTTTTGGTGTTATGAGATGAATCTTTTTGCATTTTTAATGTCCCATATATAAAGAAATTATTAGACAAAGAAATAACAGTTTTATTCAACTAGTAGACAAAAAGAAGACAATATATTGACTAAAAAGTATTAATGAAGAATCCAGCATGATAATAAAGTTGCAGCTAGATATTTTACGAAAGCAAACAAATGAAAAACAAATACATCATTAGATATTTCAAATTTTTAATGCATGTACAGTGAATCCTTTCTAAGCCATGGTTTCAATATATATCTTATGTGGAAATAATTGCTTCAGAGAATTAATATTCAATACCAGTGTTTATTTATGGTCTCAAAAGTACTGTCATTTTCATTAGTGGTTGCCATAAAAGGATTCTTTGTATTCACATGACTGAATTTGGCCATTCTATGTAACTTCAAATCCATATCAATTTCTGATTAAAGCAACTTATAGTAGTTTCAAATCTTTAAGTGACATTTTTATATAAAAACATAATAAATATAAATGAAGAAGATTTCTGTTTTTCAATGACAACCATTACAGATCGGAAGATATTTTAAACATTCACCTATACAAAAATCAATGCATTTCATTCAAAGAATGATTTAAGAATTAACTTGACCAGATTTACAAATCTTTATATAAAAGAATCTTCAAGTTTCTTTCAAAATGATCAAACCCTCTAAATAACCTAGATGTTGTTTCCCCTTTGTATACATTAGTTACTTCATTCTTCAAAACATTTTGCTTTTCTATTTTCTTTCTGCTATATGATCATCATCCCCTGTGGTACATTTGTCTTTCATGGTTTGAAGAGGAGGATAAACTGTGCTTTGAGCACATTTTACGCATCCATATTTCTGGATCACACAAAAATGATATCAGATCAGAAAATGACCAATGAAGAAATATGCATTGAAGTCAAGGAACATGTAGCATTTCAATTTGAAGTTACAAAGTAATCCCAGAGAAGCAATTAGAAGAAAAGAATTTAACATACAATAAACAATATATGAAATGCACTATTATTAAAATATCATTTTGATAAAATAACTGCTGTAAGATACCTCAGGATTAAAAAATTAAACTCCCAATACCATGATAATCAATAATTTTTATCTACATACTGTACGAAACTTTTCTTCAGCAAAATGAAAAAATAATAAATGAAATAAATAAAAAAACTGAAAGTTTCAGACTTTAAATTATGTCCAAAGAGGCATTTTTTTAACATTTTATTAAATATCACGCTTTTCGCACTATAAAATTCAGTTCAAAAGCAATATCGCAAAATAATTTTTAAATGAGCATATCTTTAGAATTTTCTGTACACAGTCTAAAAAAAGTTTTTTTTGCACGACGTTGCCATTGCTCGCTTTGAAATCCTTGAGTTTGTTAATCAAAAATTTGTTAAAGTTTTACAAAATACGAAATCGATAATAAAACAAATTCCAAATTTCAAATTTGGGCTTCCAGATGTCCATATTCACAAGAGGATTATGTTATTGAAAATTGGATGGCTCTAGGTACCATTGTTTTATCACAATGCGAGAAATATACATACATTCATGCAGATTCTTCATTATTTAATTTCTTTAAATATAATACAAGGTGATAATATTTGGTAGCAACAATTTGAAAAAGTGAAACAATGCTTATAGTGAATTGCAGTGAATCAACACAAAATGCCAAAATGAAATTAATAGTTCTGGCAAATTGCCCCTTTAGACTAAAAAAAAAAAAAAAAAAAAAAAAAAGGTACAAGTTCCCTATATAACACATATAGCAATACTGTTATCTTCTTATACTACTGCTGCCTCTTATAAAACTTATGTCAGAGAAAAAGCTTTCATACTTGTGAACTAGTTTTCTTATTAGAGAGCATATGTTCAATATTCTTTCCCATTTCTTCAATGTCTGAATCATCCTCAGAGCTAGAGTCTTCATCAGTAGAAAGAACTTCTTTTGATGCAAGTACCCTAAAATATTGTTTTATCAGTATTGAGTGAATAAGAATATCAAAATATAGCTTATAAAAACATCAAAGTTTGACATTGAAATAACAGTGAAAAATACAGGATAGAATTTACATAATGTTGAACTTCCTTCTGTTTCACTATATATTATTTTTGGTATTTTGGTTTGGAATCAAAGCGGAAATCATGGGTTAAGTAATGTAAAGCTATTAATTGCATCAGCAGGCATAAACACTAGGGATGTTCTTGATGCTTCTGAACACTTTTGCTTTTATTTTTGGTGATAAAGAGACATATGTCCAATTGTTTTCGATGTTTTATTCATTCCTCTTAGAGTGTGGCTAGCAATGAGGCAAATATTCTGTGTATCATTTACTGAAACTTTTTTTTATACTTTAACTGGCAAGGAAAATAAGTTTTTGAATAAATTTAGACAACTGAGAGCTCTTCTCTTAATATGCCAAAAATTGGAACAATTGGACCCCAAATTTCATTTATGCAATTTTTTTTTTCCAAATTTAGGTTTAGTCGTGCAAATTGCCCTTCCCCATCTTGTCAGCACACTGTCGCAAGAGAGTGGTTCAATAAGTGAGGCACCTACTGTGAGAGGGTAAAATTGTTTCATACATCTTCTCTTTAATTTTATAAACAGACATAATTTCTTGTTAAGTTACAAAGTCCAGTAATTAATGTGTCGAAAATTCCCACTAAATTGTCAATCAAAATGCTTCAATCTAAACAACCTCTCTCTCTCTTTCTTCACTATCAGTAGCAATATTTTCTGGATTTAGAGCCCTACTACAGATTTTGCAATCTATTAGTTGAATGGTGGTTGATGTATTGTCATTGCAATGAAAAACTTCTGTTACATCACATTTATGACCATTTCTCCACATTCTTTTATAAATTCCATTAATTGGAAAATTTATTTTTTTATTTTTTTTGCGATATCTGAAAACCTTCAAATCTGCAACTCTCATAACAAAGCTTAGCTAGAATCTGCTATGCATTATCAGCAATGCATCAGACTAGCAACTGAAGATCTATTATTTCACTAAATTTTGTCTTGCTTCTATCGCATGCTGACAAAGTTAAGCCTGAATTACATTAGTTTAAGTTATTTATTATATTTACATATATTTATCGCAAATGCTTAAGGCTTATCTGGGTACAGAATAAATAAATTCCCATATACACTTAACTCTTTCGAGATAGCACATCTCTGTTTAAGGCGTTCCCCTGGGATGGAGGGGAGTAGAAAGAAATCATCCTAAAGGATTGGGAAGCCAGAATTACATTAGTTTAAGTTATTTATTATATTTACATATATTTATCGCAAACGCTTAAGGCTTATCTGGGTACAGAATAAATAAATTCCCATATAAACTTAACTCTTTCGAGATAGCATATCTCTGTTCAAGGCATTCCCCAGGGATGGAGGGGAGTAGAAAGGAATCATCCTAAAGGATTGGGGGTTTTGCATTGCTAAACCTAACTTTAGGGGGGGGGAAATCATGCACATACAATAAAGTCTAATGTCAGAATTTTTTGTATCACTACAGATTATTACTTAAGCTGGCATATATAATAAAATTTGCATTTAATAACCTTTTTCTTTTACTTTATATGAAAATATATTGAAAAAAATATTGCTTACACTGAGAAATAATTTTTGGAAGCATTATTCAAATTATTCTGAAGTTTTAATTGACAAAATACATTAATAAACTTTAGAACAAATAAAAAATACAAGAAAGACTATTTACAAGAAGAAGTAAAAAATTTAAAATGAAGACTGAGAGTAACAAATCTTGAAGCACAGAGAAACACAAAGTCCTATACAGCATGATCCAAAAGCACACAAAGTCTGTTGTTTTTTTCTTTGTTCTAACAGCATTTGTGAAAAAACCATGCACTTTCTTTGGGCTTTTTGGCTTATCAAAATTTTTCAGTTTCATTTTAAATTGAAGAAGTGGTGTTTTAATGTTCTTTTTTTTTTTTTTTTTTTTTTTTTTCTAAAATAAAAAATGAATGATCGAGTTCAATACTGTAATATCCATCTGGCCAGAAAACAATTTTTTGTACCATTTCGCTGATTTTTATAAAACATGAACAATGGGTCATAAGTCATAACTGCGTGTTCTATGTCTACACTGTCCATGTTTTCATTGTAATCTATGATACATTTAGGTCTTAAAATATTCTTTTTAGTTACTCTATCTTTTCTGCCACATTTAGCCACTTCTGGACCATGTATGCTTGTTAGCATAAAATCATCTTTTTTCTTCTTTGAAGAATCACACTGTATTGCATCCAATTCACCCTTTTTTAGTTTTCATCTTGAAAAATCATCACCTTTTTCCCTTCTTTTTAATACTGTTCCCCAAATATTTATTTTTACAGAATGCAAATATTTTTGTAACTGATGGGGAACTGAAAAAGCGATCCAAATATAAATTATACCCGTTCTCACATAAGCCACTCATCAACGTGTTTTTGCTACTCTTTCTCTGTAAGACCCGTGGCTGCTTCACATAACTTACAAATTTTCATTCCATAGTGGGATCTTATGGATGGAACATAAGGATGAAAACCAAGACGTCCTTTCCAAGCAAAAAGGGATTCATAGATGCAAATACTTTTTTCTATGCGGGTTCTTTTAAATTTATTTTTCAGATTTTCCATATTTAGTCCTACCTTTCCCAACTTACCAATCTCTGGGATGAAATGCAAAATTTTTAAATGTTAAGAAACATAACTCTAGGCATAACTGCATTAGAAAAATGGAATAGTAAATATCTCATTTGCAGAAAAATACATTTTCAAATTAAGCTTCTTAAAATGTTTATCATATTATCATAAAAAATACTTTTATATTCTCAGTACATTTGAAAATTTGAATCCATTAGAAGTTGATGGAATACTTCTTCGAGCATTTTGAGTAAACCTATTTGTTTCTTCCACAATAAAATTCATCATAAAAAAAAAGAAAGAAAGAACTTTCTTTTTCAGCATTTACTACATAATTTGTTCTCAGTGTTTCAATAAATAAATGGCGATACAATTCCTCAAGCGCTCGAGTCCAAGATGAAGTACTTTCATAGGTCCAAGATGAGTCATACCAAGATGAGTCGAACTTTCATAGGGAGAAGGCAGGCACTCAATGAGCCCAGTCTTTGACAAAATGTCTGTATCAGAATCACTGGAAATATCGTTAACACTTTAAAAAGTGAATCCATCACTTTCATTTATGTCACTAATTGGCTCATTTACCATGCATTCTTCCTCTGATAAATAACTTCTTCTCATCGTAATAAAATGGAGTCTTTATGAATAACAAGCAGCTCACCATAAGACAGACCAAGGCTTTCTGAAATAAAATGGAAAGTACACGAAATATATATGAAAGCAAGGCAAAGGGTAACCAAACCCTATATAGTAACTCTAAAAGATCCCATATTTTAGCGAAAATAATAATAATAAAAAAAAAAAGAATTTGAGAGAGACACTGTGAATGTTTATGTCACGTGGCAAGTTAAAGAGCAAAGCTCTGTTTACATTATGCTTTCACTCCTCTCCTATAACAGCAGAGGAGTACAATAACAAAATCAGATAAAATGCGAAAAAAAATGGAGGTCAGGATCCTAAAAAAATATTTGGTACAAAAGTAATGGATACAGGGTGCTATTTAGCAGTCTTTAAAAAATGTTTCAGCTTAAAATGCACATATGCATCACCCATCCCCTTAAGGTCTTCTCCAGCAATGCAGGGGTGGGACATCCGGCTATGAGAAAATTCGTAGGGAATGCGTACATGGGATGCCTGTTCGAAAAAGGTTAAGGTTTATCCAGGGTAGGTACAAGACATTTTGCAGCCTGGTGCAGTCTCTTCAGGTCCTGCATTCTGCTGCCAAGCGTCTCTCTAAATTCCAAAAATTTTGCACGTAAGTTCTTTCCTTAAAAATTTTAAAGATTTGCTATTCCTTAATTTTGTTGCTTGTTGCTTCTTTAATTCAAAAAATTTTGCCTTCCCTAAATTCTGGTGCAGGTCTAAGGCTTATTTGAATAACAAATTAGTTATTCTCAAACAGCATTAAAAAAAATCTTTTAGCCTGAGTATCATTTCCAAAATCTATTTTCTGCATATGGAGAAAAATTTCTCCTGCTCAACATACTCAATGCATTGCAGAACAGTTAGCTGAAAAAAAAAAAAAAAAAAAAACACTTTTATTTTTTTAAAATTTCATATTACGCCCATAGGGGCTTATTATTTTAACATTTTATGTGTTACTTTAATTTTTAACACTTAAACCATAAAACCACTTTAAACAGCAATATTGCAAAAATAATTTAAAAAGAGCATATCTTTAGAATTTCCGATACACAGTCTCACAAGCTGGAGATAAAAATGTTTTTTATTCTGTACAGTGTTCCCATTGCTCACTTTGAAATCATTGAGTTTCTTAATTAAAAACTCACAAAATATGAAACAGATGATAATAAAACAAATTCCAAATTTTGCCTTTAGATGCCCATATTCAAATATACACATACATTATTCAAAACTTGATAGGTTTTATCACAGTGCAAGAAACAGACATACATTTATGCAGATTCTTCACTATTTAATTACTTTAAATATAATACAGGACTCTAATATTTGGTGGTAACAATTTAAAAAAGTGATTTGCTGTTTATAGTGAATCAAAGCAAAATGCCAAAACGAGATTAATAGCCCTTCTAGGCAAATTGCCCCTTTGGACTAAAAATGGTTAGACAATGCAGCATGAGTTATTTTTCAAGCTGCCATGTATTGAAAATAGATGTAAATTTTATTATTACATTTACTAAATTATCGATTAATCTATAATACATGATATATCATAACTTTAAACCTTCAAACAAACCATTTCTCTCATAGCATTAATTCCAATCTTACAGAGGTTCGGTGTTTGCATAGCACTGGTCAGTGATTCGTCTCATATACAAATAAGGATAAGGGATTTGCCAGGGGCCAATTTAAAATTATGTTTTTAACTTATTGATTGCCATGGAGGTCACCAGTGGCCAGCACTCAACTTGGTCGCTTCACCGGCGTCGTGGGGGGTCACTGGTGAAGCGACCAATAGTAAAAATACATAATTAGAGTAAATATCGATGTTGATAAATTTTTAAATAACACTGTTGTTACAATAATGGTCTGAAGAATGGTAAACTGCAAAAATGGTCTTGGTTTGAACAGCAATAAATCATAACAAATGGTAATAGTTTGAAGAGTCATAAATAACAGAAATTTAAATAATAAATCCCATTTTTTGTGGTGAGGGTTAATTACGAATTCCACTGTGAAAAATACATTAAACATGATTATATAGTTCATCCTATCTTCAGCAGATAATATATATCGCATAATAAAAATTCATATTGGCACTATGGGCAAATCATGTAAATGTGCGTAGTCAATGTGTTAATAAATTATTTCAATATTTAAAAATAATTCACCTGAAAAACTATTCACATGTATAAAAATAAATATGGAGATACACAAAATTAATAAATAAATAAAAAAAAAAAAACAAACCGATTCTGCAAATCAAAGATGCGCTGACAATCTTCTTTATATCGTTCTTGATGTTCTGCAATGCTAAAACGATTACCTCTAGCAAATTTACTCATGGCTATCAAAAGAAAAACATATCTGTTAGTAAAATATATATATATATATAATAATCCAATTAATGAAATGGTAATACCCTAACAAAAAAGTAAAAGCTAGGAATTATAATTTGAACTCCACATGAATTCCAAACAAGTACGCCAGAATTAGAAAATAAAGAAATTAAAAAATAGAAATGATTTTTTAAGAAACCAAAAGGTAAAAAAATAATTTGAAAAGAATTTTTTAATATTATAAAAGAAAAAGTGAAAGATGGAATCAAAAAGAAAATTTGTCTTTTAAGTGCATACAGTGGAATCTTGAGATACAAGTTTAATTCAAATCCAGCATTGACCTCGTATAGCAAATTTCTCATAACAAACTTCCCATTGAAAATAATTGAAGTACAGTTAATCTGTTCTGAACCCACAAAAATATCAACATAAAAATAAATTTTTCTAATAAATAACACTTGTAAATAATATAACTGTAGTTTACCTTTGTGACAGCTTCTGACACTGATATTTTAAATCCACACCAACAACAGCTTCTCAACATCTAGGAATTTTTGATGGTGCTTGGAAGTAACAGTAACTCCTTTGACTACATCAAGTTTCTTTATTTCTTCCTGCTTCTTCAGAATATTGCAAATCATCAATGTCAAAAGGCTGCAAATCTTCGCCAATTCCGTCACTCTTACTCCATGCTTGTTTATCTATGATTTCTTTTTTCATTTCAATGCCTATGGCTTCCTTATTTTTCTGTGCAGAACTATCTGAGGCAACAACCTTTTTGGGAGGCATCGTGAAAAAATTATTTTCACGTTAAACGTAATAAACAATTGATTCACAAGTGCACAAATAAGTATATAAAAAACACCAAGTGATCTGACGAGGGGATTCTTTGAGTCAAGACGGATCAGGAAATGGCATTACGCATACCAACAACCAGGCTTATTGCAAATAACTCGAGTCAGTGCTCATATTTAGAGACAAATTTTTCTCTCATATTTTCCTAGTATCTCAAATTTCTCATATATAGAGGTGCTCGTATCTCAAGGTTTCACTGTATACATATACTTAAAAACATTAATTTAATACATTTTTAGTTATTAACATATTATAAAAATAAAAAAATTAAAACTCAAACTAAAATGTAAGTTAAAATTTTTTGTTTTACAGCATTATTTTGTAGCACAGCACATTTATTTACATTTTTAGTAATAAATTTGTTGAAATATGTTATATTGATTTGTTGAAATATGTTATATGAAAGAAGTGTTAAAACGTAGAAATCATTTCAAAATTTCAGTATATATTACATTTTAGTCTGTCATTTAGAAATCATTATAAGACTTCAAGAACTGAGCAATATACAATATGGTCCACTGACCAATGCCCCTTTTAAATTATCTTATAGCTGCAAGAAGAAAATGGGTGGATTCATTACATAAATCATTGTAAATGTTCTGAACATACAAGTCTCACAGCAGACAGGAAGTACAGGTACATGGAAGTAATATTAACAAAGCATCATAAAAATAGGGCCTAAACTAAAAGGGAATTTTGATACAGCTACTATATTCCAAAATAAAGAAAAAAGTTCTCTCTGACTATCAGGGGTGTAGCTAGAGGGGGGCAAGGAGAGCATCTGTCCCCGGGCGCAGAATCCAAGGGGCGCCAAACTGATGTTATGACATTTTAGAATTAAATGTTTTCCATCCTTGGCAAGCAGTAGGGGGTGCGGAATCTTCAGTTGTCCCTGGGTGCTGAAAACCCTAGCTACGACTCTGCTGACTGTCTGCACTCTTACCAAAAAGTTATGAACTCATTGCCGAGAGGCATTTGTGAATTTGCTGCTGATTAATTTTTCGTCAAGCTGATGCACAGAAGGTAAGTGCCATTTTCAAAATGCCAACACACTAAGAATTCCATAACAGAGCAATCTACCAATGAAATTAAAAAAGTAAGAAACACTGATAATAAAACTCTTACTTTTTCCAAAAAATCATTTTGTAATTTTTTAGTGCTGCTGTTGTCTCCATGTACAAATCAATCTGTATTTACTACACAAAAATCATGGAACTGCACAAATTTGGCACTCCACACAACTTTGGCACTGGCCAACAATAAATAAGGCAAATAGCTGTTGTAAACAAGATGCAGTATTCTTCAAACCAGTTTTTCCAACTTACTTTCTAAAACAGTGTTTGCAATTTTTTGCATTGCATTTCTATGAACTCGGTTAGTACAGCTTCATAGAATGCAGACTTTTGTATTCTCTATTGTTGGGCAAAATGCCATATTCTTCAGAAATGCAAAGCTTTCCTTATTATTATCCAACAAACTTCACAGCCCCATTATGATTCATTATAAGAACAACAGATATACACATTGCAAAAAAGTTGTCAGAAAAAATACTTTTGAATTTCAAAAGTGAAAAAGTCATGCATATTCAAACAGATATGCACTACCCACATACTTGTGCCACAATTACCAGCGAGGGTGTGCATAATTAGAAAGTCCTAAACAAAGAAAATTTTGAGAAATTCCACTTCTCACCCAGTTAGTGTACCAGTTAGCAATGCTGACTATACTGATAGGCCTGGGTACAATTCCCAGAAAAGGCATGGATGTTTATCGTGTCTGTTCAGCAAGGCGGTACTCAAAATACATGGCGAACCAGAACTTTTCTCAATAGGTTGGTGGTAAGGGAAGAAGGGTGGATCTCTAGACCAGTCTCAGGGCATTCTCAAAATTTGGGTAGAACTGAACACTTAATGTGGCAGGCCTATAGCTGAAAGACTAAGGGTGAATTTCTTCTGTCCTACCCACTTCTACATGTACCTGCTTATAAATAAAAAAAAATATGGAAAAATCTAGATATTACTTGTTCTACATCTAATCAGTGCTCTTATTAATGTAGAATTAATCAAAAATTTAAAATAAAGATAATATATAAATGTTATTAAATAATAAAGAATCTGTATGTATGCATATATGTTCTTTGAACTGTGGAGCAACGGCAGTACCTTGAGCCACCAAATTTGGAGTACACATAATCCTTCACCCAAAAATGCCCAAATTTTGAATTTTTTTTTTTTTATTTCATATTCTGTGAAAATTTAATGAATTCTTGATTAAAAACTCAACAATTTAAAAGCAATACATTGTTCTAAAAAGCAAAAGATATTTATGTTTCAAATTTAATCAGAAAACTCAGTGATTTAAAAGTAATGTATTACTTCCCAGTAGAGCATATTTGTCTCTCAAATTTAATAAATAAAAAACATAATACTTAAACTGAAATGTGTTGCTACTACTCGATGTAAAATATCTTTATCTTCTACATACCAGTTTTTTGCCATTTGGTGAAACGTAAGTTATTTATTTATCTTTCCAAATTTAATTTAAATATTTAAGATACTTAAAAGCAATAAATGAAATTTTTATCTCTCTTATTAATAATTACAAGCTGAACTCATTAAAAGCAAGAAATTATTTTAAGGCTGCTGGCAGAATCCTGAATATTTTTAATTATTACCTTCTTCACCAGCTTTAGCCTGTTCTGTTGATAAAGTACGGACAACGTCAATAACCTCCCATCGAGATAATTTTTTTATCTGCAATTAAAAAGAAAACCTACATATATGATAAAATATATTTATATATTGTTAGTCACTCGTATAAAATCAACTACAGACATATAAAACAACTGTAACACTTTTTTTTTTTCATTTTTATTCATTTTAAATTTTTCACAAGAAATAAACTTTTTGAAACTAATATTTACACTTTAACATATTTTCTGTTGCAATGGAAGACACAATGAATATTTAAATATACAGTACAAAGTCCTGTACCTCTCAATCCCGAGCCTTTTTTTTCCCTTCAGGCATATGCTGTAGACTTTTTTCATAGTAAAACATATGGAGGATCCTGATTCTTAATTTTCTTTTAACATTAAATAAAACACCTTCATATCCAAGAAACAATCATTTATTAAGGTAAATCTGTACAGACAATAATTTGCCTCCTGGCTCGGTAAGGGCCTTATATCTCAAATCAAAACATTCTATCACAGTTTATGAGTGATTTTATGTTTATTGATAACCATTATGGCAATGTGGATAATCATTTTTATAATTTTTTGCTTTCATTACCACACCACTATCAATTCATGGCCAGCTTAAGAAATGACTCAGCCAATGATGTCTAAAACATTTAAATATCAGTAACTGAATTCCAAATAGCATATAACCTTTATGTTGACCTTTTATGCTGACATTATGCCAGGATTACAAACTTAAGCCAACTGTGTTAGGAAGCATTAAGTGTGTTAAGAAGGAAAGACTTAACAGAAATTTCTAAAATAGAGTTTGTAAATGATACACATAGACTATTTAGTGCTGTTAGAATTAATAATGACTGATTTGTGGTTCTGCTCAGCCTTAAAAGCGTTTTTCTGTTATGCATCTGCCATGCTTTCTGGCACCTGGCAAGTGTTGATCACCTGTCATGTGGTCTGTGTGTTTGCCATCTATGAAATATTCTTATAACCAGAAATTGTTTATGTTTAAAAAAACCTGCCAAACTGCATGGCAAGTGCATATTGGAAAAGTACCACCTTATGTACATTTGGTAATTTATTTCATAGGGACTTAGATAAGCCTTAAGCATACGTGGGAAAGAGATGCAAATGTAACAAATAATATATCCAACATATAATTTAGCATTAATTTCCTCAGCACATGATGATAGCAAGGCAAATTTTAGCGAAACAATATATCTGTTTATTTCAAGATACATCAGCAATATTGTATGGAGGATGATGATAACTAAATTTTATGATGATAGAATTTGAAGATTTTTGGATATGACAAACCAAAAGCAAAATTTTCCAATTAACGGAATTTGTGAAGAAATGAGGATGATATAATATTGCATTAGATGAACACAAAATCTGCAGTAGAGTTCTAAATCCAGAAAATACGGCTGCAGATTGTGAAGAAAGGGACAAAGCACTGTTTAGAACAAAAAGAAAAACAAATTGATTGACAATTTGGTAGCAATTTTCGACACAAATTACAAGAAATTATGTCTACCCGTGAAATCAAAGAGAAAGTATTAGCACAAAAAGCAACTTTAACAACTTACAATGAAAGAAATATTTAATAACATAAATATTTTCTTTTTTTTTGTAAATTTTGATTTCCTTAAGGTCATAAATGCTTCATTATTTCATAAGAAACTGCTTTAGATTCTTAATTTTATAATTTCTACATATTATCTTACTAGATTTAAACTGATACTCTAAAATATAGAAATTCCCAAATTTGGATCTCTGACATTGTACCACACTGGGGAATGTGGACTATTTTAATGACCACAGCATTTTCTTATTTTGTAAGTGGTTTACTACTGTGTTTTACACTGCTAAGTTAGATTGCCTATAGGCACATGGTCCATGTAATTAAAGCATACATGAAAATAACTCATTTAAATTGATGAATGAAAACATACTATTTTGATAATATATATGATAACATAAAATCACATGAAGAAACCTGCTAGACAGTAAGACAGAGCACAGACAGCAAACATATAATATAAATGCATTAAAATATATTGATAACATTCAGTTTGTTTCAAAAATTGGAATACTTTAAAATAAGGATACTTTTCTATGAGGTTATAAATCTATGGGAGAATTTTATATCACTTAATACAATTCTTTTAACAGCAAAAATTTATCGAACTTCAGCAGTTAAAATTTTCAGCCTATAACTTTCTATGTAATAGCGAACTTTATAGCAAAAACAGTAAGAAAATAGACTGAAATTGAAGTGGAAATTTCACAGCATTGTGAAGGGAATATATTTCTAGATTCTATTAAAAAAACATTTAATCATCTCTGAAATTATGTAGGAAGTGGAAAGCATTTTGCCAAGAAATTAATGATACAGTAGTTTTCAGGAATAATAACTACATAATAATACTTTTTACATAAAAGTGATTTTATGAAAATTTTTGCACAAGCAAAAACTTCTTTTACAAGTCTCCATTTATCATCTATAACAGGAATAATACATTTCAAAATTTTATAAATTTTAAGTCCTAAAACACTATTAATATTCGATGTAGCTTCTTAAAGAATAAAAGAACCATGCTATCATAAAAATATGCATATTATAAGTAAGTTTTACAAAGGCTCCATTATGATAATATTACACAATGGAGACTTTTTCCATATATTTCAGAGCTTAAATTAATGTAAGTAGTAAAATAAAATAAGCTCAAAGTAGTGATATCAGAAATAGCAATAATACATCAAGTAGTAAAGAAAAATTCAGTCTTTAACTCAAATTTATATATATTTAAGTACAGATAATTTATAATATATAGCTAAGGCAATAAAACAGAATATACCTCTTCTTCAGGAACATTAAATTTACGAAGTAGTTGCTTGGCATTACTAAGGGAGAGTCGACGCAAATCTGCATCAGTTCCTGTTACTGTTTTCTTTGCAGATGTTTGGTTACTGCACTCTTCCTAAATTGTACAATTTAGTTCAACGATAAGAAATTTGGAGAAAATATCAAAGTTGATTGAAAACATAATTTCAATTCAAAGGATTAGAAAATTTAACATTATATGATTTGAATTAATATTTCTTTTCCCTCTCAAAATTCACTTTGGCCCTCCCTCCCTCAAAAAATTAGTATATCGTAAAATAATTATGAAAACAGAATTTAAAGATCGAACACAATATAATACTGGCATATAATTTTACTATGCATTTCATATTATAATTATGATTAATGGATATATGAAGCTCAAGATTTCAGATCTAATGACCGAGTTTTAGTAAGTAAAACTGAATAAATATAACATTTTTATTTAAAACTTTTTAAATTAAATAATATTTACTAGAGGTTAGACTCAAATTAAATTTTTAACTGGCTAAGAGTAAAACTTTTAATTGATTTACTGATAAACTAACTACATACTTCTCAAAATTTTGCATTTTAACGTACTGATAAAAGTAAGGCTAATAAATGCATAAAAAATTACCATTATCTTTATCAATAATACTTTATGTTAATATAAATAATACTTTATGTTAATATAAAGTATTATTGATGAAAGAGAATATTTTATGCTAATATAAAGTACTGCTTAAAATATCTTCATACTTACTTTATCATGGCATTTTTATATTACTAAAAAATGCCACTATGAAATTATATTACTATAAAAATAAGGATGAGAATTTTTTTAACCAATATTAAATCAGAGATTATCAAATTAGTGCTTTGAGATTAAGCATTAAAAAGTTAAATTACTAATATTAAATAACAAAAACTTAATCATGATTTTAAATATGATTTTATTCTCGTTTCTTGGACTATGTCCTCACTTACACCAATGGTTAAACTCATTTGTGGTGGTGGTGATAGTGGAGTTTCTTGCACATAACTTGAAAGGTTATGATGTGCCAAACACAAGTTTTATATAAATATAAACAAATAAGTACCACACAAGTTTAAAACAAAACAGACTTATAACCTCGTTAAACCTTCGTACCACAGAATTGGCTAATTCAAGTTCCTGTAGCAGCCTAAAGGTCTAAAACCAAATCTCTTATCATTGCTACACGGTTTCTTTGAGCTGACATTGACAGAAAAAGGTCTTCTGTTGCAGTTGCTGCTTTTGACCAGGCTGACGATCCACTGATCCAGTGCTTAAAAGCAGCTCCAAACTCTTGGTACGACACTTTGAGGGATATTCAAATCTTGAGTGACCTCCATTTATATTTGACCTCCTTCAATTCTACCAATTATTTGCCCCTTTAGACCTTCACTTAAATGATGCTTTTGAGCTATAACTATTGAATATTGATCACTCTCAGAAAACACATTCACATTCAACAACACTAGAGACTAGAATTACAACATGCTCCATTGTGCACCACACTGTCAATCAATGAATTTGCAGATTTCTGGCACTAATGTATGCAAAGTGCAATTTGTGTTCAATTGCATTTAATTAAAATAAATAATTACAGCAATGGGTACCAGTTGCAACATTAACTTAATGAGCATAATTTTTCTCATTATCCATTCATTTTGATAACCGGTGTATTATCAATTGATATATATGTAATGGAGCAGTGAATTTATGCAATCAATGACACTTTTTTATGATTGCATACCATACCATTTAAAGAGATGAATAAATAACTTTTAACTCATGCATTTTCTTCACTGTACTTTTAATTCAAAGATGTTTGCTTTTTATTAAAACAACAGAATTAAGTAACATCAGACGTGGAAATTTATAGACACATATGTTAGAACATAATGAAAAGTGAGTACTCTTACTTTAGATTGTTGAGGCTTATTCGGTACTCGCACATAGGAGAAGCCTTCTCCACAGCCAGTAGGATCAGCAACACCTGTTAACTGAAGCAAGCATTTACCCTTCATAGCTGATATAAATGCTCTTGTTGTATTCCATGGAGCAGCTTTTACCTTAAAGATATCATTGGCTTTAAATATAATTAAAAAAAAAAAAAAAAGACACTGTAAACTAAATTTTCTCAGAATTTTTAAAATAAATATTATACAATAATATATAACACATATGTTGATAAGTAGTTTCTGATGAAGTTTTAAACATGGAAAAGTGCAGAATTAGATATTTACTCACTTCATCATCCATTTTCATCTGCATTTCTTCATCATTTTCATCTTCTGGAGCAAAAAGGGATTTTTCACCATAACCTGCATCCTAATATATACAAAATCCCATTTTATTTAGAACATTCATTTTGTACTTTTAATACAATGACTGGATTACATTAATGTACTTACATGCTATTTATGCAATGGGAATAGTGATTCATATTCACTGCTACATCAAAATACTTATTTTAGTTTACGACAGGTAAAAAATAATATGATATAGGGAAAAGCAATTCTCAGAATATTTTCCAATTCTCACTAAAAAATAAAAGGTTATTTAAAATTTTCTTCTTATAGATAAATACTAATATTAAACAATATCATTTTTACAAGTTATTTTTTCATTTATTTTAAGGACAGCTGCAATACCATTACTCAAAGAAGTTACAGAGAAAATACGCTATAGAACACACATTGCCTTTCCAAATTCATTCATTCCTAATAATAAATCATATGGTAACAGAGTAAAAATAAAGGTATAATTATTATTCTGTAATCATAATGGTATGCTTTTAGATGATTATTTTTTTACTGAGTGGAAAATTTTGAACAATATTCTGCTTTTTATAAAATTAGTTTCAAGCAGTTGAAATTTACAATTCTTAGGCCTCATATAAGTGTTAAGAGTTTGTAAAAAGTTATATGGTTTTACAAATAAACACACCACAGTTTTATTCACTTTATTTATAACAGCTTGGCTACTTCTAAATATTTTACTGCTGCAAATGAAATGGCCGATGCTACGGATTCTTGAAGAAGAGACTACAAAAAAACTATCTGATTAATCAAAATCTTCATTAGCATCAATGCATTGTCAATATGTGGCAAAATCATTTATACCAGCCTTTCTGAACCTTTTTTTGGGCACATGGACCAGAAAATTTCATAGACCGATGGTGTCCTTGTCCAATGGAAACTATCTCACTAACTAAGTTGTACTTTTGCAAAAACTGTGTAATTTGCAATACAGCAATAAACAGCAAATGTAGAATCATCTAATGAAAATGGAAGCTACTGCTGATCAACTATTATTGATAAATGAAAACACTGAGAACATTTATTTAGTCATTGCATTTATTTTAAGTAACTTAGTTAGTAGTAAGTATTTTACGTAACTATGTTAATAACAGCTTTAGAAACAAGACCTGAAGCAGAATTAACCATTGAATCAATTAAGAATAAGTTGGAGGAACAGTACAATCATCAAAACAAAACTGAAGAATCTGGTCTAAATAAATGTAATAAAGCTTTAGGGAAGCTGTATTCTTTCTTACATGCACAGCATTCCAGCTTAAAAAAAAAAAAAAAAAAAAAAAAGTACCTATTTGCTTCTTTTGCAAGAAATTAAGACATGTAAAAGTTGATTGTAAGAAATATACAAAGTGGAAACTTGAGCATAATCAAAAACAACAAGTCAACACAGCTATGAATTCAAGTGGAATCAACGAAGCAAAATAAGCTTCTGATCATCATTATTCTAGAAGTGTAAATAATTTACATGGTTATTGGTGTATCAATTCTGGAGCCACCATTCATGTGTGCAATGATAAAAGCCTATTCATCAATTTTGACAGTAATTCCACTCCTGAACAAATAATTTTGGCTAACAGAAATAAACTGTTGACTAAAGGAAAAACTAACTGCTTGTAAAATATTAAAATAATCAAAATGGGAAAAAAAATACACATTATGATCAAAGACATACTTTTAGTTCCACAACTATCTGGAAATTTACTAGCCATAAAGAAGCTAACTGTTAATAAATATGATGTGAACTTTAAGGATGCAGGATGCCATATTTTTAAGAATGATAAATACCAAAATGACCAAGGACAGATGAAAGAGACTATGTAAGCAATGACTTACATTAAGACACAATAACACACCGAACAAATACTAATTCAGAAGTAAAACAACAAAAATCAGTGTTATATTTTCAAAATTTTTCACAGGACTAGTTTCGATGGTTTTACCGAACAACCATCCTCAGCTGCAAAAACGCTGATTTTTGTTGTTTGACTTCTGAATTAATGACTTACATATTCTCAAATGCAGGAAAATTGCTAAAAGAAAATGGACTAATAAATGAAAAAAAAAAAAAGTTTCTTATTCTTCTCAACAGAATAGAACCACTGGAAAAAAAAAAAAAAAAAAAAAAAAAAAAATTGCACATTAGTTGAGGTCACAAAAAAGCACTAATCTTATACACAAGTACTGGTGTGAAGGTGTTATTGAGAGCAAACTAACTACAAAATAGATTGCTGATGAAAGAAAACAATTCCTTATAAAAAATGACACAAGCAGAAACCATTATTAGCACATATAAAAGCACTTGACCCTCAAGCATATGTGCATATCTAGAAGGAGAAGTGGCAAAAACTTGATGAGACTTATGTAAAACAAATCATGGTCAGATATGAAAAAGGAACAAACGGTTCTTGTTTACTGAATACAAATACGAACAGTATCGTAATCAATTGGGATGTGACATACACCAAAAGATCCTCTTCCTAAGGATAATCAAGAGGACATAGAAGATGTAATTATTTTTTTAAATAATTCAGAAGAGAAGGATGTTTCTCTGAATACAGAACTAAGATGATCTCCTATACAAAATAAAAGTGTACCACCTGACAGATACAAATTAGTTCACTTACAGCACAGTTGGAGGAAGCAGCAGGTCCAACACCATATCGTGTAGCTTGTTTGGGTGCCAATGTGGGAAAAATGGAAACAAGCCATGCATGAAGAGAATACTGCATTAAAGATAAATAGCTCATGGATTTTGATAAACGCTCCTGAAGTTAAAACCTTTATATGTTGCAAATGGATATATCAGACAAAAAGAGACAATGAAGGAAATGTTTCCCATTATACAGTTAGACAGTTTGCTCAAGGAATACCAGCAAAATAGAGAGAACTATGATGAAGTATTTGCTCTTGTAGCCAAGCCAACTATTTTATTTGAGAATGCTTTTTACTACAGCAAGAAAAAGAAAAACGCCAGTGCATCATTATGATATAAAGTCAGTATATTTAAATAGAGATTTATTGCATGATATATATGTAAAGAACACTCCTGGGTTTAAAGAAGAAGATAAAAATAAAGTTTGCAAGCTTACAAAGAATTTAATTTATGGACTGAAGTGAGAAGCCAATGAATGGAATAGAAAATTTAATGAAGTTCTCCAAGGTAAAAAGTTTTAACTAAGTCAAAAAAGTCAAAATTATCTTTATTTATATATAAGCTACGATAAAGAAGGATCCATATGCATTAATGCACATGTGAATGATATTGTCCTTGCAGCTAGTACATAAGATTTACCTGAAAATTTTGAAAACATAATTAATGAACCATTTCACACTGAAATTTCGAAAATCTTCATTACTATTTAGGCCTACATTTTGAATGTGACAGTGGAGAACCTTCTACATAAACCAATCAAGCTACACTTTGAGAAAGGAGAAATGCACTGATTATTATAAATTAAGGAAAAATTACAAAAATCATTATTACTAAAAAAGTTACATGTAGAATTTTATGAAACTTACCCACAATATACAACACACAGTAAGGTATCAAATAACATAAAAATAAATTACCAGACAATTATGGTAGTATAGAAATTAGCACATGTATAAAATGAACAAATCGAAGGTGTCAGTTCGCTATAGGAAAAGTACCTTCAATATGGAATATGATCACCTCTAGAAGCAATACAGCACATACAGCGATGTGTGATGCTTTCAATTATGCGGTCTATCAGTTCCATAGGAAGCGAGAGCCATTGTTCTTGCAAAGCAGTTGCAAGCGTGACAAGGGTTTGAGGGGGCGGATTGAGAGCAGCTAGAAGTCTCCCTAAAGCATCCCAAACGTGCTCGATAGGATTCAAGTCCTGGGGGATCGAGCTGGTCACTTCATGCGCATAATTGTTTCCTGTAGAAGATAATCATATACGATGCAAGCCCTGTGTGGTCTTGTATTGTTGTCCTGTAACAGGAAAGCATACTTATTGCCCAGCATATGGGGGCACATAAACATTAAGGATGTCATCTCTATAAATCTGAGCAATCACGGTTCCCCTAGGAAAGACATGGAGGTCTGTGTGTCCACCCAAAGAGATGCCACCCCAAACACAGACACTGCCCCTTCCGTATGCATCTCTTTCACGAATGTTTGACGGATGATAATGGGTTCTAGGTTCTCTCTATATCAAATAACGCCTAATATTGCTTTCTAGACTAAACCTGGACTCATCTGTAAAGAGAACCTCCCTCCATTGATCAGGCGTCCAGTGGACATGTTGTCGTGCCAACTGAAAATGGTCCCTCCTATGGCATGACGTGAGCGGCACACAAATGGCTGGTCGCCTCGCATACAGACCACCTTCGTGAAGCCTTCTACGCACAGTTGACATTGACACGAACCTTCTGGTAGCTGCAGCAAGGAAGAATCTAAGAATAGTCGGAGTAGTGGCTCTATTCCTGCGTGCACATAATGTCAAATATCGCTGACCGGCACTCATCGTAGCAGTTGGCTGTCCTTGGTTGAACCTCCTAGATGCCGAATCTGTGGTTTGAAATTGCCTCTAAAGTCTATGAACCACAGAAGGACTCACATTTAGCCATCTGGCCACTTCTGTTTGACTTTGCCCTGCCTCTAATCTCCCAATGACTCTCCATTGCAGTTCTGCAGGCAAATGATGCCTGGAGGTCATTGTTACGAATTGGCTATCTCAGATTTCTGATGTTACTGTCACAGTGAAATATGTGGGCTTGCTCTCAAACATGGACTTTTATGCTCCTTGCAGATGACATATTCCGAAAGCAGCGCCACTAATTTGCATACCGCAGTTTTACTCAGCTACTCTTACTTGGCAACATATTCAAATTTTACACGGTTTGGCTTATTTTTGAGGGAGTTATCGCTATTTTTGTGATTTTTCCTTAATTTATGCTAACCAGTGTAGTATTACATGAATGATTGTAAGGCATTTATGTTACCTATTGATCCAGGATATTATAAGCAAAAGAAAATTCAAAAGCTCACAGTAAAGGAGGAATGGAAGGAATGTAAAAATGCAATAGGATTGTTACTGTACCTAAGAGTCAATACCAGACCAGCTGCTGTTTCCTCCCTAACATAAAGGTGTCAAAACCTACTGAAGCCTATTGGACTGAAGTCAAACGTCTTTTCAGATATTTGAAATTAACTAAAGATCTTAAACTACATAAATGATAAGGAAAACAATTCGCTATAATGTCATGTGGAATAAAATCATATAATTGATATAAGGAATACAATGAAATAACTCTATTGATAGGAAATTTAACTCTAGATATTTCTTTACATATCAAGGCAGTATGTTTAAATGGAGCTGCAGAAACAACCACATGTGACTTTATCATTAACTGAAGCAGAATTCATAACCCTTTCCAAAGCAGCAAAGGAGGCAGTTTGGCTTAAAAGGTTTTTGAAAGATTTACATGAAAATGAAATTGTTTGCATTTTATACGAGGATAATCAAAGTTGCATCAAAATGTTAAATAGGGACAAGGCAGTGGGAGAACTAAACATGCAGATGATGAGTATCATTTTATGAAAGACCTTGTTAAAGATAAAAAATATATAATCTGATATCTTCCCAATTAGGACATGATTCCAGAGATTTCAACAAAGCCATTAGGGACAAATAACTTAAAAATATCTAGCAAAATTTTGGATTATGTCAAAGGTATAATTTCATGCTATGTGTTAATTCATCATATGTGTACATCTCAAGATATACTATTTTCTTTTATTAAAGATTAATGACTGAAGAGAAGTGTTTTTATTTTTTCCAGGGAATATCTCTAGTTGCAATAATTAATGTGTTTTCTTTGTTACCTTTTTTATTTGCCTATCACTATTTATTATTTACCTAACATAATGTGTTAATGCATTTTTTTGGCAGTGTGCCAGCATTAACTCTGAACTTCAGCACTTAAAAATGTTGATCCCTGTAGTGTGAATGCTTTCTTCTCCAGTATCCTAATAAATGCTTTATTAATCCCCTATGCATGAAATTAATGACCTCAAATATTTCAAGGCATTTAAAAGTTAAAAGAACAAAAGAAAACCGATTTTCGTATTTTGATTGTTTTCAGCTTATAGTAAAACTGAAAACAGTGCTAACTGCTCTGGTGCTTAACTTCCTAACTTGTAAATGAGGGGTACATTAAAAAAAAATAATTATATAAAGTACATAAAAATGAAACAATTTTCTACATTGAGTACCCAGTGATCCCTTTTAACAATTTATTATTATATTTGCAATTAACAAGTCGCATGCACATGTGTTTATACAACCAAGGATAAATCCCAAATGAAAAAAACTTTAAAAAATTCCATTCATAAAAAAAGTTTTAAAAATTCTATTCACGATTATCATATTAAAATTTTACAAAGACATTAACTAAAGAGTAAAAAAATATCAAAAATGGTATTCATGAAACACTTTTTCTCCCTTACAGTAATGTATAAGAATTACTGCACTGGATTTTACTAAATAAATAAAATCCTAAAAAATACCACACTACCTTATATGCAAGACAGACCAAATATAAGATGGCTTTAAAGTTTTGTAAATGTCTTACAAGAAAAAATAAGGTTTACATGCAAAATGACTTTACATGTTTGAAGCTAAGTAAAAGTTATTCAACTGAGAAGATCATTAACTGGCCTAAGTACTATACTTTCAGATAAAAGTACGTAAAATGCTTTCCTATAATGCAAAATTTAAGGAATATATGATATATTATTAAAACTCATTTTAAAGTTTAGCTGCACATAAAAGACATTATTACCTTTCAAAATGGTTTTCAACAGGAAGTGGTAAAAATTTTTATTCAAACCAATATCTTTTATAATCATGCATATTAAGAAAAAACTTATTTGCATATTAACTAAAAAACTATTAAACTATTTTCACGTTCTTTTAGGCTCTCCTGACATGATTTACAATAGAAAAGTTATCAATTGCAAACAAAAGGAAAGAGCATAATAAATTTCAGACACTGATTTAACATAAATATTTCAGATGTGATGAATGATTTTGCTCACTCAATCTAAAGTTGTTAGAAAAATTCATAATTTTATATGAGAAAAATGAAAAATTAAAACATAACAGAAAAAAACACATGAATTTTGTATTTTATTTTACTTTATTTATTTATTTATTTTATGATTTAACTGAGAAAAGCTTAGCATTACTTTAAGTCTTTGTTCCGCTGCAAGCATGCCATAATAGGCACAGCACTGCTCAGGAGAAACCATGGCTCTTATTTCATCTTCAGTAGGAAGACGAAATTCACTCTTTAACACCCACCAGTTTGAATCAGTACCTAATATGAAACATGCATAGAGTTTTACTTACAATAAATAAATAAATAAATTAAAACTGTAAAGCAATCTGTGAAGACTAAGCATATTTTAATAATATGGCAGCTTACAGAAATTATATAATTATGTAATGTAATTTGCACTAATTTATAAGGAAATTAAAGGTTATTTCCCAAATTAACAAGCAAAATTAAAAAACAAAATTTCAGATTAATAATACAATGAACTATCTATTTATTAAAATACAAACTACCAGTTAAGTGTTACTTCAGTACAAATTACTGAAAGTAAATGAAAAAACAAAAAAATCTACAGATATGACTTATACACTGATTTACACATACTGCACTTATACACAAATATTAAACACAAGAATTTGATTAAGAATAAAATAATTATAATTGAAAAGTTTAACAGTAGATGTAGAATTTCTAACCTGTCCTTTTAAAATCTGCACAGAGTTTCAGTCGTTTACGAATGCTACTTTCAGAATGAGATGGAAAAGCTTTTTTAATATCTTCCATTTTTATTCTTCGAGGATTATCTTTACTGTGCCAGAATAATCGATAAATAAACACCTAAAATACATAGATACACAATATTATTTTAAAATTAACAACACAGTTTGGCAAATTTGTACAATATAAAATGGAAACATATTTGCACATATGCATATTTTTGGCTGCTGAAGGAATAGTTTAAATTTATTCATAAGCAGTTTACATTTCATTTCTGTAAATCTATCAAAGCAAATGAAACATTCATTATGTTTATTACTGATCTTGTGATCATGCATTCTATTCCATTCAATTTTTTTTTTTTTATTTTAAAAGATTTCTAAAAGACTGCAAATATAGAAACTACAGAAAAGTATCTTCATTTGTACAAAAAATTGAGCTGGATGAGGTAATTTCTATTGTAAAATTCACAACTGCATTAGAGTATTTACTAAAACTATTATTTTATGAATATACTTATATGTAAATTTCATATCATTAAGCTCATTTCATTGCAAATAATGAAAATGATTCTGAGCAGCCAATATGAAAACAAAGCTTAAATTTTATTATTTTAATTAGTCAGTTTTTTTCTATCATATGTAATACAGCAGAAAATTAACTTCTACATGCACATCTAAAATTTAACTAAATTTGGGAAGGAAAGAATAACAGAATGCTAAAAGAATACTAGCAATGGCATTTTAATTTTCTACTAAATCAATATTTAAGTGTATATATATATATATATACACACACATAGATATTGTTGCAGGCTACTGGTTAGTTGATCTCTTTCTGATTAACATAATTACTCCAAATAAACGGGAAGAAAAAAAAATATTATAAAAAAACTAATTACAAACAATAAAGTAAATAACTTCAAATAGCTTTAGCAAAAAGCAGATATTAAAAAAATTCCTCCTCAATCTACGAGAAATAATGGCGATTGCCAAAATCATTTACAGAGTAAACTCATAATTCAGCTAATAAGCTAATATTTACAGATATATATCTATAATAATATATAATTACTAAAAAATATTTAAGGATAAAAAACAATGCATATATGTGAATCAATGCAAAAAAAGATAATTTAACAAATGCTATAACATTAAAAAATAATAATGAAACTGATAATGAATATGCTGCATATGAATGAAATAAAAACAATAATATTATGCTTTGAAAAATCTCTAAAAATCACAAAAATATACATTCAAAATAAAAAGCTGCAATTAACAACTGAACAAAGAAAGTATTAATTTAAGATAACATAAATGAAAATCATACCTGTAAGAAATCTCTAATAAAATTGTTTGCTTTTTTAGAATTAGGGCCTGGTACTTCAAATAAAGGTAACTGCTGTCCAACAGTGAAAATAGATTCCACCTCCCTGATATAATAACTGGAAGAGAAAAAAATATTGAGAAGAACGTTACTAACTAAATGAAATTATACGCATAAGGAAGTTTTAGTCTCAAATGAAATTACTATAGAAACACTGGATGTAAATGCAATACAATGAAAAGGCAAACTTTATCTAGTCTTGCAGATTTTTGGTTTAAAAATTATTCTTCACTTCTCATACTATATTCCCATAAATTACTTAAAATATATCAATTCAGGGGGAAAAATTCAGGATTTTGAAATTCTACAACAAAATCCGAGATAACTATTATTGGAACATCTTTAGTTAATATTTTATAAAATCCTTGATATCTTTTCAATTAACACACTTAAACTTCTTGCGGAAAAAATTCTTCTTTTCTTTTACTAATTTTCATAACAATATTTCATAATAATTTCATAATAATTTTCAAAATAATGTGAAATTTTATAATAGTTTTTAAAGAACAAAAATTAACAACTATAATCAAAACAATTAAATTAAAATTCACAATGATTTAATTATAAAGGAACTTACTGTTGACGAGTGCGTATGATAACAAAATCTGTATCTGGTAACTCATGTTCATAGATAGGTGAACGAAATAAATTATTTTCAAATGCTTGTATGCTCTGACCTGGAGCTAAAGATCCCAAGAAAGGCGATGTGTGTGCATATGCTGTTTCACCATACTTATATTCTGGTGCACCAGTGTCTTTTCCTGGTTTCTTCAATATAAAAATATAAAAATTCATTTTAAGTGATATAAAATTAATAAACTGAAATTCCAATGAAAAATAAAAAATAACTTTTAAAATAATAATAATTAATTAATGATTTGTATTTCATGTAATACTTGCATCATTTTAGAAAGTTTTATGAAAGCAAATTCAAAATAAATTATTTTTATTTACTTATTTGCTTCAGGAAGTTTTGCATAAATACTTATGTAATCCACTAATTTTTTGAATGTTTTCTAATACAAAAAATCAATTAAACTATTAATAAATAAAATAATTATACAGAGATGGAAAACAAAGCAAATAAGTAAAAAATATTGTAGTCCAACATTAGTAAAATGTTTGAGTTCTTCTCAAAGATTTTTGCAGCAGTGATTTAGGAGTTTCTAGAATGTAAAAAAAATAGACTAGAATTATGATTAAACAAGCATTATATAATCACTTACACGTTTATAGTAATTTCGAATTTTGGTTGCCATTCCCACTTGCATCATTAAAGGTGGATGTTCTTCAGAATATTCTGCTAAAATTAATTCACCATCTCTGCCCGTCAGATCATCAGCAGTTCGCATGAAAAACATCTCTCCTCCACCAGATGCCTCTCTTTCTTGCTCCCTAAGCTGTTTGTAAAATCATTTTTATAACACAAATTAATAAATTTAATGAAACTTTTTATAGATGTCCCCATTAAATGATTGTCAAAAAGTTAGAAAACAAATCAAGAAGATTTAAGAACTAACATGCTAATTTAAAAAACTCTTTATGCATAAAAAATAATTTTTCCACATTTTTTGTTTACCTTTTATTTTTACAAAGTAATCATTTTTTTTTTCATTTTGCAATAATGTTTTCAAATAATTCAATTAAATATTTCAATGTGAAATGGCATTTCATTTTGCTTTTTTAGTTAACTTTTTCTACCAAGATAAGCACTTATGAATTTTTTCAAAAGCAATATTCAAATTCAAATATTTTAATTTATGATCAAAGACAGTCAACTACTTTAATAAATGCTTAAATTTTAAGAAACACATGGCTACAATTTTAGAAATGGAATGCAATTTTGAAAATATGAACCATTAGAACTATGAAATAAATTCGCATACCTCGCTAACTAATACTATAATTATCAAACACGAAGTTTTCAAGTCTTTACATTATTCTTCCCAGACTTATATTTTAAAAATAATGATATTAAACATTTTTTTTAAAAGCTCAAATGGATATTAGTTGCAAAACATAATTTTGCACTGTTTCACTTCTCATTTGAGTCTGCTGTTATTCAGTAAAATGTAAGAAATTATTACGCATTTTCTAGCACAGATAGATGATTTTAGTGCAATTATATGTGAAAATGTCGCATTTATCTGTGATATGTAATGTAAAAAATCTCAAGACAAAAGCTATGCTGAAAAAGTAAGAATACAGGAGCAAATGTATTTGACATGGAGTAAATGGGTTATCTTGGTAATTTGGTGAGATATCGCCAAGCTGACAATGATTATGGTGACTTATTTTGTAGCGAAATTTGGCGATAAATCGCCAAAAGTTGCCATACATGGCTACCATTTGGTTCCAATTCCTGTATCACCGTAATAGGTATTGTAACTGAATAAATGTTATTGCCCACTATGTTAGGTGTAACCATAATTTTCCCTCATATTGCTTTCCAGTGATTCCCAGAAGCAGAGAGCATTAGAAATTTCTCGGTGATCAGTTGAAAACTATGTAAGGTTGGAGAAAGCATTTGCATGCGGTTGTTGTTATTGTTTCAAGTTGTTAGTTCAGTGCGAGATTGGTGATATTTACGGGTTAGCTTTCTTTTTAGATGTGCTTTGTATTTTGTTGTGTTTAATGTTCTTAGCAGTTTGAAGCATTACTACCGTTTGTACTCTGTGAGTATTTCAGTGGAAAATACCAGAACTTTCCATTTCTGTTGATAAAATCAATTTTATTAACCTACCATTGGACTTGTGTTCATTCAGTCTATTATGAATCCATATGCATGCAACAATATTTATCTTTTAAATTTAATCTGCCTATAACTGATTAACAACTGAAGCTATTTAAAATCAATAGATGAATTGCTTATGAACATTATTCTTATTATACTTTTTTAATCTCATTGATTTAAATAAAAATGTATCTAATGAATTAGATACATTTTTATTTAAATCAATGAGATTAAATACATAATATAGATTTATATAATGAATTATATACCTAATTTATTTATAATTTAAAATATCTAATTAAAACACTAAATATTTTCTTAGAATTATGTTACATGTTTCTTCACTTTTCAAATATACAGAACATATATAATGGTCCAATGTTAGTCAAAATGTAAATTTTTCTAGAATCTTGTAAGAAGTTTTGATAAGTAGATAAGTGAGTTTTGATAAGTAAGAAGTTTGAACCTTCTGTATTGATTATCTCTACGAATAAACCATATTGCCCTTTAAAGTCACCATTAAAATATGAATACTACTAAAATTATTTTTTTTAAACACACAAGTCTTTTAAAAAAGAAAAAAAAAAAGGGGGGGCTATTTGTAGAACACAGATTTAAAAACATAACAAACAGAAATATTTATAATTATTAAACATGATTTATTATTTAAATCATAATGAATAAATCCTATGCAATAATGAAAACTATGTATTAAAAACAGAAAACATACCTTAGCTTTTCTTTTGATGTGCTTCAGCAAGGGAATAACTCCATGAAAACCTGTTTGTGCTAATGGACCGTGAGAAAACCGTTTCAAAGGTGGTCTGTGGAAATGACGCAATTTTAAGGGACCCATATGTGTTGGAAAAAATGGTGGGCTTAGTTCAATTGCAGGGATAGAATGCTGAAATTGTAGAACAAAAAATAGAACTAATTAAATGAAAATTAATGTTATTGCATCACAAGCACAATTTTAATATAAAATTATTCCCTTACTACTTTTTTATAACAGCTGAAAACAAATTCAATACCACTATTAAGAAACATTTCTGCAACTGCAATGAAAATGTAATCAGAATAGCTTATTTTTATATGGTTAAGACCCAAGGCAGAATCTCATTTAGTTTTAAAATCTTTATTGCAATACACACTGAGTTAGTTGTTTTCATATCTTTTCCTACTAGTAATAGGAGAAACCTTTTTTGTCATGGAAATTTTTCAATTTATTTCAGAAGAAGGAATCATCAAAAGAATCAGCATTTAAACAAAAAATTTCAATCTTGATATAGTAATATAACTAAAAAACAAGTAGTTGTTTTATATAGAAGATGAAGTTTCCCTGAAAGCAAATGAAAAAGCACTCCATTTATACTAGCAAGACATTTTTAAACATTATTTGAACAAAAACTATAAGCTTCTACAAGCAGTTTAAATAATAATAATAATAATAATAATAATAATAAAAAATATTTAATGACTGAATAATTACACATATAAAATTTAGTATAATTTTTATTTTGATTTATATTTGAAATTCAGCATAATGCTTTTTGTATTTCCAGGAATTAATTATTTTCCTTTAACTTTATATGGCAGTTAATTCTCTTACAGAACCCCATGATTAAAGATTTTTTTATGCCTATTTTTTAATAGATTTTCATAAAAAGGAAATATTGATAATTACGATTCAAAAATTGGAAGCAATTTTTATAGACAAAAGTTTGTAACTTAATCATCATTGAACAGCATTTATGACATGCTAATTAAGATAACTAACACAACCATATAAATTAAGCATGATATTGATATGCACTTCAATAAATGTTGAACATAAACAGTTTTTGTAGCAACTGAAGTTACAAAAGAGGCCTTCTTGGATGCCGAATGGAAATAAGGAAGCATATGAGATTTAAAAAACTATGGATAGTTACCTAATTAATTCATATTTTTTAATATTTAAGTCTACATAAAAATTCAGTGAATTTCAAACCAAGAACATTGCAGTAATAGTTTCAAGCAATATTAAAAAAAAACTTTCGTCTAGAATATGTTTCTTTCAGGGTCAAGTGATAAATATTCAGATGAAATACAAAACATAATTTTAATGCAAAGAATTTTCACTAATAGTACCCAAATAAAAGTTCACTTAACAGAACATTTTAGATTAGAAATTGAGTTCATCTAATCCAAAATTTTCCACACACTCACAACATGATGCTAACATTAACTTTTCCAGAGACACAATTTTTATGGTTAAATATTTACGTATGTCTTGTCAGAGGTACCACTTATCAATATTTTTTTAGATGTTAAAAATATAGTAGCAAACTATCATCAATTCAAGTGGTAAAACATTCCAGTGTGAACAAAATGGTCTAGAAACCAATCCATGCATTGCCATTTCCAATTCTTAATTGTGGATAGTAATACTAGTTTTAACTTTTTCTTTCAGCTGTGCTATATTTCAGTTTTAATACTATTCTAACTTCTTCCAATATTCAACATTCTGATGTTGGATTCTGATATGGCTTTTTACATAAATAAGAAAATATTTGTTGAATAGGAAATGCTTACTACGTGATTTAAACTAAGATTTCCTTTTGCGTAAAACACTAATGCATTAAAAGAATTGTAAACAATTTGTGTTTGCAGCAATTTTTTTCCCTTTACTTTTTATATTACTTTGAAAGCAGTAATAAGAATATAAGGATTTGTGTAAGAAAATATAGTTAGGCAATATTTATATCGAGTATGGAAAATACCCCAATATTTCAAAATAAATATAAATTAAATAATGACAGAGTGAATATAATCAGTCACTGGCAGTATAAACTATAATTCTTACTACGGGAATGGCTGCAAACTATTTTACTGGTTATACACCAACTGTCTACAAATAACACAATAAAAGCTTGACTGTCCTGAAAGTTTGGGAATTGCCAAATGTGGGATGCACGAATATTTTGACCAGTTGAGTGCATAAGAAATGTATATTATGGTAGAAAAGCTAAATTAATGAAATAATTTTCTAGTCTAAAATTGTGCAAACAATCAGCTTCAATATCAAAAGTGAAATTTTAAAATTACGTAAGTTTTTTGTTTTAAAAAAAGGCATTTCAGACTGCTAACATATTTTTCAGAAAATTTTATTCAATTATGAAATCCTGTTGATCATGATAGGCTGGTGCAGATAAAACCCAACTTGCATCAATTATTCTGTCAGAAGTTTAAAGGCATATATCATTATTTAGTTAGACAATCAACAGATGTAAGTCATGAATAAATCATATAAAAATTTAAATTGTTTATCTTAAGTTTTCATGAGCAGTGCTGCTATTTATCAATTTTCAGATAAAGTCACATGTTATACTTATTAACACATACTTTTCTTGAGGGCAGTATCCTGTAACTTTGAAAATATTTCACAGCTTGCTAATTTGTAGCAGGCAGGTCCAAATTTTAATAATTTTTTTTCCAAAATCTGAGGGAAAAACAGATAAATAGCAGGTAGTTCATATTCTTCTTTATAAGAAAATTAAACTGGCTTATCACGAAATAAATTGTTTTGTATAAGGCAAATATCTTATAATTTTGCTTTGATGTCATGCTTATTCACCATTAGCGCTAAATCACACTTTTTGGCAACAATGTCTTAAATGTGCGTTTTGGTAGCTTTCCTAATTTCTCATTTGGTTAATTTTTTTGGAGGAGAAAAGATTTTAAAATTCTAAGATATTCTAGTTACTTGAGCTTTCTAATAAGATAAATGCAAGATAATTAGGCTTTTACTGCATTGTGCACTGGATATAATCATACCTTATTTTTTAAAATTAAATATAACATACACATGACGTAAATATAATTACTAAACAAAATTAATTGTAATAATTTCCATGAATAATGCATGACAGTGTCTCATTTCATCATTTAAGTAGAATAAAAAACCATGAAAAATTTTGCCATTTTTTACAAGATACACTTTGCACTACAACTTATCTATCAATATTAAAAAATATTAAGTATTTTAGAAGCATAATTTATAAAATAAGTTTGTTTTAGATACATAAACAAAAAATAAACTTTAAAATTACCTGAATCAGATTTCCTCCAACATTTGGCTTCAGAGCAGAATCTTGAGTCATCTTTGGATTATAATATTCATCATTTGATATGTTAAATGGATCTTTTTTTATATTTTGTGGTGGTGGCTGCAAATAAAATTTGTTTTAAATTTTACATTCTGAATCAAAGTCTAACTGGTCATTTAACTCTAATGTGCTTTCTAAAAAATCAAAAACTATTTCAAACAAATGTATAAACAACTCACAGGACTGGGTGGTTCTGGTTCAGATATAACTCCAGCCTTTCCCAAAAGAATTCGAGATTTTCTCACCATGTCCTGCAATAAAATCTATCTTTAAACAACAAATTTTTATTGTTAGCATAGCGTAATTACATTTAAATTATCCATACACATACAATATTTTGAGATGTTACGTGCATAATCATTACAAATATTTTGGTATTCCAAGTTCTTTATAAATGTAAAATTAATAATAAAAGCAATCACTTAAATATATGTACTGCAATTGCGAAAAGAAATATGGACACTTTCATGTTAAAGCAACTGCTGCATAAGTTTTTAATGACACCTGAAATTAGCACATTAGAAAAGGGATAATTATGTTTGCCAGTTTTGGTGACTTCTTTAACAAGGAAGAAAAATAAAATAAGTGTGTGGACATGGCTCCTGCTTGTCAAAAAGATAATTCGAAGAATTTCAGTTGTAGAATAAGCACATTATCAAAGCCACTATCAGCAAATCTGTGACTATAATTGGCTTAGACCAGGGGTTCCCAACCCTATGCCCATGGGCACCATGACAACCACTGATCGTTTAATGTGTGCTCTTCCTGTGTGATCATAATAAAAATGTTTTAGTTTTTAATAAAACTCTATGTGAAAGTTTTCTCATTTTTAATGAAATAGAAATTGCATTCAACACAGATACCAGCGCAAAGCAAAATGCAACCGATCTCTTTTTTTAAGTGCATGTATAAATCCTCTATAAATCTATAAACCTCTATCCAATTATAAATTCATCTTGAAAAAGTAAATAACGTGTGCTGTTTAACAGATATTCTAGAATGTTCTCTTAGGGACAAAAAGGTTGGGCACCCTTGACTTAAATAAAATTTTCCAAATAGCACAATAAAAATGCAGCACTTTTTGCTTGGTTTCAAGACAAATTCCTGATCATGTGAATGAGAAAGAACATAACATCAAGTTGAATAAATATTATGTAGACAGAGGCAGGGGGGAAGTTATGATGCACTCAACTTTGATCCTTAATTGATAAAATATAAGGAGAATGAGAAAGTAATTTTGTTTCTGCACGTGTTGGTATTTGTTTACCATTCATCAGCTTATTGTGTACTTCAAAGTCATGTCAAAGATTATTTAAAAGTTAAAGTGACTTGTATTCATGTAAATAATTAAATCATACATTCCCACCCCACCCAATTTTGTGTGAAATGGCCAATCAAATACCAGAAGAGGTGCATATATGGGAAACTATCCTTTTTAAGTTTCACATGGGTAGTAACATAAAAGTTGCTATCAAAACATTTGTGATGCTTATTCAAGTGCATTAGACATTTGTAAATGCCAAAGGCAGTTTTTTAAATTCACAGTCAGCAATTTTGATCTTTCTAACTTGTATCAATCAGGGAAGATCAACAACTTTAGACAATTATGTGTCAATGACAGAAGTGGAAGCAAATCCACGTCAGACAATGCATGAACTCTCAAATACTCTTAACCGATCTTCAGACAGCCATCCAAGAACATTTACAGATTGGTAAAGTAAGCAGAGACTGTGTCTAGGTCTCACATAATCTGTTCGAAGAAAACAAAGCTAATTGATTAACCACAAGCAACTTATGGCTTCAACAGCTCAATAAAGAATCACTTTTTGATTGCTTGATCACTGGAGATGAAAAATGGATCTTCTATGATAATCCAAAGCATAAAAGGCAGTGGCTCTCTCTTAATGAATCACAACAAAGTACTGCTAACTCAGCCTTAAATCCCCAAAAGGTGTTTTTGTGTACTTGGTTTGGATTGGTATTGTGGAATCATTCATTTTGAAGTGCTGAAACCTGGACAAACTGTGAATTCAGACCTTTACTGTGAACAATTAAATCAAGTTAATCAGTCTTTAATTGAAAAGTGTCCAGTGATTGGCAACAAAATAGGCATTATTCTGCAACATGATAATGCATGACTGCAATGCCCAAGACGAAATTAATCAACTAGGGTGGGAGGTACTGCCTCACTCACCATAGTTCCCTAACACTGCACCATCAGATTTTGAATTATTCTGACTTTTAAAATCCTTTCTATGAGACAATTTGAAAATTTGGATAATATCCAAAATGCCTCCTCTAGATATTTTGCTCAAAAACCAATTGATTTTTACTGATATAGCACTGAAAATTTGCATACTAGATGGTGAAAGGTTGCTGATAACAATAGGGATTACATTATTGATTAAAAATAAAAACTTGTTAAAAGTTAATTTGCTTGAATTTAATGTAAAAAACATTAAAATGGCAGTAATGTAATGAAAGTTATTTATCATTTGAGTTTACTTGGAATGGAGATGAGATGGACCCTCAGCCTCGATCTGTTGTTTGTGGTGAACCATTATCCAATCAAAGTGATTTAACATCCTTTCTTACAAGCTTCCCAATCTTGAATCAAAGTATCCCAATTTAAAGGATAAATCTGAAGAACCCCCAAAAGGTGTTTTTATGTACTTGGTTTGGATTGGTATTGTGGAATCATTCATTTTGAAGTGCTGAAACCTGGACAAACTGTGAATTCAGACCTTTACTATGAACATTTAATGTTTACGCATGCATGCACGTTTAATGTTTACGCATGCGCATTTGGCACAAAAAACGAAGCAACTTAAACAACTTACTTTGAAAGAAATGTTTAATAAAGTAAACTAAAAAATATTAAGCATTTTTTTTGTAAATTTTGATACCCTTTAGATCATAATTGCTCTTTATTTCATAAATTACAGTTTCATATTTTTAATTGTATAATTTCCGCATGCTATCTTATCAGATTTAAATTGATGTTAATCCGGAATCGCCGAAGTCCCGACGAGTCCGGATTACAGACTTTGTACTGTGTAGCTTTAGTTGCCAAAACAATCCTTGAAAACTTGAAAATCATTTTGACTCAAGTTGTGAAAATTGTTAATTTTATTAAAAACCAAACTCTAAATTCAAGAATATTTACGATTTTTTGCCAAAAGATGGGCAGCGAACATGAAATGCTTTTGTTACATTAGGAAGTAAAGTGGTTATCCAAAGGCAATGTTTAAATTATCATTTTGAATATTGATCAAAAATTCAAATTTTTCTCAGTGATTCAAAATTTGAATTGCAAAAATATTTATTTAATGAATTATGGTTGGTGCATTTAGCATATTTAGCTGATATATTTGGAAAGTTAAATGAATTAAACTAAATTAATACAAGGACAAAGTGCTAATTTGTTTACCATTAGACAGAAAATAAATGCAATTATAAAAAAACTCTATTATATTTGAATTGTTTGAAAATTTATATCGTTATATTTGAGAAATAAATGCAGAACAAAATTATAAATAGATCCTAATTTACAGCTAAAACTAAGTGAAATACGACTAGACATAAAGAAATCGATCTCTCTTAAACAAGCCCGAATTTCACATAAAATTTTAGAATTAAAGTAAATAATAAAATTTTAGAATTAAAGTACTTAAATTTTGATAGTTAAAATAGAACCAATTTTTAAGCAAATTTATATGTACATATTTAATACAAATAGCCTACAGGTTTTGCAAATGACAAAATAATTTTTTTTTAAATATTTCTATTGAGGAATTGAAAAATAATCATTGTAAAATGTAGTAGTGGTGCTAAAGATTTTCATTTTTTGTTTAGATGGTACACGTTAGTCAAAAGAATGAGAACTGCTGATCTAGGCTATAAAAGTTTATGTAATTTGAATAAATTAAAATACAGAATTTGAAAATTAAAAATGTTGTTATTACTGTAAAACATAACAATACTGAATGTTTTCCAAGCACTTATTCGACATTTAATGTTAATGTTAGTAATTTTAATCATTTACAATACAGCAAAAATTATCAGTCTTACTTTCTTTTCCTTCACAGGCTCATTAGACGTTAAAGAATTTGGATCTGGGTCATCAGGAATACTCAAAATGATGTTTTCATCATTAGGATCAAGAGTTAATACTTTTGGTTCGGGTATCTTTTCCATGGCCTTTAAAACAAACAAACAAAAGATATTAAAAGGTTCCATAAATAACTAATAAGAAGGCATAAGAAATTCAATGACAAAGGATACTCATAGTATACAATTACATACACTAATAAATAATATAGTTATAAATTGTAATCAATACAGTGTTGAAATTTTATTATATTGATATTAACTTATTTTGATGAACATGATCTACTTCAGAATGATAAATTAAAAAAGATTTTTTTTCCTCTTACATATTTTCTATTTTACGTTTCTATCCAAGCTATTTTTTTCCTCTCCTTTTGACAGAGGTAAATATCGGGTTGTAAAGGAAGTTTTCTGCCAAAAAACATTCTTAACAAAGCTAGAAAAAAAACCATGAAAGTATCAGGTAGTGCAGGTAGTAATCACCATCCAAACCTATGATTTTCTGCCAATGGTTTGGTAGATTTTCAAGGCCTTCGGGCTCAGAAACTTGTTCGTTGCGAGTCCAAAAACAGATCAACCTAATTTTGGGTGTCCTGTGCAGAATGGAAGATAGCACCAGCAAGAAGTAGCTGCAGGTGTGAGAAAAGGCAGAGGTCCGAAGGAGCAATGTCAGGGCTATATGGTGGTTGTGTTAAAAGATCCCATTTGAGCCCATACCAAGTCCAGCCGGTGAAAGCAGGCACATATGGTCTTGCATTATCTTGATGGAACATTAATTTCTTGCTTTTCTGAGCATTACCTCTTGGAATGCAGTTCAATATTTTTCCTTGATAGCAGAGTCAGCAGAGACTAGCATGTCACTGTACACCTTACCATCAAGGTTTTTACTTCTTTACAGATATATTTTGTAGATAATACCATGGCAATCCCACTGGATACCATGATCTTTTTTGTTAGTCAAACTGTGCTTTGCAATGCTGCTGATGGGCTCGCCAGCGGAGATCAACCCCCTTTTCCACCTCTGTTGCAACAGTAAATACACTTTTCATCACAAATGATGATACGGTCCAGAATTTTGTCTTTGCAAAGATATTCAAGCAGATTAGTGGATATCCGAAGATGTCTGTCCTAATCTGCTTGAGTCGGCTCATGCGGCACATAGCGATTGATATGTCGGGTTTAAGCAATACATAGCACAATTAATGGACATGGCACTACTCCAAAACAAGCTCTTTAGCGGTTGCATACTGATTTTCTTCCACAGCAGTTCTTGCAGATGGGCCTAATCAACATTAGTAGGCTGGCCAGATGCTTTGCTTCTTGTATGTCATAGTCCTTGTTTTTGAAGTTTTGGTATTGAACTTTCACAGTTCAATTATGTCATACAATACAACATTAGTACCTAAAGCTATACACATGATTTAGTGGCATCCTGTAGCTGACTTTTTGCAACAGAACTGGAAGCAAATGATGTTTTTAATCTGGTAGTGTAATAGTTCCATTTCAGATACCTTATTGATAATGATATTTTTTTACAAATTTCACAACACAGTGTTCTAAAGCAAGCCTTTTTCTTTCAAATGCCAAAAATCGTTTGACAAAATATGATTAAACATGCCAACACAAACTGTTGCGCAGATGATATATGAGGTAGTGGAAAACTTTCATTAAAACCCAATATTTATATAATTGAATGTGTTTTTGATTTTTGAGGAGGTAATGTAATTAGAAGAGCATTTTATTCTAAAATGTGATCTTAAGGTTAGGCAGATTTCAGGTCATAAATGAAAAGTCATTAGATTTAGACTAAAAAAAAAAAAAAAAAAAAAAGCCAGAATGAATTAAAGCCAATAAAATTATGATTTTAACTATGTTAAACAGAATACACTTATGTTAAATATATGATAATTATATTCAAGAAGAAAATAAGGATAATTTTTCCTTTTCTTCTTCTTTTTTTAAACAATTTTTAAACATTTGCTCTATAGTTTATTTTAAAACTTGAAAATTAGCTAGTCTGAAAAACCTTATTTCCCCTCCCAAATTATTACTTCCCCAATGATTGGTCTAAATTTAAATTTTCGCTATTATTTGAAGAAAATCATGAGACTATTTGGAACTTTTCAATTTGTACAATTAAAAAAAAATATTACTTTTAATTTTGGTTATAATAAAAATCAAAAATTTAAACTACTTTAATCTAGCTTTATGAAAATAGCACAGAGTTTAATCTTTCAATTAGAAGTACATGTTTGATGACTAAATACACTCATGTCCATAAATTAAGGATAATTCGGAGTCATGCGGAAAGCGAACTCCAAAATAAATATATCACTTGTAAAATCACAACACACATCTTCAAGAATCATATGCAAATTTCACGAAGTAACCAGATGACACCGATGGTACATCACAATGACGAGAGTGTAAGAGAGTGATATATAAGGAATACAGGCAAAGAAGTAAAATTGTTCGCAGGCGCTTTATAAGCATTTCAGTGCAATAACCGAATAGTTATGACACAAAGGACGCATTTGGATGATTTTTTATGTGGTAGAATTATCGGCCGTCTGGAATGTGGGCGTACCCAAATGGAAGTATCGGACGAACTTGGAATTGCCCAGAGTGTCATCTCTAGTCTTTGGCAATGATTCCAAGATGATGGTAATGTGAGTAGACGTTACAGTACAGGTTGCCCCAGAGTTACAACGCCAAATGAGGACCGGTATTTGGCAGTTATAGCCAAAAGAAACAGGCAGAGCACAGTCTCAGACCTGTCTCGTCAGTTCTCTTCAGCCGCTGGTACGACAATTTCAAGGCAGCCTGCATACAGATGCTTAGGGCAGATTGGTCTATATGCTCGTAGACCTGTCAGATGCGTTCCACTTACTGCAACTCACTGTCCCACTGTGCGTTTTTAGCCTGGAGTAGAGAGCATGCTTGTGGACACCGCAACAGTGGGCTTGTGTGATTTTTTCCGACGAGTCCAGTTTAGCTTGCAGTCTGATTCTCGCCGGACTTTCATATGGAGAGCTCCAGGTACGTACCACCAAGAAAACATCATTGACGACACCGTTACGGTGGTGCAGGAGTGCTCGTTTCGGATCGAATTATTCTGGGTTCCAGAACTGACCTGCATGTTCAAATTGGAACCATGACAAGCCAAATCTATTGGGACGTCATTCTGGAAGACATGTACATTTGTTTCGGGGCGCCATGGGCGCACAATTTGTGTTTATGGATGACAACGCTGTCCTCACCGTTCAAACATCGTAAGCGAATGCCTTCAATTGGAGGATATCACCCGTATGAACTGGCCAGCATTTTCACCGGACTTGAATCCAGTAGAGCATGTGTGGGACATGCTTGGCTGACGAGTTGCAGCCCGTCAACCTTCTACTACATGTCTACCGGAACTTCAGAGAGCATTGCTTTTTGAGTGGTGTAATATCCCCCAAGATCAGATTGATAATTTGATACTCAGCATGCCTAGGCATTGCACGGACTGTATTGCATCGTCTGGGAGACATACAATGTATTAACAATCATACCAAACATGCAATATTGGTTTTTGTAAAAAAAAATTTTTTTTTGTAATTTGCTCCAGGGAGAAAAAAATCGCTAATTTTTTTAATAATATCAAACATATAGCATCTTTTTTTGCTCTTTACGTTTTGTTTAATAAATAAGCTTTACAAAGAAGTCAAATTTGTTTTGCTTCTAACTCTTCCTTTGCCTGATTTTGCAATATCCTTAATTTATGGACATGAGGGTACATGACTACAATGAATGATATATTTGCTTAAGATAAAATTTCTGCAACGAATAATATTTTTAAAAAGTATATGCGAAAACTCAGATCATGTACAGACCCTCTTGATAAAATGTACACCTTTTTTGAAATTGTGAATGAAACCAATGATTATGGATCTGAGTAATCACAACAACTCAATTACAGTAGTTACATGGAACATAAATGATCTTAACTAGAAGGCATATAAGCTCAAGGCAATTATACATGAGTACAGTCCCAATACACTTCTCCTACAGGAACATATGCTTGGCAAAACAACTTCATAGGCTGCAATTATGAGGCATATTAACTTGATAGATCAATGCAACATATGAGAGGGCACCTGATTTCAGCTAAATATTCCATTTCTCATTATCTGATATTACCACAGCGTTTAGCCAATGAGGCCCTAGCTATCACCATCATACCAAACACAATCACTTTTACCTTTTTTATATTACAGCAAATAAACAAGTTGATGGCATGCATTCAAATTTACATGGTCTCACTGAGTTGGACATAACTGAGTTAGCAAAGTGGTAGTTTTAATGCATACCACCCTAGTAGGAACTGCAATATATCAAACAGTTACGGAAGAACAAATCACAAATTATCTCAAAAGGCCAACCATCTTATTGCAGCTTCCGAAAACTCAATACAGTGTAGTGCTGGTGGTCTCAAAACCAACAACTATTTTCTACTTAAAAATCTGAACACTCTGACTTACATAGAGAGCATGAATCAGCTTTCATCAGGCCATAATCTGCTTATTATTTTAATATCCTAATTTTTGACTTAGTCATTTACAAACACTTTCATTTGGAAGGCTATAATTTCAGTCTATGGAAAGTATGTAAGATATTAATGTTGGTTTTTTTCATATTGTGTTAGTAGCTCTTCTTGTAATAAATTTGTGCGAGTTTCGAGAAAGATATATGAAGAATGTGTTGCAGGCATTCTGCTGAAATTAGCACTCACACTTTGAGAGGATGACTGAGAATTATTCTCATATTCCAAATCAAAATAATATATCGACATATAACATGCATCATCAAAAGATATTACACAGACGTTTTAGTACTATCAAATAATGCTTAACTGTGTGAGATGTTATACTTGAGATCTGTGTAGAAAAATTAATAGCTGGAACATACCAGAATTACAGTGATATAAAACTTTAAACAGCATTTTTTCAGTTTGTTGAAATCTGTAATCTTTTTTTTTTTTTTTTTTTTTTTTATGAGATAGCTCCTTATGATAAGAGTTAACATAATATTAATAGTTCTCAGCTCAAATCTATTCAGTGTCGCATATAAATTTGAAGCGTCATCTATCAGCCATTACAACGAGCAAAAAGAATCCAGCTGCAAGAGAATTGATTAACAGTGCAAATATTCATGAAAAAAAATTGGAAATGAACATGCTGTTTGGAAAATAAAAAATGAATGAACAGTCTGAACCAAGAGGTCAGAACCTTGATCAAGAAACATATGCAAATTGATTGGACCAGGTACTTAAAATCACTTTCCCAGGATGATAAGGATGATAATTCCATGTAGAATGATCTAAGTATAAAAGATGGAGGATTAATATTCTGCTCCTTAGTGACCATAACATGATCTCCTGCACCAAAGTTGTTTTGTGACTTTTTATAAACTTTTGAGTTGCTTACAATTATACAAGCCATACCCTCCACCCCCCCAGTGTTCAAGTTTTAATGCACAGTCACATAATGCCATTGTTTTAACTAAACTTCTTAGCTTATTTTTTCCTTTCATAACAAAAAAGCAGCAGAAAATATTTTTCATGAAGACACTTTCCTTTGCTGTGATATCATATGCTATGTACTTAAAATTTTAATTCAAAAGATCTGCAGTCTTATTAACACTGTTAACATATGAAAGGCTCCTCTTGATATAAAAATTATATTCTAATACTTAAAAAATTTTCCAAACTCTGGATTTAGTTACTAAAAATAAAATGTATTTTATTTTGAAACTGAGAATATGGATCGGTCTTCATTGCTTTTACAATTTTCATTAAGTATTAATTTTGAATGTATGAATGTAAACACTGAAGATTAACAGCTGATTTATATGCTCTGTTTCATATATTTTTACCCACTAATGAGTTTAAAAAAAATGTTATTTTTAAATATGTGAAAATAATTTGACACAGTAGACTACTTAATCAATTCACTTGCCTTTCTCATATGAATGAAATTAATAAAATAACTTCCATTTCACTTTTTTTTTTTTTTTTTTGATGTAGGAATACTGCATAGAATACATAGCATACTCCACTTCAACCATATAAGCTTACTATTCATTAGATTTAAAAAATCCTGCATAATATATGCACAAATATTCACATACGCTGCTTTAGAAATGCAACCATTCTGTTGATTATATCTTCTTGCTTCATAAATACACATAAACATTTTTACTTATTTTTCAGAAAAACACTTAAATCAAAACAATTTAAAAATGTGATACATAAACTAAGGTAATAATTAACAGATTACATGAAATTTTTGGAAATGTAAAAACATATACCTCACTATCCCATATTACATCATCTTCCCAGTGGCCATATACAAGCTCTTCATTCTCAACTGGAAATATTGACCACCAAGTATCATCTTTCTCATCTGAATATTCAGACTCTAAAAATATAAGAAACAACAATATTTAAAACAGTTTCTACAAATTTTAAACAGTTCTTACAGTTCCTAAAAAAGTATTAAATTTAATTATATGTAAATAAAGAAGTTCATTTCACACTTACTAACCCTTAAAAAAATATCACTGATTAAGTTCCCCAAAAGCATTTAACATTTTAATGTACTACAAAGGTGTTTAAAATTTATTATTCTGAGGACATCTTTTAAGAAAATGAATATCACTAATAAATTTTCTAAATTAAAAGAATCAAAAATAAATGTATTAAGCTTATTAAGCTTTCATCTGATATAGTGTCTGTCTACTTCAAATTAAAATATATTTTTAAATTCAGTACCTATACTTTAGCTACAGATCTAGCAAACAAACAACAGTGTATTTCAAATATCAAGTGAAATTTTGATCACAAAGACTTATAGCAATTACTGCTTACTTTTTCAAGCTATCTCCTCCTTTAAGCTCTTTTTTATTTCCTAATTAGAACATTTCTCTTCTAGTTTCATTTTTTTGCCTCAAGCTTGTCTACTGCTTCATTTAAAATATACTAATTCTAAATTAACTATGAGTTTATAATTCATATGATATTCAAACCTATGCTTTTTAAATAGCATTGCAAAATATATAAAACAAAATTATTAAGTTTTTACACACTGCAGAACTTGGGAAAGTTTTACACTAGAGTTTAAAGAATCATTAATTATAAATTGACATCGTATAGTGAAATGCCTTTTTAGGAGAACATATATTTCAGTCTACCAATTTAAAGCCAAGTGAGGCAGCTAATTAAATTCTTTAAAATCTGAAAAAACATTTTTTATTCTACCAAATGATTCAAAGCTAAACCTACTGCTATTATGAAAAATAAATTACATTTAAAATACTAAACTAGTAATGCATTTTCTCATGATAACGCGTCACAACAAATTAATTTTTGCATGAAAATCTATAATAGATACACAGAACACAGAATCTGATAGCAAATACTACAGTAAAACCAGAACGAAGCGAAACTCAGGTGAAGAAATCAAAATGTGGAAGTTGTTAACAATAACCCAATATTATTCAAAATGCAATCCACAAATCTAATAGATACTCAGTACTTGTAATCACTTCTAAATAACTCACTATTTGAAGCAGGTGTTTTATTTATTTTCATTGCTTGTTGATTTGATGGTTTTGGTGTTCCAGTTTGCAGTGCTGCAGAGAATGTTTTCGCTGTAAAAGACAGAAAATTAATAAAACAACAAACATTAAGAATTTCACGTGATAAAAGCATATAAAATATTAAGCATATAAATATTACATTAAAAAGAGGTAGCAAGTAAACTACCCCTTTTTAATATTGGATAAAAATAATGTAAACACAGTTGTTGCAAATTTTTACATTCTAGATTTTATTATCTGTAGGAAAATCTATTAAAAACTATACTTAATCTTTGTCTATTTAATTGGTCTTATGATGAATATCATATGAACTAAATTAACAAAACCAAAAATTTAGATACATAATTAAAACAGCACACACATTGGACTAAATTATGAAACTTTAAAAAATTTAGATATACAATTTAAAATATCTGCACATTATCTACAATACATTTATTGTAATACAATGATTATTAGCTTCAAAAATTGTATAAGCTGATCCTATATTTTATTTTAAAATTCAATTACACAAGGTTGTCAGTCTAAATATTTAGCACATTATTGGGAGATGAAATTAGAATGTTAAGGAAAAGTACAATTTGCTATATTAATTGAACATAAGTTCTTTGGAATCTTTTTTCTATCCTTGCTGCTACGGTAATAACAATAACAATAATAAAAAGATAGTATGAGCAACATCCCATTCCAAACAAATATACGTCTTGGAACTTCACTTCTTGTTTAGATCAGACTGGAAAATGCAACCCTCTCACAACCACTTAAAGGCTGATAATAGCCCATACAATATCAATTAATGAATGTCACTGACAGGTGTTTAACCCCCTGAGTGGCACGACTGCTTTTTCCACATATTGGGTATCGCAGTTTCACACTTCTTGCTATATGTATATTCCAAATATTTTTCTTTTCTTTTTCATGCAAAATACTTTTCTTTTAAAATTTTTTATCAATTCCAAGTATAGTATAGAAAAGCAATATAAAATATGAAATGAACAAATATAAAAAAATAATTATACAAATATCTCACAAAGGTAATCAAGTTACTAAATTTATTTTCTCAACATATAAAATTCCTTGATCAAACACTTGTGCTCTGATTTTTAAATATTTAAGAAGTATCTCAAATACTTTAATATTATATTTCAAATTTAACATTATTCGTCCATATGGTCTAAAATTTGGAGAAATAGTACTGGTGCAATGTTAGATAAAACTGAAAAACAGCATTAAATATATAACCTTGTTGGCTAAAGGCTGATGCAGTTCTGTTCATACTTGAGGGCACCCAACCAGCAGCATTATTTCGATTGTGCAGTTTTGCGAGTACCTTTAAAAAATGTAAAGAAAAATACATTAACAGAAATGATATATCATGAAAAATAATTTATCAGTATTTTCTGTAAAATAAATTAGCCTAAAATCAGGGAAAAAAAACCTCTTCTTTATACAATGTATTTGAATGGAAAATCCTTTTCTTAACATTATCTTTATCATTTCTAATTTAGCTTCAATACAATTGATTCAGTTGGTCTAAAATTAAGAAAAATAAAACTGATTACATAAAAATAAAAGACAACTAAAATTTTTATAATAAAACATGAAAATATTGCATAAAATCTTTTAAAAATGTAAAAGAAAAGAGGGAAATGTTGATGTTAGAAAGGACTTTAATACAGTCTTTTTAACAGTGAGAAAGAGAGGCGAGTGATCAGATCAAAATTTTAAAATTAGATATATCACAGCTCAGAGTTAATAAGCTCAGAGTTAATAGGTTCATGAATGAGTCAGTAAAAACTGATTTGACAAATAGTGTAAAGCACATATGGACTTAAAATAAATAATTCAAATTCACACTCTAAAACACACAAAAGAGTTGATTATAGAAAGAAATTATTTCTTTTGAATGTGGCTATAAAAATCAGAGGGTATAATTTAACTTAAGTTCAGCATTGATCTAATCATTAAAATTTTTTTAATTTTCTTTATCAAAAAATACAGAAAACTAAATAGTTGCTTCTTTAGTAGAAATACTAAAAATTAGGAAACTGTTTAGTAAGAATATAAACAAGCATAAAAAAGTGAAATATAATAATAACAAAATATTTATTTCTCCTCAAGATCTTTAAACATTTTAATAAATACATTTTTTTGGTATATCATAATCGTTAAAAATAAAATAAATTTAAAAAAAAAAAAAAAAAAAAAACTAAGAAATAGATACACATATTTGCAATATAAAAAACCACAGTTCATTAACCACTTTCCAGTTTTGCCCGAATGCCGTTCGGGTACTTGGAAATGGCACTTTATTTTCCTGAGTGGCGCTTGGATAACATTTCTTTCTAGTCTAATACACTGATTTGCCAGAATTTTTTGCTTGTTTAGTGTGTAATGTTTCTAACAGATGGCGCTAGTAATCAAGTGCTATCTGAATCTAAGTTAGAATTGCAAAACAACTGGTTTCAAGGTTAGGTTTTACTGAATTCTTTTACGCAAGTAAAGGCACAAAATTTCTTTTCACTAGCTTGGTGTTCCAGCTACTGCAATACTATTTCTTTTAAATTTGGAGCTGAAATAAAAGAAGAAATGAATTATAATGAGCAGCTTATAACCGAAGATAACTCTGATATTGAATCTGAAATTTCACTAAATGATTCTGGAAGTAATGACAGTTTGTTGTCTGGCTTCTCTAGTGATGAAGAAACAGAAAGTATAAATAATCTAACGCAAATTCGAAACTTTTGTGAACTTGTTATTAATAATCCTTCTTCCTTGATATTAATAATTCTCCTTTGGAATTGAACAGATAGGTAATAACCAAAAACATTTAAATTCTGCATCTATTTTATAGTGTCTTTCTAGTTGCTTACTTCTTCGAAAAAAGCCAACTTAAGGAAAATGTGCTTTTTACGATGAAAATAAAATTAGCATAAATCATTAAATTCAACACCTGTAATAGTTCTGACTGCTGATTTGGGTTTATATAATGAATTTCTTCATAAAAATGTTTATCAAAAATATGTTTATTTTTGGTCATAATATTACGGAAAAAAGAAACTGTTAAAAAATTTTTCAAAAAAAAGGGGGGGGGTGGCGAGGAATTAAATTTAAATTACACTAAATTTTACATGAATAGTTTTACAAAAAAGTGTAACCTACAACTTTCTTGACTTCTTCACCATTCCATATCACATCATCTTCCCACGGATACAGTGTAACCATAAAATAAGCATCGTCTGGATAATTTTCATCAGCAAGAGGATCTTTCACATTATTGTTTAATTCACTTGATTGCTGCTAAAATCAATGAAAGACAAGCAAGGTATAAAATCAACATGTCATAAATTAGTAAACAGAATCAGTCACAAAAATCTTACATGCAAGTTCAATTTATGTAAAACATTTCAAAATTTCTATTGATTTTAATTATGTTATAGATCATAAATAACTCTGACACTTAATGTTAGCCTGTCACATGTTTATGCTGTGTTTGCTCTTATTTAAATATTTAATGGAGATACTTTTTAAAAATATTCCTCTTATCATTACAAGCAACTTTTTACAATAAAAAACAAACATACATTAACCTTGCTATAGTTCCATTCCCCTCCTTCTATTAGTTACAAAACTGTTCTCAAAGTTCTCATAAGTTCAATACCTTAGTTTATTTTCTCTTTAATCAAAACAAGTCATGAATCAGTGTTTTAAGAACCTGTGTTAGGTATGAATTTTTTAATAATTTATAACATTTCTTGTTTTTATGGCTTATTTGGTCTACACAAGATAGCTCAAAATTTTGCATTAACGAACATAAATATTTTGTCACAGAAAGGTTTTTTTAATAAATCCTCCATAATAATCATAAATGATCTCTTAACAACTCTGTTAATTTTTCTTCTGCTAAAAATTATGCAGAACCTTATTTCCTTCCAAAATTGCCTCCTTCAATGGATAATTTAAGAACTCTTGCTATAGACATTCAACAAAACCTAAAAATTGAGTTGTCAAAATTTTTTTATCTTAATCCAGCCATCCCCAAAATATTTTACTTAATTTACTTCTTTTTAGTCCCCTTTGATGGTACTCCAACTGCAGTTTTCATTTACTTATTTAATTTATTACATATTATAATGATGGAATTTTGGCATAATAGTCATTAGTAATTTACAAATTCCTGAAGAAACTATGTTCGTTCAAAATTCAAATAAGAGGTTTGCCATTTGTATTTCTGGCCTAATAATGAAAAAACAAATATTTATGATTGAAATTGGGTTTATTGTTTTAAAAAATATTCTCCTTGAAGATCAATACACTTTTGGATGTGTTTGAACCAATTTTTGAAGCACTTCTCCCACTCCGATCGAGATAACTCCAAAACATGCGTTTTGAATATATCTCAAACACTGACTTCGTAGTTTATTTTTGATGTGCAGAAATAAAAAAAAAAAAAAAAAGTCATTTCAATGACAGCCAAATCAGGACTGTATGGTGGATGACCCATCAATTTGATGTTTTGGCCAGTCAAAAATTCCTTTGTTAGAGCTAATGTGTGAGAACTTGCTTTGTCATCATGAAGAATGATTCACCTCTTCTTCTTCTTTTTTCGAAGTTTTCCAATGATTTCTGGAAACAAATAGTTATGTGCCATTTGGAATTGACTATCCCACATTGCTCTAACACCACTGTCACCAGATGACCGGTATTGCCAAAGAAACAGACAACTAACTACAGTCAAAAGTCGTTAATTCGGACACCCATAATTCGGAATGATCTATAATCCGGACATCAAAACTAAAAACTTTCTGCGCATGCGCCGCGTTGACACATGCGCATAAGTGTTTACGCGTGCGCGTTTTATGTATAATGGACGTATAAGCAAAAATTATCTAATTATCTATTTCAGTTAATGTTGATGATTGCGTTGTTCCTTAATTTTTGAATTGGATTCGGCTTATTATTTTTTGCAGACTGTAAGAGCAATTTTATAAAAGTAAGCTTAAACTTTCGATTATATCAAATAAAATTTCCGATATATATTTGTTAATATGTAAAGGATCTAAAGCTAAAGTATGTTTTGAAATCCGAAATCTGTTATCAATTTCACACGCTGCTCGGCGGGGGGGAACGCCGCACCGCGGCGGGCGCGTAATGAATTGGAAGTTGATTTGTCAGCACTATCCTTATCTTCAGCGCAGATGTTTTTATTTGGCTTATAATTCCTTACCAAATGTAGTATTTCATCTCGATATGCTCCGTCTTTGATATGATTTAAAACAAGTTCCTGGTCATTATAATTCGCTTCCGATAGCGAAAAAAAAGTGACAGAGGTTATTGAAAGCGAAAAAAAAAAATTTCGATTGACAAATTAGTCGGTATTCTTGACACAGCAATTATAGGACTTGAACAGCGGAACTTTGTAACTGAACAAGAAATTATGTCTGTTTAATGAATTAAAGAGAAAGTATTATCACATGAAACGAAGCAAAACTTAAACAACTTACATTGAAAGAAATGTTTAATAAAGTAAACAAATAAATATTAAGCTTTTTCTTTTTGCAAATTTTGATACCCTTTAGATCATAATTGTTCTTTATTTCATAAATTACGGTTTCATATTTTTAATTTTAGAATTTCTACATGCCATCTTACGAGATTTAAACTGATAATCTATAATCCGGAAAAATCGATAATCCGGAATCGCCGAAGTCCCGACGAGTCCGGATTAACGACTTTTGACTGTATTTGCTTCAATGTACTTGTTCCACGAACAGCTTTTGATGGGATTTGGCTCATTTTGGAAGACTCATACAATTGACTTCTCTTTGTTTTGAGCTTATATGCATAAATCCATGATTCATCACTTGTGTAGATGTTATACATAACCTTTGATGCCACTTGAACATGTTTTTCCAATATTTCCTTGCACTAATTGACACGAACCTTCTTTTGAGCATTTGTCAGATTATGCGGGATCCAATGCGAATAAATTTTATTTATATTCCTGTAATATCTTATTGATACTAATCATGCTATTGCCTAAAGATACCTCAATCTCATGGTATGTCACATGACGATCTTGCTTTATCAGTTCACATACAACATCTATATTTTCTGGCACAACAACTGATTTTGGACGACCTTCACAGAATTCTTTCTGGAGCAAACATCAACCATGATCAAATTTGTTATACCAGTTTTTACAGTGCTGTAGGATGGTGCTTTACTGCTGTATAAAGAATTAAGTTCATCAAAGCCCTCTTGTCTTGATAACCCACATCAGAAGTTACAAAAAAATAATCCCACAAAATGTTCAGTCAATTCCAATTTTGGCCCGAGATGAATTTTTCAATTTACTGTAAACAACACAAATCACACTAAAATGGCAAAATATTCTGAAGAAGTTACAGTTAAAAATATCAAACTTTCGAATGGGATTGTTTGCAGTCACCTAGCAACATTTACTGTTGCCAAGGCCAGAAATATAAATAGCAACCTTCATATTTCTTTAAAATTAAAATTATTCAAAGATTAAATTTTATGCAGCATTAATACTGAATATTTTATGCAGCATTAATACTGAATATAATAAAAAGAAATAAAACCTTGAAAAGCATATGCTTAACTTTATAATAGTAAACCTTTACTTACTTCCTTCAGCCGAAATCCATAATCAAAACCTTCTCCACTTTCAGGAACATTTAACATATCATACCAAAGTTTTGCGGGACCAAACCGCCATGCTGCAAAACCGGGAGAAAGTTCATTTGTCTTATATGCCTCATTTTTTGTACCTGATCTGTTTTTTTCTTCTGGTTTTAACAGTTTTGCCTGTAAGACAATAACATTTAATTCAGAAAGTAAATTGATTATAAATGAACTGTGAAATATAAATTGTGAACTGTGAAAATAATTTCAACATAATATAAAACAATTTAGATTAAACATAACGTAAACTATTCAATATTGACATTTTACATAACTTCTTTTGCCATATTTGGAAAATATTTACTCAAAAAGCATTAAACGCACAATGAATAAATTACCAAAATTCAAGCCCCGGACTCTAAAAAAGGAGAACTTTTTGTCTTTATATTAATATGATTTTTCCCATTCAAAACTGTAAATAAATTAATACAAATCCTTGCAATTGAAACAGGAAATATTATTACAGATATCAACCTCTTTATATTACACAGTAATATGAAAATTAATCATTCCAGAGCTCTATTGTCCAAGTGTTTTTAAAAAATTACAGATACATGCAGAAAAATTACATTAAATACATTTATATGAAAATTTCAAAATATACATTTAAAGAAAACTGATAACAATATACATAAAATTTTTCGTTTGAAAAATCAGATAAATTTGTAAAAAATATTTACAACACAGTCTACAATTTTTTAATTTATATCTTTTACATAACATAATAAAATATTCTTATTTATCTTACTTTTGTAGTAACATAACTTTCACTAACATCATCACACAAATTAAATTTAAATTACAAAGTGTGAAAGCTATTTTGGCATTGTCATTTAATCAACAGCCATATTATAGGTGGACCCCAATCACTGTTTGATACTTGTATATTTTCAACAAAAATCTCAGCTTTATCCAGTTTCTGGTAGTGTTTTGATTAATGCATAAACTTTGGTTAACTTATCCCCCCCCCAAAAAAAAGTATCATTGGTAACAACCATTCTACAAAGTTGTGCTCAAAAGAAAAAAAAAAAAAAAAAAAGAAAAAAAAAAAAGAAAAAAAAAAAAAAAAAAAAAAAAAAAAAAGAAAATATGTATTAGTGTCCCAGATTTTTCTATTCCAAAATATTTGAATTTTTTATTGTACATGTTAGTTGCAGCATATGTATTCATGCATTCTTTGTGTCTTTGTTTAAAACATTTTGTTGCTTTGTGGCTGCGAACTGTAAATGTCAGAGAAGCAAGAATGAAAATTTGATGAACACCCTAGAATCAGCTTCATCAAATACACAAATTATATGACGATAAAATAAAGAGTGTTGTGTCCACATTTTAATGCCTCTTTACTCATGGCTCAAGAAGTTAAAAATATCATTAATCAGCAACTACATACCATATATATATGCAGGTTTAGTTTAAGTTTTTCATATTTTTCCGCCATCATTTATCAAAGCAAGTGCAGAAAGATGATGATCATTTTAAGAGTTAAGCAGATAAACACTAAACTTAGAATGCTAAATTCTCTCCAGAAAATACAAATATAGCACTCAGGGCCATCACTGATTAGTACTGCTGATTCAGGTCCATAGAAATTATAATGATCACATTAAATTTTTTTAAAAATTAACACTTTTGTTTAGAAGTCAATAAAACTAATCTTTATAAAATTTTGAATTAGAACTCTTTACAGTTACTTTTAAGTTAAGATTCAAATAACATAAAAAGGTTCAAAGATTCATGTTTTCAAACCTTCAGTCTTCTATAGAATTTACTGGATTCAACTATTTGAAAATTTCAACTTTGCAGAATAAATTTTCTGATCATTCCATTATTATCCTTTTGGTTGTCATAGTTTCCCATACAATATTTTGCACTTTAAAAGATAAAATAAACTTTTAAAGTTTATTTATTTTATCTTTGAATGCACTTAAAAAAAGGAGTCACAGAAGACTAAACAGCAAGGATAAAATTAAGCTTGCAAGCATTTGCGAATGCATGTTCGTGTATCATGTGACTGCGGGGTTCTTTCATTGGTCACTGTGTCTGGTTTAACTAGCATCTGGGAAACTCAACATCATAAGTACATCAGATTTAAAGCACACATTATAATACACACTACTATGCAATTATATTATACTATTATATGGGATAGGATTTATACTTATTTTTGTCTTAGGGGTGTGCAATCAAAAAGTTTGAAGATCAACAGTTTAAATATTGTTTGGCATTACCTGTTTTGCTTCTATCACTTCATTTTTCATTACCTCATACTTGTTCCCCAGACTGGGCATGACAATAGTGCGCAAATGAACAAAATGACATGAATGACTTAATTTAAAATATTCCAAATTCTAAATAATGAAATTCAATAAAGTAAAAAAAAAAACAAACCAAAAAAATGATTAAATGGAAAACGCACATGCAATTGTTATGCAGGAAAGAAACCAAGTTAAATCTGCAGTACTTGACACTGAGAAATACTCAAAATAAAAAATACCCTACGGTATTATGGCTTTAATGGTATAGAACTTATTAAGATTACCCCTTAAATTTCATTGAAAGTTCTTAGTTTGATATCTTGTTTTCAATTATTATCAGCAACATTTAACTATATTGATAGTAAAAAACAAAACACTATACTAATAAACTCTCTCTCTCTCTATATATATATATTTGTATATTATCAGTTTTCTAATCAGTAAACTAAAAGCATAATAGTACAAAAATATTACTAAAATGACTTTAAACTGAGGATTTAAAAGTTATAACATGTATAATCTTCTGAGCAGCAAGGCATTAAGTTCACATTTAAATAAGAAATTTTATTTTTATTTAAATATGATAGTGAAGCTATATTTATTATCAATGATGCAGAAACAAAGATAACAAATATAACTTTTAAAATCATCAACTACCTTTGCTAAATTTTTTCTTCAAATTTAAATGACCAAATACATTCACAATTCTTCAAAAAATTGTTTTTTGAATTTTGAAATTATAAAACAGGGCATTTCATTTTATGTTATACATAACCTGATAACTTGGCACTTCTGATAATTTTAAAAAGAAAGCATCTGCTAAACCATTTTTTTAAAAATCTTTTTTTTACTAAATCTTCCTGCCAAGTATCAAAAGCAGTTAATGGTAAGAAGATTTTCTTTCTTTTTTTTCTATATTCTTATAATTAAATTAATCACAACATATTTATATCTTATATAAGATCACATGAAAAGGTGCTGAGAAATAATTTAAGTTTGAATACAATCTTGAGTTGTATGTTTTTGCACCACGTATGAAATTATGATATTTATAAAAAATATAATTAGATACAATTAACTATATCTAATGATTTTATAGTAATTGCTGAGAAAAGGTTCTTCTCCCCTTCTTATTTTATATTCATGATACTAATAACTATAAAACTGCAGTACGATCCTAATTATTTGCCTTTCAGTTATCCAAGATATCATGACAACTTAATCTGTTACTATTGTAGTATGTGTTTCATTCCAGGTACATTGTCAATATTGCTTCAAAATGAGACATTGTTGTCAGGACATGACTTTATACGACAACTTTAAATAACGTTTTTGCAAAGTAACTCATTGAACTTTAAACAGATCAAATAATTTTATTTCTTGTTTTACAGTAAAATAAATATTATGTTTTATTATAGAACTTTTATACACTGTGCTAAGAATCAAAAGAAACTTATCTCTATTTTGTAATGGAATAATTTTTTGACTGTAAACTTAAAAATATAAAATTACATATTAATTTTGAAGTAAAATCTTTTACTGCATCAAGTTTGCTATTTACTGGAGTTGCACAAAAAAAATGGAAATTTCTAGAAAATTAATTATTAAATTTTAGAGAATATTAGATTATAATCTCAGAGATTAGATTCAGATAAATTTTTATGGTGCATGTATACTTTTTATTTAAATTATTCAGCATAATGAAATACATGCAAGTAAATAAGATTATCATAGCAATATTCTGCTATTTTAAATTGAAACATAACATAAAATTTACTTTTTTAGATGTTTACTGACAAACTACCCTTTGTTCAATTAAAATTTCCAATGGTAGCTATTTTACACATGACTCAAGGGCAAGAATTCATATGACACATTTTCCGAGCTTTAAGAGAAAAAAAGTTTTAATTTACTTCTTCATCTGATTCACAGTCTTCTGGCCTTGGTGGAGAATCTGGGATATCTAATGTCCACTTTTTTGGTTCTTTTACAAGATCTGAATCATCACTAATTCTTTTCTTTTTCTTCTTTTTAACACCTCGCCAAATCTGAGGTAAACTTGATGGCTTCCCAGGTCCAAAAAGCCGAGAAAACCTCAATACCTATAATGCAAAAGAGGAAAAGGGCTTGAACATAAAAATCTATCGTTTTTTTTAAAGCAAATGATTCAGTGTATTCCAGTTGTAGTGATATTTAAGTATAAAATATGTATTTTTTCAAAAGAATCATAAAGATAATGCAAGAAATAATCACGTAAGCAGCTTTAATTTAATATAAAAATAAGAATGCTACATGTTTAAATACAACTGTAACGCATTATACAGTGGTATATCAACCTACTGCTTTTCAAGGTAATAAAGTGAAAAAATAATGAATGCAGGAAAATGAATGAGCCAGAAAACTATTATATACTGTAAATAAATGACTTATTAAAATAAGGGCACCATGTCAAACTGCTTTATAACAGAACATCATTCTTTGTCTTATACTTTTAAAATGAATTTTGTCTGAGGCACCTTTTCATGGTTCAATGCTTTTACAATTCACATTGCTTCTAAAAAATGCTTTAATATTTTACAAAGTGAAATTTGGTGATTTTACTTGCACATTATAATCTTCTATCTGCATATCTCTTCTATCTCTTAAATTCAAACTAAAATCTAAACCTAAAACTTCTGAAAACTAACAGAAATAAATTAACAGAAATTGATTTTTGCATTTTCGCAGTGGCTAACAACATGGACTTGATTCTGAGATCTATGCATGAAGCATCACTATATTACTGTGCTTCCGGATTCAAAGTACATGTAGAAGAAAATAAATATATGCTTCACTTTAAATCCCTCTTTAAACAATTCACATGGAAGTGCCATGCTAAAACTTTTATTTTCAAACAATAATCATACTAAATTGACAATTCGGCAAAGGACAGATGAGGAAATAAACATTATTTATATAGAACTTTATAAAGGAAAGTGATGATGAATGATAGATACAAGATAGCAATTGGTGTGGGAGCAATAGTCTGAGGTGTTTATGTACCAATTATGGGACTCATCTATTTTGCTCTCAACCATTTCTGACACCTCAAAACAGTGCAATTTCTTTTTTACCGATAATGCATAAGCATGACATCACTACATACTCATAAGAACTTTGCTTTGGTTTTATGTGCAACCATGATTTTCAAACCAGAAAAGGCTTTATAAGGCATGTTCTTAAAAATTTTCAATTCAAAGTTCTTAAAAATTAAAAATTAATTGCTATTTCTCAGTTTTTTCCCTTGCATTAAAAAAAAAAATAAATAAATAAAATTTGGTATCTGCCATCTAAAGAACAGCAAGCAATAGAGTATTTTAAAAATGGCAGAACTGGTTATATTGATGCACATATTCAACACAGTTGAGTTCATCAAAACGGAACAATAAAAAACTTTAACACAGCACAACACCACATATATTCATATTCAAGTGAATTTATGGGCACCGAGTTCATAAAAAGTTCCGAGTTCATAAAAAAGGTGAAAGTTTTGTTGTTATTTAAATTTCACTATGGATTTTGGACTACTGGAATGCTTGACACTAGTTTTAATGAATTTTTTGGTCAGATTATTTCAGAGCTCATAGTCATTGAAGTTTTTATAAACCATATTTATAAATTGTACCTATTGATTATCTAATAAATAAAGAATGATCTTTCAAACTTCTACTGGAGTCAGTGGTAGAGCTTCGGCGTGATATCTGTCAATATTCTTGGTCGAAGGGAAACTATGTAAGTACTCTAATTACAAATGTATGAATGTGTTTTTTTAACATAAATACAGCAACAGATGAATAAAATGAATCTATAATTAAAATAATTTGACTGAAAATTATTGTTTAATGCACAGCTAACCTAAAGTATATACCATGTAATTCTTAAAAGGACACATAATGACAGAAATCCACTTTCAGATGGAATCCATATGTTCCAGTCACGTAAAAAAATTATTAAAAAAAGGAAGATATCAGTACAAATGAAATTATAATTGTAACTGTCTTCCAATATTTGCAAAGTACATGATTAAACTTCGTGTAAACAAATTCTAAACATTCTCTAAGCTTAATCATTCTACAACACATATAAAGAAAAAAAAAAAAAAAAAAAAAAACATATGTATAATAAATATATCAATATTATATAATTAATGAAGTATTCATGTATTTATTGATTAGAGATATTTTTAAATAAACTTTTCTGAACTAATTGCTTAGTAAAATTTTCATTTTTTCTACATCTTTAGTAAAAAATCTGATGAAGATACCACAAGATTTTCTCATACAACCTACTAAATATTCTTTTTAAAACAACAATAAACTGACATTAAATATGGTTAGATATTTACAACAATAAACTGATATTAAATATTGACAGATATCTATTGCTAAACTAATTACAATTGTTTTTGAGGTATGTGAGATCATATGTAAACTGCGGGGGAAAAAATAATAAAGGGATAGTTCTATATCTCCCATTCCACTGGACCAATTGACAAAATTCAAACTACATTTTTCATGTCTTGATTAGACTTATATATGACATACCAATCTTTTTCCATATTTTGATTCTAAGACTCAAATTATGCCTAAATATTAAATTTTGTAAAATTTGGTGCGAAATTTATGGAGAAATTTAAAAATTTATCTTGCTGCAATTTTTTCAGTTTGTACCAAGAATAATTCACTTGGCGAACTTCTTAATTTACAGAAACTTATTTTCCTTTCCCCTTTTTCATTGTAAACGGGTGGTAAAAAATAATCGTTTATTATTTCAAATAATTTTAACAAAGTGCATACACCACATTTGGCATTATTATCATTTATAATAAATTTCAAACAGTGCCAAAATGTATATTCACGTATATCTTAGGAAATTTTGAATTAAAAAACTGTAATATTTTGCAGGCATACTTAGAAATACACCTACTTTAAGATGATGGTAAAAATTTTATAAATTATAACTCAAAATGTTTTTCAAAAATTTATAAAAATTATTTAAAATATAAATTTTAAAAATAAATCCTAAAAAATGGGCAAATTTTATTTGGAATGAAACTAAATTTTGGAATGTGAAAGAAAGAAACAATTAACTTTAATGAAAAACATTCATATACATAATGACTTAATAGTCAGAGTCTCTGAAACTGTTTTGGAAAATATCAGCAAATAGCTATCAGCAAAGTATAGATTTTGATAACAATCTTTTGCATTCTCTCCATTATGTTAAATTGAAAAATTTAAGTAACGCTTAAGATACTGTGGAGTTCAAAATGGTTTCATAGTGGCATCAATCATTTCAAATCTCTTATTAAGACTTATATCCCCCTCCCAAGACAAGACAGCCCTCAAAAGCTCTGCTATTTCTAAACTGTCTAGAAATCCGGCAAACATTTAGAAAATTGAAAGCTGTGATATATTTATATTTTACATACCTGACCATGTCTGAATTCTGGGAATAATTTAGTTACATCCATATTCTTGTATTTAGAAGGAAGCATAGCAGCAAGAGGAGTATCTAATTTCTTTTCAACATTTTCAGTCTGTGGTGGCTTTTCTTCAATAAGATCATCTTTCTCTTTATCACAGAAATCCACATCAGATTCATCTGTGTCACATGGAGCAGTACCCTGAGTTCCATCTTTTGGAGGAGGTAAAGGAGGTGGAGGCATTAAGTCTTTGTCACTGGGCTTTACACCAGAAAAATCCTCCTCTAAGCAGGAAATATATGCAATACAAAATAAATGGTAACCTTTAAATACTATATATAGGATTTAAATACAAAAAAATATTTTTAATATTATTAAAATTTAAATAAAATTTAATACTTTTTGTTATTATTAATTACATTTTACTGCCAACTTTTATGGCAACAGAGATATCCTAGCAGCTATTCATGGTTTATTTCTATTTCCCATGCTATTTTTTATATTTTCACATATAATCATTGAGCACATTATTTCTGAACACTATTTTTTCAGTTAAGCATTTAATAATGACAACCAGAAGTAAGTACAATTTAAAGAATTTTATACTGATGGATCCAAAATCTACAGCTGTCTTTCAAGAGATTGGTATCCTTTATAAGGTAAAAATTTCCAAAACTGGTCACACATAATTACATTTAGGAAAGTATGTGACAGAGAAGCATAAAGGTGTGGCTGTGCATTATATACCTTTGGTGAATTAAGTATGCGTGAATGCTTAAGCTTATGTTTAAGCAAGTAGTCTGGCAATAAGAAAAGAGTTAAAGTGAGTAGTTTGTGTTTTCCTCCTGTACAGTGAGCACCATTTTTGTGAGCTTGTTACACCAAAAGTACAGATTAAGACTCACTGAGGTGTCTAGAATAAATCTTACAGAATAAGAAATACATGTATCAGGAAATATTTTTTCTTCATGTGAAAATATGTAAACAAATTGTTTCTATAATAACCATTTGTGTCATTATTAGCTTGACACAATGAATTATATATATGCAACGACAGAGGTTCTTGATATAAATTTGATTAAGAATTAGTTTAAGAGGAATAGAATATCCTTTTTGGCTGTGTTATGGTTTCATTTACAGTTGTTTTCTTGAAATGACAACTACCACATGCTGCAAGACTGGACTTATATAATACTAGAAACAATAGTTGATTGGTGTAATGGTGCAAATGTTTGCATTTTCCTGAATAAGTGTGAAAATTGCAACATAGGTGCCAAACGTAAAACTGAAAAAAATTTTTGGTTTATTGATATGAAGTTCATCATTTTATAAATAGGAAGAATTTATAATGAAACAGTCAATCCTCTGTATGGTCATTAAGACAACCACACCAATAAACCCTAGTAAAAAACCTCCTCCTTCTTCTATCTATCTATACTATTAAAATCTGTGTGCCTCTGTCTGTTTGTGTGTTTGTAACATCATCTCCTCGGGAACGGCTGGGTGTAGAGCTTAGCGGAAGGTACCGTTGGATTCAGAATGCCCGTGGCTCGCCGGATTGACCATCGGCATCTTCGTGCGACTTTAATTAGCCGAGATATTAATTAAAAACTGATTTTCTCCCTACATTTCCCTACGTTTTGCACTTTCTTTCACGGGTTTCCCCTATTTTAGGGATTTGGCCGAGTGCCAAATTCGTTTTTCTCGAATATCTGCGGAACGGCTCCGAGTTGCGATTCGAAACGCATATCCCCGTATTCGAAAAAAATCAACGAATCCATCGATACCGGTCCCATCTTCGTACGACAATAATCGGCGGAGTTATTAATTAAAAACTGCGAAAACGTTATTTCATTTTTCGGAGTGGCAACCGTCTCGGAATTAGCTGAGATAAAATTGCTTTTTCGAAAGCGCCGGGGGGATGACAATTGCTTCCGCTCGAGATTTGTGCTGGCGAAAGGTCACGTGTCAATTTCTTTTTTCTTAAATATCTATGGAACGGCGCTGAGTTGGAATTCGAGGCAGGTGTCTGCGGATTCCAAAAAATTCTACGAATCCAATGATACCATTCTCATCTTCGTAGGACGTTAATCAGCTGAGATATTAATTAAAAACTGTGAAAACGCTAATTTTCGGGCTCATTTTTCCGATTGCAACAGTTTCTTGAATCGCCGCAGATACAAATCAAGGTTATATTCTAAAGTTGAATAAAGCACGCGATTGCATGTTACCTAACTGTATTTTAAAAATATTTCGTTAATGTAGGCATTTTAAATAAACAGCTGCTTTTCACAATTTTTTTTTAATTTCAGGTTAGGATGATTGTCACGTTAATTCTTTTATTGATATTGAATAAAAGTTATTATATTACATTAAATTTAAATGATGACGTTCTTGAAGTTGTACAACTTTAATCAGCTGGGATATTAATTAAAAAATCTGAAAAAGCTATTTTTTAAAAATATGTTGTTATTTTTTTAATAATAAATTTAATAATTTTGATTTTTTGGAATAATATATTTTTTTATGTTATTAGATACGTGCACTTAATTTAGATATTATCTTTTAATGCAAATGATATTTTAAATAAGTTCGCACCAAATAAAATTAAATTCACACTTTTTTTTTTTTTTTTTTTTTTAGATTAAAGATTTTTCTTTGCTCCTTTGAGATGGTATACGGTAACTTTCGAATCCCGGTGAGCAGGCAGGCTACACTCATGTTTTTTGTGATTTTACGCATATCTGTTGTGTATGCAGTGTCTTCTGGATGCATAAATGAATAAAGCTGAACTCTGGTAGTTCGGTCCTAATTTCGAATCCCGGCGAACGGGCTGGGTCCATGGGTGTTTGCGTGATTGAGTGCCGTTTGATATTTGATAAACATTAAAATTTTTTTAAACTTATTTTAAATCTGTCATGTTCATTTAAAATTCTCCAACAAAAAGCAGAAAATTTGTTATCTATGCCAATTTAACTTCTAAATCAATAAATTCTAGAAATTATACATTATAATACCAAAATTACAAGAGATACTAATGGTTCAAGACAGGAAGCAGCATATTCAAGCTAATGTTAGAGTTTGGAAAAGTACTCTCATGATGAGACTATATTTTAAAACACCACAAGAGCATATTGCAAAATATGAAAGAACCAGACCTTAAAAATAATTCACCTTATACAAAAGATAAAAATGATCAAAATGAATAAATTTTTCATATTTGACCTAGATGGTGGACTCAAGCATTTTTTAATTTTGCTTACATTCTAGAAACCTAATTTTTCTCTTTATTTCCTTATTTTATTCCTTTATATCCTCATTCCCTTCATTAGTAAAATACTGCCAACATATTGTTTTCAGTTTTTGAAAAATTTAGCTAAAATTCCTTTTCTTATAAAATATGAAAATAGAAGTATAATTTTCTTCAATACAAAAGAATTTGTGCAAATTTGGGTAAAATTAAAATTTTTCATTTTTTCATTATGCTTTTGTTTTTTTATCAATATTTTGCTTCTTTTAGTAATGTAGAATAAAACAGTTGCTATACTTAGTGCTTGGTACAAACTTGACATTATTTTGGACTTTATAGCAATTTATTGCAGTATATATTGTAGGCACAATATAAAGGAATTAATACAGCATTCACAACATAACACCATATTTAATGTAATGTTTCTTAAATGCAGTCACTTCTTCAATGTACAAAGTTAAAAAAAAAAAAAAAAAAAAAAAAAAAAAAACCTCTTAATGACAAATAATAGAAACTTCTTAACAATGGAAACCTGCTATAGATTAAGTATTTGACTCTTCAAATCTTGGAAAAAGAAAATTTCAATTCTGTGCAATTTTTTTTTTTCCCTTTTCAGTTTGAATTCTAACCCCCAAAACTCTTAAACACTTTAACCCCCAAACTTTGTTAAAAAACTAAGTTACTGAAAGATACTATAGTTTACTGATGTCCAACAGACATGCTCAATAACAAGAACAATAATAATAATAAAGAACATGATTGTTGCAATTACAGTGGACTTAAAATCATCAATATCATCTCAAGATGGTCCTGAGTGTCATACTTTTAATTTCCTGGAGATAATTTAATATTCTATGTTTAGGATTCATTTCGGTTAACTCTTGAAATAATACTTTCCCTCTATACTTCAGTACGAAAGCTAAAAATTTGAGCTGCTAATTAAAACATTTTTAGACAAAATATATTGAGAAATGAACCACACAATTTAAGAATTTTAATTATGTATTTCATTTAATAAGTTTCATTTGTATATCCTTATTAAGTTGTTTTCACAAAGTGAGTTCTTAAATTTGTTTTTCTCTAAATGTAGGTTTAAAAATTTGTTCTAATTAAAAACTTTTAAGTTTCTCCCCTCTTACACTTATATGAAGGAGAGATTTGAAATTTTAGGTGATCAGAGATCATTCTCTTAGAATTTGAATTAGAGAAAAATGCAGAATTCGCCTATCTCCATTCTTGATAATTCATTCCCTCCTCCAAATATATTAAATGTATAAAGTATGTAAATCAAAAATACCTTTCCCATTAACAGCTGAGTAATCAACAGTAGTTTCATTAGGATGTGCATTTGGATCAGCATCATCAGCTAATTCATTGATATCAGAATAATCCACAGCAGATGGAGACTTGACATTACAATCTGTGAAAAAAAAATAATAATTTAGAATAAATACACTGTATTTCAAGTCTTTCAAACTTTAAAAAGCATTAAGTAACAATACTTTTTTATTTTGCCAAGACATGCATTTCTTAAATTTAAAACAACAAACACCTCAAAATAGTTTCCTTAAAGATATTTAAAAAAGAAGACACATATTTAACTCTATACTAGTTAATAGGAAACAGAAATTATTTAAATATATGGGTCATATAGAAATGACTGACGCAACAGCTCTCACAACGAAACTATTACACTATGTGAAGGGAAAACAAGTGAAATAAACACAAGGGGATGCGAGCTACTCAGAATGCATAGATGAAGCTGCCCGCAAGAGAAAGGTATATGTCAGTGGTCGTCCCTTTCGCCGTTGTCATTGAGAGCATGGACAGCAATGATGGAAGGTGATTATCATGGACAGCGTGGTTCCTATGGAAGGAAGGGATACAGGGTAGTGAGATCCATCATCGCATGGCATCGGTGTGTGGGAACAAAGCATCCTCAAGGCGTACAGTATCCTGTTGATTGGCCAAATTCAGACGTGGAGTGGAGACTGCAGCCAAAGGTGTAAGCGTGGGACGACCATACAGCATACAGCAGCAAATGTGGCAGCTGTGTTGGATTTGATCATGGTGGACAGGCACATAATGTTCAACAAGATGCAGCAAGAGACAGGGCTTGTGCAAGGAACATGAACATTGCAGGATTGTGCATGGGGATATCAAGATGACAAATGTGTGTGCAAAATGGGTGGACCTCGGACCGCAAACCAAGATTTTGGACTATATCTTGCTTGACAACATGAAGGACGCAGTCAGGGGCCAACAGGTTCTGCAGAATTGCATGCAATTGTCCATAAGTGGTGCACCAACACCCCACAGACTGGTTTACTAAAGCCCTTCAGGACCTCCCAGCCAGATGGCAGTAGTGTATTGACATGGGCAGAAGTTATTTCTAACCTGATGTACTATCAGTTTTTTGTTAATAAATTGTATTCTGCTCTGTGGCAGCATTTGTGTCATTTATTCTGTACGACCTAAATACATGGATTGCTTTAAATTATATTATTATACCATAATGCAAAATATATCAAACAACATTCCATTCCTTCCTGTCTCCATCTCTTTGTAAAATCATCATCGAATCTCTCCCTTTCTTCCTCATTTACATTCTCCCTTTTCTTCCTCTCTTCTATCACCTTATCTCCACTTTCTTTCCTTTATTAGGATTATATTACCCTCAATATTACCTATAAACTTTAATTTCAAAGTAACTAAGTACACTTACATTAAATATTGAAATAATTTAACGTTAATTCTTGCTAGAATTAAAAAAAAAAAAAAAAAAACGATTTAATCATATAAATTTTTTTCTATTCATAAGTAGAAGAAATTTCAGGTCTTGATCATTTAAGTGATCATTTGACGATAAAACCAACATTAAAAAGCAAAAATTTAACCTAAGTAGAAGACACTTAAATTTCAGTACTTTCTGACTGTATCACAGCTGAGAAGTGAACTTGTTGGTGATTGGAAAAGAATGTTTATTTGGGTATGTCTGCACCTATTTCAATAACACATTCAGTGCCAATTTTTTTATCTTCTTCTTTTTTTATTAAAGGCAAGTTCACTTGGACTTTTGTGCAACTGTTATCCCCATGTACATGGTGATCTGTTTTTGTTAGAAAAAGACGTAACTTGATACTGCCCAAAATTTCACTACCCGAATCCTAAAACGACAAGAAAAATAAAATGTGCTCATATGCCTCTAAGGTGAGCCACAATAGGCTCTATGAATGCAGAAAGCTAAGTCCAAGATTTGGCTGAAGATGACAGAAACTACAGCATGTTTATCGTTATGCTAAAAGTCTCATAAGAGGTATCATAATCTGTATTGTTACGAAACGTACAGGCGCGGTAACACAGCTTCCCCGCAAAGCAGTTTTAGGGTTGCCATAAAATGGCAAGGGAAGGTAGGGCTGCCACATTTGGCGAGAAATCACCCATTTGGTGACAAAATTGGCAATATGCCATGGACGGATGGAGAACCTTCTGGATCGAATTCTTACCAGTTTAGCACAGAATGTTCTCGAACACAAGCAGAAAGCTATATAAACACTGCTGGTCCGCAGTCAGTGAGTGAGTGTGCCTCCTCGAGAGGGCAAGGTGTGTGCCTTGCATAGAGTGCGAGTTAGTATCAAGTTGGTGTCTCGTCTAGCGAGTCAATGCTCTGCGGAGTCGATCGAATTGACAGCTGGGCAGCGAGTGCCGAGTGGGTAGTCGAGTGCATTGAAAGAGTCTCGTAGTGTATCGCGGTTAGTGCATTTTCAAGAGAGCATGTTGAGCTCCGAGAACAACTGAACCGAAGAGTCGGGAGCTGTGCTCTGTGTGTCATCGAATGTATCGCGAGTTGTAGTGTGAAAAATCTCGAGAATATGTGTATATACCGGTGGAGTTCATGACGTACCTTAGGACCACAGATATCGTCATTTGCATAGGTGTCCAAATACTTATTGGTAGTCAGTGTATTGGTAAATAAAGTGTGTGTCGATACTTCATCAAGTGTCACTGTTATTCACTCCAAATCTACGAACCCCATACGAATGTGAAGGAACAGAAAAACGCAACAACTGGTGTCAGAAGAAAGAAAAACGCAAGAGTATTAAATTTGTGAAAATGTCCAGAAAAGTGGAAGGCTGTCCAAAGAGATGCTGCATACATACCTGAATTATTACATACATTTCGGTGACATTGCGTTACTACAGTCAAAAGTCGTTAATCCGGACTCGTCGGGACTTCGGCGATTCCGGATTATCGATTTTTCCAGATTATAGATCATCAGTTTAAATCTGGTAAGATGGCATGCAGAAATTCTAAAAATTAAAAATATGAAACCGTAATTTATGAAATAAAGAACAATTATGATCTAAAGGGTATCAAAATTTACAAAAAAAAAAGCTTAATATTTATTTGTTTACTTTATTAAACATTTCTTTCAATGTAAGTTGTTTAAGTTGCTTCATTTTATGTGATAATACTTTCTCTTTAATTCTATAAACAGACATAATTTCTTCTTCAGTTACAAAGTTCCACTGTTCAAGTCCTATAATTGCTGTGTCGAGAATACCGACTAATTTGTCAACCGAAATTTTTTCGTTTTCAATAACCTCTGGGTCACTTTCTTCACTATCGGAAGTGAATCATAATGACGAGGAATTTGATTTAAATCATATCAAAGACGGAGTACATCGAGATGAAATACTACATTTAGTAAGGAATTATAAGCCAAAAAAAAAATCTGCCCTGAAGATAAGGATAGTGCTGACAGATCAACTTCCAATTCATTGCGCGCCGCAGCGTTTTGAAGAGATATCTCAGTTGATTGGCAATTTAATCTCGGGGACTGCTATAATAAGGAATGTATATATATAGTAATATATATATATATGTAAGATATAATAAAATATGATAGCTGTTTCAAAATATAATTGATGACCTCAAAATTAACATTCTAAATTTGATGATCTACCTCTAAATTCATCTCTTCTCACAGGTTCCAGAGTTTTTTTATCTAATGTAACGTTTTAATGCAGATACCTCTTGTCCAATCAAATTAATTCTAAACCAAAACTCTGAACTGAAACTTTCCCACCCTTCTTCCTCTTAAGCTCTATGATACTCTGCCCTTCCGCATTAGCTCTCCTGCTGGTAAGACGCTTTTCATCCATGCTGCTGCCGCTTACTTGCTTAAGATGATGTCGTACTTCAAAATGGGAGTTATTCTATTCAAATATTATTAAGAAATATTTTTCCTCGTTATTAAGAAAATCTTGTCTGAAAAAGGATTATTTGATATGCATGGAAAAAATAAAGATTGTGATTTTTCAAGATATGTTGTGCTAAATTGCGTCATCATGCTTTCCACTCTGCCACCTTCAAGCCACTACGGTCTTCTCGGTCATCTACGCAGTATCGTAAGCTGTCGGGAGGTCCACTGCTTTCATCTACGCATTTGAAATCATTACATATATACATACTATAAAATTTATGCATAATTAAGAAAAATACATACAGTACAAAGTCTGAAATCTGGACCTTCAGAACACGATACCAAACAAATCTTCATACCAAGATTTGTTTTTTCTTAAGAAAATTTAGGAACGGATAATATGATACTCCAGGAAAAACCCATATGTCACAAAGAGATTTTCCTCTCAACTAATTGAGACTCTTATTCCTTATTTTCAAACACCAGCTAGCCAGAAAATCACAACACTGAGATCAATGACAATATATAAATTAATTTTAGCTGCGACCACGCTTTCGATCCTCAAGTGATTGTGGAGGTTGGGGATAATATTTTACTATCTGACCTAAAGTATAAGTGAGCCCCAAGTGAATATATTTGTTTAGAGTGGGTATTGCTAATTTTGGTTTTCTTTGTTGGCATAAGGGTCAGAAGAGAGAAAGAAATTCAGAAAAAATTAAGTTGTTAAACAACCAATTGTGTTCTTCCTTAATTTATTTCATCAAGCTCATTCTTTTCTTTTCCTTTTTTTTTTTTTTTCTTCTTTTTTTTTGCATGCTATTATTATTATTATTATAGCTCCCTTATCAAAATTAAAGATTGAACTTTCAAGTACGTCAAAAAGACTTATTCTGGAGCTGTAACATGATCTACACTGCGACAGCATATTTAGTATTTGCTCTCTTGTAGAGGCGTTGGAGTACAAAAATGGCATTATTACAATTTGCACTTAAGAAAGTGCGATTTCAAAATTAGACAAAACAGCAACATTATTTGAGTCTATAATATTTTGAACACAATAGAAAGCAAAATTTTTCAATTGATTAAATAAGCAAAATAATATGTGGAAATGTGATAATAAATGAAGATGATATTAACAGAAGTTGTCCAATGAGATAGCAATGTCCTAATCAGCAATCAACTAATGGACATGAAAATTTGTAGTTTGGTTTTAAATCCAGTAAATGTCACAACTAATAGTTACAAATGTAACGAAGAGATTTTTGAGAATGAAAAGATTTCAGTTGACAGTTTAGGGGAATTCTTGACATAACAATTACAGGACTTTGTAAATGAACGAAAAACTACATGTAGCTAGAGAACTAATGAAAATCAGCACAAAAATGAAATACCTTAAAAAGTTAACATAAAAAGAAATGCATAATAAAACAAACAAACATTCAACTTTTCCCATAAATTTTCATTCCTTTAAAGTCATAAATACAATGTTATTTCAAAAAACCTATTTTATATTTTTAATTTTATTATCTCTGCATGCCATCTTTGAATTGATGATCTAAAATCCGGAAATTTCCAAAATCCAGAATCGCCAAAGTTCTAATGAACTCGGGTCTCAGATTTTGTTTTGTATTATGCACAAAAACTCTGCAACACTTACCATCACTTCCTCGGCTTGCATCTTCTGGTTCTCCAAATTCACAGTTTGGTGAATCAACATCTTCTGTGATTTCTTTTAGCTGAGTTCCAATTCCTAACTGCCTCAGTTGATGTAAATGCCTTATAGATTCCTAAAGAATCAAAATAGTTTTCCATGCAATATGATTCATGAAACATAAACAGGTACTTACGTATTAATGCAACCAGGCCAAAATTCGCATAAATCGCCAAATTTGGCGACCCTACTTACGGCAACGAAAGATATATTATAGACGAAATATTATATATTATATATTATAGCTGAAATATTATATATTATAGACGTTATAGACGAAAGTTTATTTGTAAAAAGAAAAAATAACACTGGGCGTGTACTACCACAGCAATGGGTTTTCGGCGGAATTTGCCGATAAAAAAAAGAGACTTTTTTTGGTTACTGTACTTAACAGAAGCGCCGTTACCCTCATGGAAAAAATTTGCGAAAATATCAAGGAAGGAAGCATCATTTATTCGGATTGCTGGAAAGGATACAATACAAGTGAGTTCGAAAATGCTGGATTTCTGCATGGAACTGTTAATGACAAATATAACTTTGTGGATCCCAACACGGGCGTTCACACACAACATGTAGAGCGCATGTGGGGCTCAGCCAAATGGCGCAACAAAAAACAGAGAGGAACAGCCCGTCATCATCTTAACTCATACCTTATCGAATTTATATGGCGCCAAGCTGAAGCTGTTAATGGCAAAGACGGTTTTCAATCAGTGCTAAAAGCAATAGCCAAAAAATTTCTGCCGAAAAAATAATTCTGCAACTTATATTCAAATTCGAAACCAGAAGGGTTTAATTGCTATTTTATATTTTAAAACAAAATAATATAAAAAACTGTATTAAAAATTATCCGTAATTAATAAATGTACATTTTCTTTCTATTCATACTTTTTTACTCAAACTTACAAATCGCACCAACTTGGTTGCGATAATACGTAAGTACCCATAAACACTACTTTTTGAATCAAATTACATATATAGGATTTAAAAAATTTAAAAGTATGATTAATAGTCATGACACCTCAAACTCTTTAATATGCAATGAAAATTTATGATTTGAGATCTTATGAATTTTTTTTCCTTTTAGTTCAAAACTCAATAAATACCAAATTAACTACTTGATTACATTTTGGAATGTATTTGTTTTAAATCATATTTATCTAAATAAGAAATGAAAGTCCTATTAAGAATGAAAGTCCTTTAATTATACACTAATAACATGGATACTTGTGTATTAAGTGCTATCATGAATTTCAAACAGCATCAAAATAGGAAATTAATTTACAATAAATGAGCATCCTTCTGTTAAAACCATGTTGTCTGTGTTATCAATGTGCTCAGTTTTATTTTACAATCTTTTGCCTGATTGACATTTATTATTTTCTGAATAGGTCTTTGAAGAGGATGAACAAATTAAATGGAATGTAAAATGATAAATGTTTCTTTCTTTTTTTAGAATTATAGAATACTCCTGAAGAAAATGTTCTAATGCTAATTTTATACAACTTTACACACAAACACAAAAAAAAAAAAAAAAAAAAACCCTTATTTAGACAACTTGCCCCCCCCCCCCCCAAAAAAAAAATTGAATTTGTGTTAGTGTAACACTGAAGGTATAAAAAGATGGCAAGAATCATAATACGATTGAAGGAACTGATTTGAAGGAAGCTGGATCATGTTTACGACAATCATGTGAATTTTTTCTGTAGGCGCATAATATTAGTAATTTTTCCTCAAGAAAAACTGTATATATTGAATAAACAGTCACACATTCAAAGAATTACTTTTGAGAAGTTTGCATTACTAAAACAAAGGGTGCAGGGGAGGCAAACAGCCTGTAATCAGATCATCTTTACCAAGGGCACAAACAAAGTTATCTTGATTAAGACACAATAACACGCCGAATAAATACTAATTCAGAAGTCAAACAACAAAAATCAGCGTTATATTTACAAAATTTTCACAGGACTAGTTTCGATGGTTTTACCGAACCACCATCTTCAGCTACAAAACCGCAAATGAACAAGATAGGAAATAATGATTAGATAAGATAAGAAAGCCTGGACAAGAATAAGCAAGTGGCACCATCTGTTGGAGAAACCAGAACTAAAACATAATTTCTTTAAAGGCCGAAGGCAAATTTGGATTGGAATTAGGATCGTTAACTAGAACAGAAAGATTTTTATGAATGTGAAATGCCTCTAGAAAATCCATTTCTCCAATGGAAGATGTTTTTTGGATAATTTTGGCAGCAGAAAAACTGAAAGTGTGGTTTTCGGACCAACAATGTTGAGCAACAGAAGACTTCTGTGTTTCCTTTTTTCTAACATATGCCTCATGTTCCTTGATGCGAAATTTTAAGGCTCTCTTAGTTTGGCCAATGTAAATTAAATCACACTGGCAAGGAATCCTATAAATACCCCAGGAATTCATATCCGGAATGGGGTCCTTGAGTATGGAACTCGGAATTTTATTGATGGGAGAATAAACAACCCGAAAGTTAAATTTCTGCAAAATATGTGCAACTTTACAGCTAATTGATGGAAAGAAGGGAAAGAAAACCGAATTTTTATAATCTCCTAAAACAAGAGTGTGTCTTTTAGTGTGTTGAGATGAGAATTTTTTTAACTGCTTGATTAATAATGTTGGGTGGAAAGCCCCTGTCAATAGCTATTGCTTTTAAATAATTTAGTTCTTCATCAAGGGCTAGTTTGGAGGAGCAAACTTGAAGAGCACGGAAAACATAGGAATAAAATGAAGTTAACTTTTGTTTAGTCGGATGACATGATTTAAAGTGTGGTTGAAGGCAAACCGATGAAGGTTTATGGTAAACCGTAGTACTGAAGTTGGATGTGTTACGTGTGACCAGAATGTCGAGAAACGGAAGAGAATTGCAAGTCTCAAGTTCAAAAGTGAACTGAATAGCAGGATCAATAGAATTCATTGTTGAAAGAACTTTATTGAAATCATCTTTATTACCTTCAAACAGAGTAAAAGTATCGTCTATGTAGCGGAACCATGCCGGGAAGTTTAAAGTTTCAAACAATTTTGATTCATAATAATGCATGTAGATATCAGCCAGGATGGGACTGAGGGGGCTTCCCATGGCTAATCCCTCAGTTTGCTTGTAATATTTATTTTGGAAAACAAAATGTGTTTGTTTCAAACAGAGTTGAGTGAGAGAAATTAGCTCATCAATTTCGATGCAAGAGAAATGAAATTCGCGAAGTCTGGTTTCTAGACATCTTAATGCACCCTCCACTGGGACATTGGTGAATAATGATTTTACATCAAAAGAAACCATGAGTAAATTACTAGGAGAAATGTTTTTAACCTTTTTTTACAAACTCTATTGAATTTTTTATGGTGTAAATGTTATTGTCTAATAGAGTTGAAAATCTAGAAACTAAATATTTAGCTAATGGATACGAGGCACTACCTAAATTTGATACAATAGGGCGGAAAGGAATATATTTCCTTTCCACTTTTATGAATTTTGGGAAGAGCATATAATCTGGCACAATTCGCAACAAGATGGGATAAGCGAATGTTTTAAGTTGCCTGAAATTACAGGCGACATCTAATTTCAGGCAACTTAAAACATTCACTTATCCCATCTGTTGCGAATTGTGCCAGATTATATGCTCTTCCCAAAATTCATAAAAGTGGTATTCCTTTCCACCCTATTGTATCAAATTTAGGTAGTGCCTCGTATCCATTAGCTAAATATTTAGTTTCTAGATTCTCAACTCTATTAGACAATAACATTTACACCATAAAAATTCAATAGAGTTTGTAAAAAAAGTCAAAAACATTTCTCCTAGTAATTTACTCATGGTTTCTTTTGATGTAAAATCATTATTCACCAATGTCCCAGTGGAGGGTGCATTAAGATGTCTAGAAACCAGACTTCGCGAATTTCATTTCTCTTGCATCGAAATTGATGAGCTAATTTCTCTCACTCAACTCTGTTTGAAACAAACACATTTTGTTTTCCAAAATAAATATTACAAGCAAACTGAGGGATTAGCCATGGGAAGCCCCCTCAGTCCCATCCTGGCTGATATCTACATGCATTATTATGAATCAAAAATTGTTTGAAACTTTAAACTTCCCGGCATGGTTCCGCTACGTAGACGATACTTTTACTCTGTTTGAAGGTAATAAAGATGATTTCAATAAAGTTCTTTCAACAATGAATTCTATTGATCCTGCTATTCAGTTCACTTTTGAACTTGAGACTTGCAATTCTCTTCCGTTTCTCGACATTCTGGTCACACGTAACACATCCAACTTCAGTACTACGGTTTACCATAAACCTTCATCGGTTTGCCTTCAACCACACTTTAAATCATGTCATCCGACTAAACAAAAGTTAACTTCATTTTATTCCTATGTTTTCCGTGCTCTTCAAGTTTGCTCCTCCAAACTAGCCCTTGATGAAGAACTAAATTATTTAAAAGCAATAGCTATTGACAGGGGCTTTCCACCCAACATTATTAATCAAGCAGTTAAAAAAATTCTCATCTCAACACACTAAAAGACACACTCTTGTTTTAGGAGATTATAAAAATTCGGTTTTCTTTCCCTTCTTTCCATCAATTAGCTGTAAAGTTGCACATATTTTGCAGAAATTTAACTTTCGGGTTGTTTATTCTCCCATCAATAAAATTCCAAGTTCCATACTCAAGGACCCCATTCCGGATATGAATTCCTGGGGTATTTATAGGATTCCTTGACAGTGCGGTTTAATTTACATTGGCCAACATTGTTGGTCCCCATGTCTGTTGCTCAACATTGTTGGTCCGAAAATCACACTATCAGTTTTTCTGCTGCCAAAATTATTCAAAAAACATCTTCCATTGGAGAACTGGATTTTCTAGAGGCATTTCACATTCATAAAAATCTTTCTGTTCTAGTTAACGATCCTAATTCCAATCCAAATTTGCCTTCGGCCTTTAAAGAAATTATGTTTTAGTTCTGGTTTCTCCAACAGATGGCGCCACTTGCTTATTCTTGTCCAGGCTTTCTTATCTTATCTAACATTATTTCCTATCTTGTTCATTTGCGGTTTTGTAGCTGAAGATGGTGGTTCGGTAAAACAATCAAAACTAGTCCTGTGAAAATTTTGTAAATGTAACGCTGATTTTTGTTGTTTGACTTCTGAATTAAAGTTATCTTGGTTAAATCAAAACCCTTATTTGCTGTTAATACACATAATATAAAATATAAAAGATATTAAATAACTTACAGGGTCTAAAAAGTCATTTTCCAGTTGCCCATCATCATCAATATTTCCAAACAGCAATCGAGTAGTTAAAGAAATTACTCGTTCATTATCTCCTTCTTCATCACTGTCCATGGTGTGTCTCTTATATTATCAACTGTTCAAAAATATAACAAAACTATTATAATTTATTTAAACATAAAATTCAATATAGCTTTAATTTGTAAAATTTCATTTACTTTAATTACAATTACCTACTTCTTTCCTTTAATTCTATTATTGGACTTACAAGGAGATAATTTAAACCCTTATAAAGAAAGTGCTTTAATTTTTTTCATCATTTAGATTTTTATTACTTACTCTACATATGCAGTTTGACATATTAAAGAAATGAAACTTTAGATTACAGATGTGAGACTAGGATCATGGACTAATTCAAACAACCAGTTCACTTTATTGAGCATACGGATAGTGATTTATATATATATATATACAAATAAAAATAGTGGTAGCCTTTTTAGAGTTTACCCAATGATAGCTCTTGTTGGAAACATGCAGGAAAGTTCAATTCCTATTTTAAAGGAGAAAAGAATGTTTCTCCTCCAGTGTTAAAAATGCATTTAATGATTATAATTTTCCAACTTTTTAAATATTTTTTTAATTCTGTAATTTTATCCCTGGCTCAAGAAAATGAAAATGTAGACGAGAAGTTTTAGGGAGTCTCAAAACTACAGTTGAAAGAAATAAGTCCACCGATTTAGAGGTTCAGTTGAGTTTATTCTTCTGATTCCACAGTCTGTTCAAATTCTTTTCACTCTTCTTTCCACCCTCACACATCATTCTTGATTCACTCCCCATTCCCAATCTTACTCATGAAGTTATTGCTAGACAGCAGTAAGTCATAATAATAAAAGAAATTCTATTTTTTTAAATTAATATTTAGGTCTGTCATTTATTTGCCTATTAACTGAGGCTGAAATTTGATTATTGATTACAGTAACACACTTTAGAAATGCTTCTATGGATTACAATCTGGAAGCTGGTTTGCATTCACTTCACGTGATACGAAAACCAACATAACTGTCGAGCAGCCAGTTTCTTTAGCCATCTGAAATCAAATAAACTGTTAGTGTTAGCAGTCTTTACACCTGGATTCTTATGTCCACATTAATTACTATTACGACACGGGTAGAGTAGACTATGGTCCCTTGTATTATGGCGAAGTTCTTTGATTTATCGCCAACTTGTTGTTTCATTTATGGTAGCCTGAGTAGTTGAATGTTATGGAAATCCTATTGTGACGTAATCGGGTGCCTGTTTCTGGGCAAGTGCGAATCATAGGATGTTTTGTAAGCGTTTTTGTGGTGTGTGTTGGTTTGATTCCTTAGAAGGTAGAATGGCCGAATGTAGTAAGATTAATTTGAAGTTTCAGTACATTTTGGAGCAAAAGAAGAAAAGAGCTTTAATTGACTGGTGTATAAATAAAGGTTTACTTAGTAGCCATTATAAGTGTCCTGTATATAGGAAGGATATGCGTCTAGTCAAACGTAAAAACCGTTTAGATGGTCACTATGTGAAGCGTTCGATCAGAAAGAGTACGAAGCGAACTCGAAAATCATTGTAAGTGAATATTTCCTTTTGGTAGTGCTTAAATGTATAACATGTTTTTCCTTTTTTATGTTATTTTATTGTTTGGTTTAAAATGTACTTTATTAAGATTATGTATTTTTTTTTTTTTTTTAGTGTATATTGTAGAATTTGGTGCTCCTTTGACTTTTTAAGTGAAAATATATCGATGTGTACATGGACAAAGTAAAGGGAGTGCGCAATGCAAGTTTGTGCAATTCTGGGATTTTTTTTAAAGTGAAAATAGGTCAACGTGTACATGGATAAAGTCAAAGGAGTGCGCAATGCCATTTTTGTGCAATTCGGGGATTATTTTGGCTGATCTTTACAATATGGTAACTGGTAGTTTGGCGACATTTTGGAGGTGATAAAGGTTACTACCTGGGACTTTGGTAATAATGTGAGCAGTACTCAGTTCCGATTACGCATTATTTTGTGTGAGGGAAATGAGAGATCATGTGGTATGTCATGTGATATTAATGGACGAATTATGGTTCTTTAATCGGAAAAGGGGGGAAATCGGGAAAAAATCTGGAAATTTTGTATTTGCCTTTATTCTGTGTTGTGTGAAACAGTGTTCGTTAATTTTTGGATCCCATGGCCCTAACTAAAGTGAATTCGAAACGGGTATTTAGTGGGATTGAAAGGCGTAGTAATAAGTGTTTCTTTAAGGTTGTGCGAGATAGAAGTAAAGATGTTTTATTAAGTTATTTATTTTACTTGGTACCTTGGTGTGAACTATAAGTATGATTTTAAAGATCTTGAAACAGAAATAAGAAAAGTTTATCGGACATGTAATCAAGATTCTGAAGAACAATAGGTAAGTTAGTATTTTTAATTATTTGAGGATATTATTTTTATGCATTGTTCTAAATGTAAGGTGGAAGTAAAGTAATTTGCGTAAACGTGCATGGAAATAATTTAAATATTTGACACTAAGTATTTGTAACCATTTGTAATGAAGTAAAGGTATGAATTAGTTAGTGACGTTTGTAATATAATAGATACTGTAGAGGTAAAAGTTTTTGGATATTTTACTTATTTTATACGGGGAAATGTTCATATTTGGAAAGGGTATGTACTTTTTCGCGATCAGGTAATTTCATATATGTTCTTTTTACCGGGTTTAAAGATTCAGACAATTGTCATGTATTTTCGTTAAATTTTTCTAATTTATGAGAAAAAAGCAGTGTACATGGATATAGTGAAGAGTGTGCACAATGCCATTTTTGTGTAATTCTGGGATGTTTTTTTAAGTAAAAATAAGTCGGCGTGTACATGGTTTATGTGTATGTGTTATTTTGAAAAACGTAAGGAGTATGGTATTGTGTGCACTTTTCCCAATTTTGCAGTGAATATTTGTCATGATTAAGCAGTTTTGTTAGATAAAATTTCTAGCATAAGTGTAATTCGGCTAGTAGATTGTTGGAAGAAGTGTTCAGTAGATAAAAAGAAAAGAAACATGTCTTTACTTCGTGAAGACAAAATGGCGGCGGGAAAAAAAAAAAAAAAAATAGAGGGTTGCTGTAGGAGAGTTGGTCGCTAAAATTTTGCCAAAAAAAAGCCAAGTTACCATAATGTAAAGATCAACCATTTTTTTTTTTAAGTGAAAATAAGTCGATGTGTACATGGATACTGAGTTTGTGCAATTGTTTGTCTTGTTATTTTGCCTTTGTGTAGTGGCGATTTTTGGCACAAAAATACCGCCGAAAATTGCCAAGTTTCACCAAGGGGTACCCTAAACTATACTTTTTCCTTACAACACTTAAGTTGTACCAAAACTATAGCAAGAAATAACTCTAAAAGAGGATTTTGGGGAAGAAGGGGTAATAAGTATGATTTTTTTCTGCAGTGTTATATTTACTGGTACTACTTATATTTACTGGCTAAGCAATTTCTTAAAAGTAGGTTAGATTATGGCACGAAGTTAGCTTTTAAATGTTGCTGAAAACAATTTTAATCCGACAAACATGTTTGTTTACTTGAAGAAAATTCAAAATACCAGTGACACTGTTGATGCTATTTTCATCTGCAATTACTTTCGCATGGTAAATGATTGCACAACGAATCACTTTTAAAAAATAGGCTTTAAAGGTTACTTTTTCTTGTTGAGGAGATTTTTAACCCACACGGGCAATAGCCCAAAAGGCATTTTGCGTCGAAACATTATAAACGGCTATATCACTTTTCAAATTGTTATTACCAAATATTATAGCCCTGTAAAAGTACCATGTAATAAAAATCATAACTGATATCATGACTGAAATTTATGAAATCACTTTATAATAACCCTCATATTTATGATATTCAGGCTGTGCTCTGTCAAGGTATCAATATATTTCATTTAAAAATAGTTTGGAATTTTGATATTCATTTCTTAACGTAAAGAACAACTTAAATGAATTTATTTTTTGGCAATGAGGGAAAATAGGAAAAGGTTTATTAAATAACTGGAAATGATTGGATATCAGACTTGTGACAAAATTCTTTAGTTTACTTCCTTATTTCTATCAAATAAAGTTCTGTTCAACAGGTCAATGGGGTTTTGCTCAGTGTAAAATAAATGTGAAATGTGATAGATTGAGTACTTGAATAAGATAACTTTTTCAAATATCCCCTCATCCTAGCTTTCATGCATATTTAGATATTCTGATAAAATCCTGGGAGAGCCCACACCCTTTTAGCATAATGAAGACATGTATGCAAATATTACGAAATTTTATATAATTATACCAGCTACTACTATGCGTTTCCGGAGGGTTATTTCAAATAAGAATTTTTTAGTTCAAATTAGGCAGAAGAAATTTATTAAAACTTTATTTTTTAAATTCTTTCCATAACATATATTACAAAATAAACACTGAAAAGTACATAACTTTATATGGATTGCTACGTGCTATTTTTATATGTGCGCTAACTGCATATGTTTAAAAAAATAAACTAAATTTAACTTACCTGTTTGCACTAAAAAATTTAATCAAATTTACAAAGTTCATTTTGAAAACTACAACTTGAAATGTAACACTCAGATTAGAAAAAACATGCCGATAACTGAAACTATTTGTTTTGAATTTACAGAGAACTTCATTTTCTCCCCCCTTAAAATTATAAACATCACACAAACACACATTTATTTACATCCACAGGAATTTTGAAAAGCATAGATCTATAGACAGAAATATACTGTACACATACCATTTTACGTCGTTTACAATTTTCTCCAATAGAAGCCGCTAGTGGGCAAAATGTTAGCGCTTTTCGGCATTCTGAGAAAAGGAATGTTTCTTCAAATGAATGGAAACAAGCGCATAAAAAGCGTTCGTTTTTTACTATGTTCTTAGATTCTTCATACACATTTATCTTAGCAATCTAAATATATAAACCACTCATAATTTTTAAAATCCTATTCAGCACTGTAGTGCCTTCCATTTGGTCTTTTTACCCAGAAGTGACTTCTTATGAAAGTGAAGCGTACACAATTCTATTTATACTACTTATATTTACTGGCTAAGCAATTTCTTAAAAGTAGGTTAGATTATGGCACGAGGTTAGCTTTTAAATGTTGCTGAAAACAATTTTAATCCGACAAACATGTTTGTTTACTTGAAGAAAATTCAAAATACCAGTGACACTGTTGATGCTATTTTCATCTGCAATTACTTTCGCATGGTGAATGATTGCACAACGAATCACTTTTAAAAAATAGGCTTTAAAGGTTACTTCTTCTTGTTGAGGAGATTTTTAACCCACACGGGCAATAGCCCAAAAGGCATTTTGCGTCGAAACATTATAAACGGCTATATCACTTTTCAAATTGTTATTACCAAATATTATGCCCTGTATTATATTTAAAGAAATTAAATGATGAAGAATCTACATGAATCTATGCATGTTTCTCGCACTGGAAAAAAACAACGATACCTACAGCCATCAAATTCTGAATAGCGTAGTCCTCCGCCCGAATATCGACACCTGGAAGCCTGTATGTGGAATTTCGTATTTGTTTTATTATCTGTTTCATACTTTTTTAAACTTCAAGGAATTTTTTATCAAGAAAATCATTTCAAAGGGAGCACTGGTACGGAATAAAATATTTTTATCTCCAGTGCGCGAGACTGTATATCGGAAATTCTAAAGATATGCTGTTTTTAAATATTTTTGCGTGAAAAAACACGCAACTTTGGGAGTAATGAAAACCTGAAATCTTTCAGATTTTCTTTTTTTTATTATTAATTACTATTTTTTATTATTTATTTTATTTTACTAGTACTGTGGGATCTCCTCAAAATTTCCCGTTTAATTCGTTACTCGCATAAATGCAGACCGAAATTACGTACATATCACATTTCAATATCAATAAAAATTACTGTTTGCAGTTGCCCATTGTGTGTTATCAAGTTGGAATTTTTCAACATGAAATAACTCTGGAGGTAATGGGATATCCATGAAAATAAACACAGAGATCTAAATATTAATTCTAAATATTACGCTTCCTTTCTGAGTGAGAGTGACACATTCTTAATGAAACAAGTACTAGTGTTGTTATATTGTTGTGTAATTAACTAATCTATGAAAAGTCTAAAACATGACAGAGTTTTCCTGAGAAGTCTAAGACATGATATAGTATTCTATGGAATAGCTCATGATATAGTTTTATAGGATTGCTGTATATAAATCATTTATATTTAATTTATTATAAATTTCATGTCGGGAAAATAATCTGTAATAAAAAAAAATTCTGAAAGCTTAAAGATTTTATATTAAACCTAAAGGGGCGTTTTTTTAAAGTTTTGTGTGTTACCTTTACTTATTAAATATCATTTTCTTCGCAATTAAACCATAAAATTCAGTTTAACAGCAATACCACAAAATATTTAAAAGAGCATATTGTAATATTTAATAATTTGTAAATGGTAACATTTAATATTTAGTAACTTGTAATTGGCAACACTTTGGATAGAGATTGAAAAAATAGAACTATGCTGGTATTGCAGTTCTCTGTGATTATACATTCTAAGATTGTAAATAAATAGTTTCTAAAAATTAAAAGTGTACCCTCATAATTTTATATGGTGTCAGAAGTGTTTTGCTTTCAAAATGGAAAGTTTAAAACCACCAGAGCCGATGAAATTTGATGGAAATCTGGCTTCGAATTGGCAGAGATGGCTGCAATCATTTGAAATATATGAAGTAGCTAGTAGATTACATAATAAAGAAGAGAAGGTAAGAGTTAATACTTTTCTTCATGTAATAGGAATTCGTGGTCTTGAAAAATATAATACATTTCCTATAGAAGAGGGTAAAGAAATTAAATTAAGTGAAATTAAAACAAAATTTACAGAATATTGTATTCCTAAGAAAAATATTACATATGAAAGACATTTATTCTTTACTAGAAATCAAACCGCGTCAGAAACCATAGATGAATACGTAACTGATCTTCGAAATAAAGCTAGAACATGCGAGTTTGCACAATTAACGGATAGTTTAATAAAGGATAAAATTGTTTGTGGTATTAAAGATGATATAGTGAGAGCAAGATTGTTACATGAAACAGAATTAACATTAAAAAAGCTCTTGATATATGCAGATCTGCTGAAATAAGTGCACATCAAATGAAAATCATAAAGGATGAGGAAACTGCTGTAAACTTAGTGAAAAAGAAACTAAGTAAATATAATAAGAATACCTACAAAGAGGTAAATACCAATAAACAAAAGACAAAAGTTTGTTCTAAATGTGGAACATCTCATGAGTATCGAATGTGTCCAGCATATGGAAAAATCTGTCATAAATGTAAAAAGGCAAATCATTTCGCGAGTCAGTGTAAAAGCTATATAATAAAAAATGAAGCAGTCAAGGTAAACAAAAAAGATAGACAAATTAAATTAATAAATCATGACTCTGAGAAAGAGTTAGAATTTTATGTTGGCACATTAAACCTTAATTCAGATAACAAGGAAGAGAAATGGACTGTTGACGTTAATGTAAATAAAAGTAAACTAAATTTGCAGTTAGATACTGGAGCAATGTGCAATGTTATTTCTAAAAGCAAACTGAAATTGCTAAATGTTCCGATACAGAAGTCTGAAATTAAAAGATTAGTTACATTCTCTGGGAATAAAATGGATACTTTAGGAAAAGTAGTACTTAACTGCCAATATGGAAAAAATAATTATGTTGTGGAATTCCAAGTTATTGACAAAGAAGTACCTTCTATATTAGGATTAAAATCATGTTTGCAACTAGGTTTGATTCAGAAAGTAATGTCTGTTTACACTGAAGACTTACTGGAGGAATACAAAGATGTATTTGAAGGCTTAGGTTGTTTGAATGGAGAATATAAAATCCAGTTAAAACAAGATGTAACGCCAGTCATTCATCCTCCAAGAAAAATACCCATAGCTATACGTGATAAAGTTAAGAAAGAATTACAAAGAATGGAAAATTTAAATGTTATTGAGAAAGTAAGAGAACCAACTGAATGGGTAAATTCAATGGTTACAGTTGTCAAACCGAACAAAATAAGAATATGTTTAGATAGATCCTAGAGATTTAAATAAAGCTATAAAACGAGAACATTATCCGATGTTAACCATTGACGAAGTTGTCACTAGAATGCCTAACGCAAAAATATTTTCTGTTTTAGATGCTAATAGTGCTTTTTGGCAAATCCAGCTTGACGAAGAAAGTAGTAATTTGTGTACATTCAATACACCTTTTGGCAGATACAAATTTAAAAGATTACCTTTTGGCATATGTTCAGCTCCAGAAATTTGCCAAAGAAAATTAAGCCAAATAATAGAAGGTCTAGATGGTGTTGAATGTATTATAGATGATATCTTAATATGGGGATCTAATGAAAAGGAACATGAGCTACGACTTAAAAAAAGTACTCCAGAGAGCACGAGAAAATAATTTGAAGTTCAATAAGGCTAAATGTAAAAAAAAAGTTAATCGTGTGAATTATATAGGACACGAGTTAAGTGAAAATGGACTAAACCTGATTTTTCTAAAGTGGAAGCAATTGTTAAAATGCCAGAACCTACAGATGTGCCTTCGCTACAAAGATTTTTGGGAATGATTAATTATTTAGCCAAATTTATTCCTAACTTAACTACTATTACTGCACCATTAAGACAGTTACTTGAGAAAAATGTCCTCTGGCACTGGACTGAAAAGCATCAAAAAGCTTTCGAAACACTTAAAGAACTGATTGCAAAAGCACCCGTATTAAAATTCTATGATGTTAATAAGGATGTAACTCTTTCAGTAGATGCAAGTTCTGAAGGATTAGGTGCTGTTTTACTACAAGAAAACCAACCAATTGCTTATGCTTCCAGAGCTCTAACAAAAAATCAGAAAAATTATGCTCAGATAGAAAAAGAGCTTTTAGCTATTACTTTTGGATGTTCTAAATTTCATCAATATATATATGGCAAACGTATTACAGTTGAAACTGATCATCGACCATTAGAAAGCATAACTAAGAAACCTCTTTTTAAAGCACCACAGCGATTGCAAAGAATGCTGTTAAATTTACAGAAATATGATCTAGATGTACGATACAAAAAGGGGAAACACTTATTAATAGCAGACACTTTGAGTAGAGCATATTTGAATACAACAGAAGAAGATAATGATGAAGATACAGAAATTTGTACACTGATTCCAGCATCTGATGACAAAATTTATGAATTAAAGAAAAGAAAGTGAATGTGATGCTACACTACAGTGCTTAAAGAAATATATTCTGAGAGGCTGGCAAGAAAGGAAACATCAGGTAGAACCTCAAGTCAAAGTATTTTGGGACTACAGAGATGAGTTGACAATGGAAAATGATTTATTTTTCAAAGGAGGAAGGGTAATTATTCCTTTATCTATGCAAAAGGAAATGTTAAATTTAATTCATGAGGGTCATTTTGGTATAGAAAAATGTAAGAAAAGAGCTAGAGATGTTTTGTTTTGGCCATTTATGAACAAGCAGATAGAAGATAAAATTTCAAAATGTTCTATATGTAATGAATACCAGAACAAAACATAAGAGAGCCTATGATACCACATGAAATTCCCAATTTACCTTGGTATAAAGTTGCGACAGATTTATTTGAGATTAACAAAGATGTATATTATTAATTGTAGATTACTAT